AAATAGTGAACCTGTAACTACCCAAGACCAGTTGGCCTACAAACAAACAAAAAAAAAGAATCAATTTTGATTAACTATTTACTTAGAATTTTTGGTTAGCGCTTTGCCATCTATACGAAATTCCTAACATACAAATATATAAAATTTGACAACAATCGATTCAATAGTTTTGGAGAATATCTATATAATAAAAATTGTTATAGACAACAGACATAGAGAAACGGAGGACCTGCTTTTTCATACTCCAGGGGTCATAAATGTCGAGAAAACCTGAAAATAGCGATGGACTCTATTACAATACTTCTTTAGCTTAGGTGGTTCAGGACGTAACGAGGTAAGAATGCTTTCTGAATCGACTTTGAAATCTGTTTTCGTTGAACATAACGACAGAGTAATGGCGAAGACGTTATTTGCGGAATTTTGCAAATATAAAAAATTCTGGTACCGTTGTATTAATAAATTGTGGGATGTACAAATTATGTACAAGTAAACACAATAGAGCCAAAAATGTATAAAAATTTGGGTTACTTTCCCATTCTCCATTTACTCTAATATTCACGGATGGGGAGACAATTTAACCTGTTTTACACGTACAGTTGTGCAGATAGACTGCAATTTATAAAACGATTTAAACGGTGGTAATGAACACTCCTAGGTTGATTGCAAAGACACCCACTCATATTCAATTTAGTCTGTTGCAGCTCTACTAATTACCAATTAAGTGTAATCTTGAAAGTATGATCTCGAACTACGTAATGATAATAAAATTCACTTTACTTAATAAAATGTTCATAAAGAATATAAATAAAATCTTTGCGCGTACTGGTATTTAAGTTTTATAGACAATAGCGTTTTATTATAAGCTAGAGAGCGGATTTATAAGCACAAAAAAAATTAAGAATAAGCGCTTAAATAAGCACAACATTTTCAATAAAAAAGTTTTATTTTAAGCAAAAAAGCATTAAATAAGCATAACACTTTCATTAAAAAAGTTTTATTTTAAGCAAAAAAGCATTAAAAACATAATCATATTACAAATCAAAGAACACTTCTTAGAACTTTGGATAAAATATTATTACAATAATCCTAGACTTTATATTTTACACACGTATTTCAGTTTTCTTTAAAACAATTTATGATTGTAATATGTTCCAAGTTGTCCACTGTAAAATTTTTTCGCCGATCATTTAAAATGTGTTTAAAACTGGAGAATGTGCGTTCAACATCCACACTCGTTGTTGGCGCAAATTTGAATTTTGCAACTAATGTTGAATCTAACTCCAAATTTTCCACCTTCTGGCCTTGTAAAACACGAGCAACGTCGGAAAGAACACCGAAACCTGCATTTTTATTTAACATTTGGTCAAGTTTTTGAGATACTCTAGTACCAATATCGCCCCATACTGCGTTTGCTTGTTGTTTAAATTCTTTCACTAAGTTTATGGCATCTACCAACAACATGTTGGGTTTTTCTAACTTTTCTATTACCTCACATACGAATTGATAATTGCTTCTTAGAAAAGCTAGATCTTGTCGCAAATCTTTGTTTTCCAAAATATTTATGCAATCTTTAAAATAAAATGTGGCCTGTAACCATGTTCCCCACCTCGTTATAATCGGCTCTGGGGGCAATGGTATGTTTGGAAATTTTTCCTTAAAATCTTGCACTCTTAGTGGGGCTTTAACAAAAATCTTTTTACCATTTGCCACTAATTTATTAACAGTAGGAAACTGCAAACGTATTCCTTCAGCCACTCTGTTTAAACCGTGGGCAATGCAAGTAGAGTGAATTTAATTGGGGTACAATATTTTTAGATTATTCCCTGCTTTCAACATATAACGAGCTGCATCCGAGATCATCAATAAAATTTTATTCGCCGGTACGGTGTTTGGCAAAAATAGTGACGTAAGACTGTCATTTACAAATCTGGTAATCGTATTGCCATTTGTTTTATCCAACATTTTCAAACTTACTACATACCCCCGACTAGGGAAATTTTCATTTAAAATTCCAACAATTAAACTTGCCACGTATCTTCCACAACTATCGGTTGTTTCATCGACAGCGAACCATAAATAATTATCTCCAATACGATGTTTAATTTCGTTGTAAACTTGTTGAAACACTGGGCCTACATAACTTTTTCGGAGAGTACTTTCAACCGGAATATGTCGATTGCAGTGTTTTTCAAGGAATTCTTGAAGAGGGCCTTTCTCCAATTTTTTTAAAGGTATATTGGACTGGATCATCATTTTACATAAATCGAAATTAAACTGAAACGGCTCATCTTCTGTGGAAGTAGATGCAGCAGATTCATGTATGGTCTGTTGTTTAATTTTAGAAACTTCAAACATTTTCTTCCTTTCTACATTTAAAGAGTCGTTCTGACATGTTGCGTCACGTTATATTTTTTATCACTTTGAATCTAAAACAATGTACATATACAGGATTAACAAAGGAAAATAGATTAAAAAAATTAGTGGGCTTACGGTTTTCACACAAGCTCTGCAGAATATTTTGTTGTCTTTTCTAATTTTAATTCTGGAAAATCCCTTATCCACTCATCCGGCGTCGATTTTACTTTCGGCATTCTTTTAAAATATTAGTAATATTACCAAAAAGAACTCAACATGTAACAAGGGAGAACCCCGTATAACACTGTACTACGACATATGCGATAGACTGATGGTTGTGAAATAAACGGTTCATTTACTTAAAAGTTTCCATTAGATAAATTTTAAGGTAGGTAGTTGGGTACAATAATCCTTTTTTCTAGAAAAACGGTCTTGCCGCAAAATGCCGAAAAAAAACATCTGGTTAAAAGCTTTAATTCATTATCAACGGAAGTAAGGATTTAAAGTTATAAAATCTATGGAGTATTTTTCCAATCCTATAATAAAATTTGATTACCCAAACGACCGGAACCTATTCACAGAAAGGGTCTTGAGTAAGTGTACTTCAATGGTCAAGTCCAGGTAAAATGCATACGATACGATACGGCCAACTAACAAGTATTTGTCATCCCGACAAGGCCGGCATTGGAACAAAATATGCATTAAAACTGATATTCGTCGAAAAAAGCATTAAATAAGCATATAAGTTTTAATATGCATAAAATTGAAAAAAAAGCTAATAAGCATAAAAAAAATGTGTCAAATGACTCCAAATTGTATCATAGTTACGGATATAAAAAAGTTTTGAAGTGCTTACATTTTTCACAAAAAGCATTAAACCTAGAAATCCGCTCTCTAATTATAACGCAAAAGTGCTTCAACAGATAATTTATTAAACTCAAATTTGAAACGCATGTCACTTCAAAATTTGTACTCTTTACTCGTATAAAACAGACACTACTATACTTGTTCAGATTTTAGTGATTAAACGAAGTTGATTCTCAAATCCTCTTTCGTCTGTGACAGGGATAACAGGGAAGGTCGTAACTACAGTATCGAATAAAATGAAAAAGACAGCAATCAGTTTTGCAGACTTGTACGCAGCTCATCACAACACATCACTTTCTGTCAAAAAAAGTTCCCACAATTTTTGTACGAAAACAAAGGACAGAAAGATATATCTATTTCATTTGCCGTAAATAGCTCTCACTGTCTACTTCCAAGAGAGATTTTGTGATCTTTACTTTACGAATCTTTATTCTTATTCATTAACATTAACTTACTCCTTTAGCTGAACCTTTGTTGAATGAAACATTGCAGTTTCTCATATAGACCCTACATAACGTATATTTGGAATTTTTGCAAGGCACTCTACAATGATTTATTAGTGATCCTCCTCTCTGGAAAGTTGATGACGTCATAAATCTATTAATATATCTTTGTTAAAGATATGTTTCTAAATGTTATGTTTGCCTTTGGCGAAGTATTTTTATTTATTAGAATTGTTTATAAAACATGACTCGGTAAAATTAATTAATGAAGCAAATTTGAATCTTGATTAAATTAAAAATACTTTGTACAATGATATGATTTGAAGTGAACTGCTCTTACTGGTAATTTAGCACATTGATTTGTATATAGTATAGATCATGGTATAGACTGCTTATAGGGGATGTCAAAAATGGTCAATGTATGAATGGATTTAATGTTTTTATTTTTTTTCTCGAAAGAGTCCATCTTATATTATTTCAAAAATAAGTACTTTAATTTCCTGAAAATCGTAAAACAGGATAGTGGTGTGTTAGAGTTAATTCGTTAAAATGAAATGTTTACGAAAATTAATAAATCAATCTTTATTAAAGTATACGCTCGAACAATATCTAACACGATGGTGCTTCAGGTGCAAGGGAAATTCTGTCTAATTAATTTTAAATCAAATTTTATTTCATTATCGTATTTTACATATGAGGTTCTGATTATAACACACATAACAGCACACTCTACACACAATGGTGTACACACGCAGAGTTAACCAGCGTTCCTAAAATTAGATCTTGCTATGCTACAATAATGTTAATTTTATTACAAGGAGAATGCAAAAAAATCGCAAATTGGACTTTATGTGTGAGTTACAGCTATGATTATCGGACCTACACCACGCAGACAAGAATTAACTTAATAAGATATGAATAAGAACGCTTTATTCAATTATGTTGAATTGAGATACAATATCAAATTGGAGTTATTGCTTAAGTAGTCACATGTGGTTTCTCTTTCCTTATTATGAACTTATACAAAACTATAATTATGTAGCATGTGATCTAAGTGGTTTTTTTTGCGAAATGTAAATTCACTCTTCACATAGTGGTACCTCAGACATTAAACATTTAAATTATAAATAAGACTGATAATTAAATAAAACAAAACATAATTTTGTTTAAAAAAGTTAAAATTAATTTTTTGTCATCTATTAATTTTTTAATTGTTGTACACTTAATCAAAGTACGCAATTGCTATTTTTAATCCAATAATCCACTGACAAGATTACATTAATTGAGACAGAACTATTTTAAAATGAATAGCCCTCGGCCCCTGGTAATTGCTGACTACTCTTACATCTGCCATAATCGGCTTTGTCACTTACAAGCGCTTCATTGATGTAGTTCCTTTTTTTAACACGCATCTACGCGCACCTACACACGACAGAACAATATGTATCATAATTTATTTTTATTTATAGTTGTGGTGATTAGTTCCTGTAGTTTGATCAGATGTGATATGGGTGATTTCTTAAGTGTACCCACAACAGTTAAAGCACAGGAAAATAATACTGTACTTCTACCTTGTTATCTAAACACGGCTTCTAATGGTAAGATTTTTTTGCTGTTCTTGCAATGTATGCACGATTACACAAAATTATTATTTTTTATTAAAAACAAGTTTTTAAGTACTTACATGTTCGATAATAAAAAAATTACGTTTATCTATGCAGTTAGTACAGTAAAATTCTTAAATAACTTAGTTATACGCTTTTTTGTTGGAGATCCTTACGTCGAAGGAAGCTTATAATAATCAAAGTTTGCTAAAACGAATTGTAACACTATATACTTTTATTGACAATGCGTTTATGCACCAGTTATTTAACTTATTTAACATCACGTCATCAGATAAAGGTGTTTTTTACACAGGACGTCCGGCATTTATTATATTTCTACCTTTATTAAAGGACGAATGGGACAAGTGGTAAATAAACTATATGCTCCACTGGGAGAATAACAAAGTTTTAAGTCACAATTATAGTCTCACAACAAACACTTTTCACCTACAAATCATAAAATAATTCAGATAAAACTGTATATTAGAAATATTAATGATGTACAAATATGTAGATTTTTATTTTCTAATCAACAAAATTTGTAAGCATTTTTAAAAATTATAGTACAAAGTGGATAATATTACAAAAAAAATTGAAAGTGTAAATTTAATTGAATATGAGTGTAACCTAAGGTAGTATTGTAGTCGAGTCCATCGGGCGATTGGTGCTTTCATGTTTTCTCGACGTTTAATAATCCTTAAAAGTACGATAAAATAAATCTCCCGCTTTCGTCTACGGTCTGCCACCGAGTTCATTTTTATTAAGCAGATAATACCCGAAATTACTGGACCGATTATCAATATTTCATGTACTTTAGACATATGTACCATGTATGTATATGGTAAAACGCTAACCAAAATTTGGTTAATCAACCCCTTCAACAATGGAATGGCGTCATCTCCAAAATTTACAATAGTTATACCTGGTTAAGTTATTTAAACTTTATAAAATATGATACATCTGAATTTATGGTTTTTACCCTAGACATACAGTAAAAAAAAACGAAAACAGACTCCAATTTAACTCTGAAACTACAAAACCAAATGCTCTGAAATTTTGCAAACGTTTTAAGATTATAGAAACCATTATAGGAAGAATATATAGGAAGTTGATCAAAATTTATTTTGTCGAATTTCTTTAAATTTATGAGTGTTTGCACTAGACAACTAGTTTTTTGGGAAAAAAACCGAGTGTGCTTAATTAATTGTGTTAAAGAGAGAAAATCAATCGAATTTTATTTTCTTTAAACCCAAATGACGTCGGTCATGTATCTAACTTAAACGTGATAATAGTCAAATTCTCTCGAAGTATAAACAACGAAGTTAAGCATGTACTAAGAAATTGGGAACACATTTTTTCTCGTTGGTTATCTGTTTTAAATATATGTATGTTTTTCATATTGTATGCACTTGTTTGGAATTTACGTCCTCGTGGCGCAGGCACTGCGGAAGTGTTATTTACGCCACTGGTTTTTACTTTATTGAGGTGATCATAAAACAGAAATCGAAGAATCAAATTTTATAAATTTTCAAAAAAGTGCTATTTGTTGGGATATACTTCAAGGACGAAGAGAGTCTATCGAAAAAACCTTCGACCAATTTTTCTTCTTTAGTGGTGAAATTGTAGTACATTTTAGAGTCATCTAATAAGTAATAAGTATAGTTGTCTAGGAATTCATACATTTTGTAACATTTAAATCTAAAGTTTTCATTACATTTCATAAAGTAAGGGAGTGTTTTGAAAGCCTAAATAACTCACGAACCAAAGACGTATACATATATGAGCTTAATGCAGAAGTTATTAAATTTTGAAAAATTTTCTAATCATCCCAATAACAAAATTGATTAATGAGTGTATAAGTAAATTTATTTTTCCCAGCTGTTTTAATCATACCAATCTATAAAAAAGGAGATCCTGAAGATTGAAATAATTTTCGTCCTATAGCTATCTTGCCTATACTGTCAAAAATTTGTGAGAAGATAATTGTTCAGCCACTTTCGACCTATTTAGAAAAAAACGATCTACTCTCTAAACAGCAATTTGGTTTTAGGAAAAATTCGTCCACAACACAAGCAATAATGGAACTCACAACTCGAATCATCGAAGCTTTTGATAACAAAAAATATTACTTAACAATGTTCTTAGATTTAACGAAAGTGTTCGGGTTTCGGTTTTACCTACCAACCGCAACCCTTGTCAACAAGCGTCCCCAACTTTCTCTTTTACCTGCAATCTATCGCTTCCGATTTTAACAACTTTGTACATAGACTCCGAACTGTCAACAACAAGTAAATACAGTGTTACACAGCACATGTTTGTGTATCATTTATATCAATCTTTTTCGGTACGTATGTATGAATAACAATCATACATCCAACATTGGTCCTTCGAGCCGGATCTCTCCACATGTGTGATCCAGTGCTGTGAATTCAACAATAAAACGCGGTGGTGCCATTTTTCGACGCCTGTATCGGGAGACGTGATCTACCGGCCATCGGAGTTCCCTACCGGACAGGAGAGCAGCGAATCCAGCCCATCCAGTCGTTTCATCCAAGGTTCCAAGTGACCTTATCACGTTTTTGGTAATTTTCGACGCCTGTATCGGGAGACGTGACCTACCGGCCATCGGAGTTCCCTACCGAGCAGGAGAGCAGCGAATTCAGCCCATCCAGTCAATTCACCCAGGCTCCAGGTGATCTTATTACGGTTTTGGCAATTTTCGACGCCTGCATCGGGAGACGGGATCCAGCCATTGGAAATTCCCAACCGGACAGGAGAGCAGCGAATCAGTCTAGCCGTCCCAGGTGCCAGAGGGCCTTATTGCGGTGAGTGGGTTCCAACTATTCCTTTTCTTTATCTATTTCCGGTCAAGCACGCATTCGACCGTAATTGCACGTCATTTTATTTAAATTTCATTGGCAAGTACCATTTACCTTGCCCGAACTGTACCAGTTTTACGTATTTCAACTAAGCGGTTTTTCAAATGGTTATGACGCGTTCGCAAACTTTCGATGCTCCACACATGGCAGGCGCGGAAGGTGACGACAATGCCGAAACATTTTCGGACTCAAATCCTACACCAGAGGATGCAGGAAATTTACAAATTTTATTCTTAAAAAGAAATCGCATTCACGACGAAATATCGCGTTTCAAGTTGTGGTTTGAAACAAACAATCTAAGTACATCCGCTTCTCGACTAAGAGTAAGATTGCGCGATTTTGTACGTATTAAGGCTCAGTTTGACAAAATCCATTCTCAGATTGAAGCTCTTGATGACGCCACCCCCGATTTAGAACAAGCTACCACAAGACTTTATTTTGAAAACGCGTATTACGATTTATGTGCAGATGTCGAAGATGCTATTGAACAAAAACGCGTTAACACATCTTCACCTGCACCGCAAGGTAACGCACCTACGAGCACACCGTCACCATCGGTGCAGTCGCTCCCGATTGTTATTAAACCGTTTAGCGGAATTTATACTGAATGGCTACCTTTTTATAATACACTTAAAACACAAAAGGTGTCTACATTTACAGCGGCAGTAAATCGCAATAGTACACAATCCACTTGTTATTTTTGTAAAAAATCTCATTTAATTTACAACTGTGTTACCTTTTTAAAACTCAGTGTTTCGGAAAGAAGGTGTCAGGTAGATAGGTTGAAATTATGTCAAAATTGTCTCAAACCATCGCATACGTCCGATAGCTGTAAATCTATGGCATGTAAATTATGCCAATTGAAACATAATACACTTTTACATAGTGACCAACCCTCCCATTCAAACGATGATAAGTCGCTCACAGCTCCTGAAACACAACATGAGAACTATTTTATTAACAATGCCACTCAATTATCCAACGGACGATTTCAAGTCAGATTAACATTTAGCAAGTGTTTCCCAATCTTGAGGGATTCGAAAGAAATCGCGCTTCAACGATTGTACTCATCGGAACTTAAGTTCGCAAAAAATATTATGTTAGAAATCAACTATCATAATTTTATAAAAGAAGACATTAATTTAGATCATATGCTTTTACTAGGTTCATTTACAGAGCAAAAAATCGAAAGTAAACCCCATCATTTTTTGCCTCATCATGCGGTTTCCAAAACTGACGGGGTCACTGAAAAGATTTGCGTAGTGTTTGATGGGTCAGTTAAACCATCAGTCGGAAAAAGCATAAATGCTTATCTCAGTACAGGGTCAAAAGTACAAAACGACATTTCCGATGCAATAATTCGATCTAGGACGCATGAGGTCGCTTTTACAGCGGACATTTGTAACATGTATCATCAAATTTTAATTCATCCCGAAGACAGACGATACGAAAAAACTTTGTGGTGGGATGATCCCGTGCTTTACCAAGCACGTGTCACTTTAGCCAAACGGGCTTCGAATACAAATTTGCTGAATGATTTGACAACTAACCACATCAATTTTCATTTCATTCCGCCTTCCGCGCCACATATGGGGACTATCGGGGAAGCAATGGTCAAATCTACGAAAAGTCAGTTGAAGCGCGTTACTGGTATATTTTTATTTAATTTGCAAGAAATGCAGACGTTGCAAATACAAGTCGAAACGTGTTTGAATTCGTACCCGTTAACCGCCATGTCCAAAGATCCAAATGACCTGACTCCTTTAATTCCCGGTCACTTCCTCGTTGGAACCCCTCTAACTGTTATTCCAGAGGATAACGTCACCACGGTCTCAACGAACCGGCTCTCCAGGTGGCAACAATTCAGCCGCACTCAGCAGCAATTTTGGAAAAGGTGGACGATTTGGTGGTCTTTAAGGAAGACCACACACGCCCGCTTATATGGACCACTGGGACGCGTTATTACTGTTCATCCCGGTCTACATGCCCCCATTCGCGTAGTGACAGTGAGAACCGCGCATGATGTGATTAACCTGCAAGTGACTAAGCTGTGTGTGCTTCCGACATAAACAAATGTGCAGTGTCTAAATTTACCCCTTTTTTTCTATATGTTCTGTACTCTATTTCATTGTCAATGTATGCACCTGTCATGTAGACACATATTATGTATTCCATATTTGCAATTGTTATACTTTGTCATGTTGAAAGTTAGTTCTTTCAAGGCGCCGGACCATGTTCGGGTTTCGGTTTTACCTACCAACCGCAACCCTTGTCAACAAGCGTCCCCAACTTTCTCTTTTACCTGCAATCTATCGCTTCCGATTTTAACAACTTTGTACATAGACTCCGAACTGTCAACAACAAGTAAATACAGTGTTACACAGCACATGTTTGTGTATCATTTATATCAATCTTTTTCGGTACGTATGTATGAATAACAATCATACATCCAACAGAAAGCGTTCGATTGTGTGTCCCCTAAAATACTAATTAGCAAACTAATGCACTACAACTTTCATGATAATAGCATAGTTAATAAAATCCTATTTATATTCTAGATATCAAAGAGTTAATCTTAATGGTTCAAATTTGGTGTACCGCAAGGGTCGATACTTGGGCCTCTTTTAGTCTTAATCTATGTAAACGACTTGCCAATCTATATAACGCATTCTGATTTGATTCTTTATGCGGACGATACAACCTTGAGTTACTCAATTATAATCAAGCTGTGAGTTGGTTACAGTCTAATAAATTATATGTAAATAAGGATAAAACAGTAACAATCAATTTTACTTTGAAAAATACTACTGATAAGAATAAAAAAAACCTAAATTTTTAGGAGTTAATATTGATACTACTTTAACATGGCAAAAACATACAGAATACATAGCTGGAAATTGTGTAAAAACATAATACTTAATGCGGAATCTTGGAGCCAGCGTTTCGAAGCCTATATTTAAAGTAGCCTATTTTGCTCTTGTACAATCACACTTAGATTACTGTATAGTAAGTAATATGGGGGCACTGTTTCTCCGCGCTAAAGACTCTTCAGGTTACAACGAAGATCTATCAGAATTTTGGCAAGTGCACTTACACGGAAGATTGCAGAATACACTTCAGAATTTTAAAGATATTTACCCTGCTTATTTATCTATAGGAGTTTAACGTATTTACTAGAACATAATTATATTAATTCATTTAGCTTCACAAGTTCAAACCACTACTATCCAATCCGAAATAACTTAATCTGTCACCAAAACTTCAGACTAAATAAGGTGAGAACTCGTTTTAATTATATCTGCATTAAGTTTTATAATGCCATACCCTTCCACTTCAGGAACAATTCTCAGATAGTCATTAAAAAAAGCATCAAAAAATATTTATTGTTTAAGTCCTTTTACTCGATTGAGGAATATGTACATAACGGTTTTTCAGATTTTGATATGGTTTGTAATATAATAACATATGAGTATAATTTACGTTAGTTAAGCTTATAATTTAGGTAATGTATTTTCTGTTTCTTTGATGTGTGTTAAAATACTTTGTATTTATTACACAAATATATGTTTACGAAACACGCAAGCACAAACAAAATAACTCAATTATAAAGTTAAAGTTTGTAGAATTTACGTTTACTATTTTTCTTTATAATGTTTTGAAACGTCAAAACCCTTCCGAAATCTGCAGTTGAGTATAAATTAGTTATAACTTATAACATAACCTACCTATCATTGTTTTCCGCCCATGTTAAACTTCGGATTTACCTACTAAGTACTGCGGTGTTGTCAGTTGTATTTTCAAGGTAGAATGCAGTGTTGGTGAGACGATATGTAAACAAATGAAGATCTTTAGAAACGTATTATGGGTATCAACAGACAAATAATCTACTCAGGATTTCTTTGTTTAACCGCTTCTAGGTTTTCATGCCACAGATCCATTTTCTTGGAAAATTTTTAAACAGATCTTTTTTGATATTTGGAAATTTTATTCTGAATTTTTTCGGTAAAACAATTGATATTAGGCGTAGCAGGACTAAGAAGAATAACTTCTTCGGTGTGTTTTTTCATCGGTATGATAAAGTTAAGTTGCCTGTAATGTTTAAATTTGTAAATAATTTTACCTCTTACATTACAATTTGTAGTTCTTATTTTCAAACGGAGTGGACTCGAAATGAATTCTGGAACATATAGAGGGTCTATAAATGATTCACACATCTAGCACGCATTGGCAAATTTTAATTCTTTTAAATTAAATAATTTTGCCGCTTGTAAGAAAAAATGTTGTACAGAAAATTTTAGTTTTAAAATTAACATTTAAACAAGCCACAATAATGTTAAAAGTAGCCTCAATCTTGGTATAAATACAACTTAACCCTTTTTCAAAAGTATTGCGAAGAATTAATCATTTATAGACACTTTGTATTTATAAACATTCTATCTTTGAAAACTAAAACCGCAATTTTGTTACATAAATGAGAAATTATATATTACTGTCTTTAAAATATGCATTTAACTTAATCTTAACAAAAAATATTTGTGGAAAAAATCAAACATAAAATATGAAAAACATACCAAAAAATCGAGGCTAAATTTTCAGAGTAATTTTGAATTTTTTTGGTCTGTAACGTGAAAGTTTGTGGTATCATCTCATCTGTTTTCACTGAAAACAGTTTTATATCAGATTTTGTAAATGAAAAGAAAAACTAGAATAAAAATGAATACAAATTCATTAGGTCAATTATTTCGCCCAGGCGATATTAGTTAATTATTTTTAAGACGCACTCCATCTTTCAAGGAAACTGGAGTTTACGTTTATATTTTCTTAAATAATAATAAAGGAACTCTCGATTTCCTTTGGTTCTTGTAGAAGTTTGTTAAATAAGGGCTAAGACATTTTTAAGGTAACCGCGACCTTACGGTGGCTCATCCGTGATGGGAACGATCATACTGTCTTATTAAGCTGAGATCTCGTCGTTTCGACGTGCTCATTTTTACATAACTACTCAAATTTAAAACAAAAAAATTCTTTCGTTCAAAAGACGGAAACGCACTGATTACGTACCTAAGTCTGTCACTGATTGTGATTATACAAAATGAGTAGTATAAGCGAATGTATTTTTTGAAATCAATCATTCATTAAAACAGAATACCAGTTTCAGTCGTCTCACTTCTGCCAAAAAGCAATTCCAACTTGTGTAAGAATTGCGAGATTGATCACAATAAGCGAAATATTGGTCACAATAAACAGAAAAACTGTAATGCATTGGTATTGCGTGGGCCCGTTCCAAGCCTTTTTGATCACACTAAGCGGTTGATAACATTAACCGCGGCGTCTATTGTATTCCGATTGACCTCTGACTTCTGGTTTACAGTAGAGTCGAAATACTGCGAAAAGAATATATTGAGCCATCATTATCTGTCACTGTCTTGACCAGTGACGTTCACGTCAGAACGCAATGGTATTCTGATTCTAAAAAAAATATAATACCTATATATTTTTTAAATTAGATACAGTTCCTGTGCTCATTTAAAGTCTTCCCCTAAATTCGCAACTGGCCCATCCGGACGCTTTTAAGCTTACTACAGCGACATATTAGTGTGTTCTCAAAATATTTCCACTCTATAATTTCGGCATAACAATGTATAATTTGGGAAAATAAAACTGATTTATTTTAAGTTTAAAGCATAAAGAAAATTCTGTCGTTTTCATAATTTCAGTCTTTCCTACTTTACTGAACAAATCTTAAATTATATGTGGTTATTTTGCAGACGGTTCTTTCATTACGGCAATCAAGTGGTACAAAGACGATGATCTTATTGTTGATAGTGCTGATGAAGAATTGCCTCTTCCAGAAGGTCATATGCTTTGGGAAAATGGTTCTTTAGAAATATTTCGAGTTACTCCAAACGATACAGGAACTTACATATGTGAAATTATTAGACCAGAACCGTGGTCTCCTATCAAACAGCGTCATGCTATTGAAGTATTACGTGAGTCTGAGTAGTCATAAAAAACTTACAGTAGTTTTAATTGAGACAACATGTCCACAGATCCACCGTCCGTAGAACCTTTTCCACCTGATGGATTCTTACAAGTTAAACTTGGAGAAGAAGTAAGAATGTCTTGCAAAGGGAGCGGTGTTCCATATCCAATCATAACTTGGTATACGCAAGTACATAGATATCAAGAATGTATTTATCTTACAAATATTAACAAAATATATTTTAAGGGAGAAGAAATAAAACTTCTTAACCACAGAGAATTATTAAAATTTACAGCTTCTGATCGTCAGATGGCAGGGATTTATGAATGTAGAGCAGCCAATGGAGTAGGAGAACCAGCTACAGCTCAAATTGAACTGAATATAATTTGTAAGTAAGCAAATTTGCCCAAAACAACGACGAGAGAATTTTTTTTAGATCCTCCAGAATTAATGACATCTAGGTCATGGATACACACTGCGCCTGGACACCGCGTCCAACTTGAGTGTAAAATCTCGGCAGATCCACAAGCTACTGTTACTTGGACAAAAGGAGATATTCCTGTTCCTTTAGATAGCAGAGTTGTATCTTTAGTTGATGGAGATAAATATACATTACTTATTAAAAATGTTCAAAAAAGCGATTTCGGAATTTACACGTGTAAAGCCATCAACGAACTTGGGCAAGGCGAACTTCAGATACAGTTATCAGGTAAAGAAACGAATTCTTAGATTTGTGCTCTTATTTTGCATGCCATTTCGTTTAGGTGTCCCGAACCCTGGAGTGTTCAAAAAAACTGATGATAAAAATATAAATTCCAAAAACTCGTATACGTTAATTTGGGAAGTTGATAGCTACACGCCCATTATTGAATATAATTTGTGGTTTCAACCTTACAAACCTAAAACTGGTTTAAGTAAACCTGAGTGGACCAAGTTAACCATCCCTACAGAACACAGTAGCTCTGGCCCTGTTTATTCAAAATCATACACTATCAAGGGTTTAAAAGAAAAAACCGTCTATGAAGCACTTCTCGTATCACGAAATAGATACGGATGGTCAAAACCATCACCAATTTTAAGATTTGCCACTCTTGGGGCAGGTAATAATAATTTTAACCAATATTGACAACAATAGTTAACGATTTTCTGTTGTAGATTTAACCGAAGAAATAATCACTCCTGTACAGCATCATACTCAAGACAACATCATTCCTCTAGATCTCAGTTCTGCTTCCAAAATTCATCGCTTGCACATATTTAGTTGTTTGGTTTCGTTTTCAGCAATAATTTATTGTTTCAATTTCTAATAAACTCTTACAAAAAAATTGGCGTAGCTCAGAGGTAAAACTTCTGCTTCATAGATCCAGGATCGACGGAATGAAATTAGCTGGCGGCGCATACCTTTTCTTTCAATTAGATAAGATTTAATCAAACTTTCATTCTTTACTTCCCGGGCGTAAGCTAAGGAAGTATTGTAATCGGGTCTATCGGGTGACTGATTTTCATATTTTCTCGATCGGTCATGACCCCTAGAGTACGAAAAAATGGGTATTCCGTTTCCGTCCGTCCCGATTTTTATTAGACAGATAATCTCCGAAAGTACTGGGCCGATTGTTGTCAAATTTTGTATATATTTATATTAGGAATATCATGTAAATGGTAAAACGCTGATCAAAATGTGTCTAATCATTCCCACCAACAATCTGATGACGTCACTTCGAAATAGCAGATGGTAAATGGGTTTTAAATTGTATAAAATAACATGTAGTTTATTACTCCCTGTTGAGTTTTTGCCCAAACCGTCCAGATTTTTGAAAAAAAAAAAATCAAAATTATAAAACAACATTTTGCAGTTTAATTTTGAATCTGCAAAACCGAATGCTTTGAAATATTGCAAATGTTTTAAAGTTATGTAATATATTTGCTTATCCCCTCCAAAAAAATGATGACGTCAGCTCAAAATTTGGGCGAATAAATTCTATCTAAAATGTCCAAGATAGGATGAGTCCATACTTATGAGTTATCATTCCATTAATATTTTTTGAATTTGTTGATGCAGGATGACACAAAAAAATTAATGAATGCGTGAATTATTTTAATGATTTAATCAGGAACTGCAAAACCGAATGCTTTGAAATCTTAGAGATATTTTAAAGTTATCATAAGCATGGTAAATTTTTGATCAAAATGTATTTGCTTATCTCCCTAAAAAATTAATAACGTCACCTCAAAATTTTGCTGAATAAATCGTATGTATGATAGGAGTCCATACTTGTGATTTATCACTGCATTAATACTTTTTAGATTTGCTTGTACGGGGTGTCTCAAAAAAATTAATGAGTCAATATATTTTATTCACAATCAGTATGTAATATGTCACTTGCTAACTTTTTTGAAGTTTGAAAGTGAGGAATTGTCTGTCATTTTTACGAACCTCGTTAGAGGTCGACAAATTTTTTGCGAACCTCCACGCCAGTGACGGCTTGATTTCTCTAGTATTGTTTGATTTTCAAATAAATTGTTCCTTAGATATTCACTTCTACCCCAGCGTATGGTTGGATAACAACCTAAATAAATCTACAGGTGCCCAAATATTGCCTCAAATAATTTAACAAAAAACTTGACAAATTATAATGTCAACTTTGACATGCAACGCCTCCTATTATAATTATAAAATGAGTGAAGTGAATTTTTATTTCTACAATACTTATTTTTATTCATAATGAAATGATTGTGAATAAAGTACTTTGTATACATACACTCGGTGGACGTGTTTTATTCCCGCCTCGGTATGTAATATACTATTACAATGTCCGTACTTGTGCCGAGACGGTTTATACGGATATACTTGTGATGCTGGACCATCAGGCTCCCGAAGTTAAGGAATCCCACACACAGTAAACTGCACACTTTGCATTTGCATTAATATTTTTTGGATTCCCTTATACTAATACATTTTGATCAAAAATTTAGCATGCCTACGAGAACTTTAAAATATCTCCAAGATTTGAAAGCATTCGGTTTTGCAGTTCCTGATTAAATCAATAAAATAAATGCACGCATTCATAAATTTTTTTGAGTCACCCTGTATAAGCAAATCCAAAAAACAGGAATGGGATGATAAATAACAAGTACAGACTCATCATATTTTGGACATTTTAGATAGGACTTATTCGGAAAAATTTTGGGCTGACCTTATCAAGTTTTTGGAGCGGATAAGCAAATATATTTTGATTAAAAATTTATCGTGCATATCATAACTTTAAAACATATGCACGATTTCAAAACATACAGTTTTGAAGATTCAGAATTAAATTGCAAAATGATGTTTTATAATTTTGATTTTTTTTTCCAAAAATATGGACGTTTAGGGTAAAAACTCAGCACGGAATCATAAACTACATGTACAGGAGTATTTTGTTTATAAAATTTAAAACCCATTTACTATGTACACATTATTGGTGGGGATGATTAGACAAAGTTTGGTTAGCGTTTTAACATCTACATGATGTTCATAATACACGTACAAAATTTGACAACAATCGGTTCCGTAATTTCTGTCTAATAAAAATTCACACAGACGGCAGATACACAGACAGACAGACGGAAACGGGAGACCTATTTTTTCATATTCTAGGGGTCATGAAAAGTCGAGACAACTTAAAAGTATTGCGTCAGGCGATGGACGCGATTACAATACTTCCTTCGCTTACGCTCGGAAAGTAAAAAGGGGCACCAAATAAATAATTGCATTAGGTTCCTAAAAATCTAGATTCGCCCCTGGACGTTCTCTTGAACTTTGCGCTCTCACGGCACAGGGGCTGCTGGTTTTTACTACATAGACATTTTTAAATGTAGGTATAATTCAGGTAGTAATGACCTATTCAAATTTGCTTAAAATTGAAAACAAATTTTTATCCATAATATTTTCCGTGTTCACCAAAAGAAAAAAGTTTCCTAAAAGTTATCTTGATCACGAAAAAACTACATCTATTGTAGATGTGATGTTTTTTGTCATTTAAAAAGTAAGTAAACGTAAAATTTCCTCTTACGACAAAATAGCACATTCGAAGCTTAAAATTTAGTACATCTGTTAAAAACAATTGCCAAATATTATAACTATATAGAATACACTCAGAATTGTTAAATATTTATCCATTTTTGTAAAGATATTAAGATTCGACCGTTAATGTTATAAAACGTTCAGGGCGCGACTGTCGGAGGGTTCGTTAAATCTCTACTACTACAACTCTAATACTAATTGGTACGAAAACTCAGGACAATACAGTCACACCCATGATACAACGAAATCTACTTGCAAACTTGAATCACATATTACCATGTTTTTAATTTTTTGGTGTTGAGATCATATTTATTCTAAGAGGACTTTAAATGTATACTAATAAAATTGTAAGCCATGTAGCGTGCCTACAGAATTTCCTGTGCTGCCCCAAGCAGACGGTCTCTAGCGGTCGTATCTGTATAATTTATGGTTTTAGAGTCTTGTGGGTTCCGTTCTTTGACTAAGGTTGTAAAATTTTATTAGTATTAATGATATCTACTCATCCAGACCAATTTTTAGTTTTTTTTGTCGGTGCATTTCGCAAACATCCTGTATATTTAAAGTGGTCTTACAATACACAAGTTACACCGAACAGCCGCTTTACATATGCAACCAGCAATACCAATACAGCGAATAATTGAGTTGATGTGGCAGACACCCAGACACACACTATTTAAACGTTTTAGCATTTACTATTTATGCATTAAATTACTGCCGTGTAAATTGATTGTCGTTCAGGTTTAAGCCCCTTACTGCATGTGTCAGGGGTTCCTCTGGCATCTGAGGTGGTGTTCCTTAGTATCAAGTGTATTCTACTAAGGTTTCTAACCTAAAAATCGGCACTATTTGTTTATAGTGTAACGTTCAACGTTGCCTGATGCTGGTATTTACATTTATTTAATACATATTTTCGTTTCAACTGACAAGAATACCAAGTAATTTTTTTATTAAAAATGGAAACCGAAAAAGTAACCATGCTAAGATACAGAGGATCAAAATTTAGTAAAGTTAAAAAGATAGATATTTTTCCAAAAGTGGAGGAAACGTTTAAGGAAAAGTCATCTGTGGGCGGAACCTGTATGTTGAACAATGTTGTTTCAAAGCACGACTAATATCATGTTTTCTAATAGTTTCAGTATTTAGTTTTATTTTAATTGTTTGGCTAGTGTACTCTGAGACTAAATATTACATGGATAGTAAATTTATTTTCAAGTTTTCACCAGATGTTGATTTTGATGCAAAGTTAAAAATTAATGTGGATATTACAATAGCTATGCCTTGTTCAAGTAAGTATTCTTCACATGAATAAATTCTACCAACTTTATTCTGTTTTGTCCAGATTTGGGTGCTGATATTTTGGATTCCACCAATCAAAATGCATACAAATTTGGGTCTTTGGAAGAGGAAGATACCTGGTTTGAGCTAGCACCAAATCAAAGAGCTCATTTTGATAATAAGAAACACTTTAACTCATACTTAAGAGAAGAGTATCATGCTGTTAAGGTAAATTAAATTCTTGCTGCATCAATGCAATTACCACCAACTGTTCTATCAGGACTTGTTATGGAAGAGTAGTTTTTCGACAATGTTTGGACATATGCCAGATAGAAATAAAGTTCCAAACACTCCACATGATGCTTGTCGAATACATGGATCTTTAATCTTAAATAAAGTGTCTGGGAATTTTCACATTACTGCTGGAAAAAGTTTAAACCTGCCTAGAGGTCATATACATATAAGTGCATTTATGAGTGAAAGGGACTATAATTTCACTCACAGAATAGACCGTTTTAGCTTTGGAGATCCTAGCCCTGGAATAGTACACCCTTTAGAAGGAGATGAGTTAATAACACACAATGGTAAAGTGTTATATGATGTTCTGACCAACAAGTACTAAATAATTTTATTTCATGTAGGAATGACACTATTTAATTATTTTATTGAAGTAGTACCAACCAGTGTGAAAACATTTTTAACTACTGTAGATACATATCAGTATAGTGTGAAAGAACTTAACAGACCCATTGATCATGATAAAGGTAGTCATGGCATGCCAGGAATATTTTTTAAGTATGATATGTCTGCATTAAAAGTCACTGTAAACCAAGAAAGGGATCACTTGGGTATGTTTTTAGCAAGATTATGTTCAATAATTGGAGGCATATATGTATGTTCAGGTATAGAAAAATCGGTAATTCAGACAGCATGTTGTATTTACAAGTAATGTGTTCATTTTCAGGGTTTCTAAATAATTTGGTGCAATTTTGTTACAATTTTATAATGTGTAATTGGGGACGCCCAACAAACCAAAATGAAAGCAATTTAAAATCCAACAAAGTTCCTGATGTTGTACCTGTTGCTTTGTGATAAAACTTTTTTATTTATTTAACCTTGTTCTGTTGATAATTCTTGGATACTATTAAAATGAAATGATGTACATAGTTATACGTGTATTTTTGTAGTGTATAGACACTGATATACTTAAGGTAAGCCAGATGCCTGATTTGTGTTTCGGTTAAAGTATAATGCGGGCGTGTTGCACATCCGTTGCTGACGCCAATTTTGTATGACACAAAACTTCGCAAAACTATTAGTAGGTATGTCGCAAATCTACTGCTACTCAGTATAATATACCAAGTGTTTAATAAATAAGTGAATACATTTTGCATAAAGACTTACTATATCATTTTGATATACTAACCTTAAAACGTTGCATGACTTAAAAATGTTATACAATTTCGATTTTTTTCACAAAATCTGGGTATCTAGGGTAAAAACTCAACTCAAGTAAACCACTGACATAGACGCCAGACATACAGATGGAAACGTAAGAATTATGTTTTCACTGAACTCCTCGCCTCTAAAGTACAATCTTACGTCACAGTATCTTACGTATATATCCAATGTTTTAGAAAAAATAGAAATCTCTATTATCTATAATACCAGCCACAGTGTAAGAAAAATTAAAGTTAGCCAAGAGGGGATCGAACTCACAATCCTCGCCTTATTAGCACAGCGCTCTAACCAACATAACTATACTAGCGATCGATTGCGTTTCTCTTATATTAGTTAGTATAAAAGGTTGTTTTATATTTTTTTTTTGCAAAAATTTCGATGCCTTGAGTAAAAAATCACAGCAGGTTCTTAATGTATGTAATTTAATGAAATTTAAATAACGTTTACCATGCAAAATTTTGAGGTGGCTTTGTCAAATTGGTAGTGGGGATGATTAGACAAATTTTGGCTTGTCTTTTTTGCCTTCTACATGATTTTCCTAAAATACCATGGAAGTAAAATGTGAGGGAAGATAGTTTGAAAACTTTTTCCTGTCTGGTGCCATGCATAAATAGCTCTTCCGAGAAAGCGGTTGTTCCAGTGCCGTGCTCGAAAGTGTTTGCCGGGTGTTGGATATAAGATACAAAAATAATTTAATAAGATAAAATTTACTTTAGTTTTTATGTTGTAATTATTATTTTTGTTTTTATTTCATAATTACGTAAACAGTAAGGCGTTTTTACTATCTGTGAACCTAAGTATTTCAAATCAAACGGCACCGTATCCCGTAAATGAGCTCTCGTTTACTAGCAAATCTTTAACAGTGGTGCAATCAGGCATGCTCCCTCCTGTCATTCTACCTCCATGTTAAATACCTATAAGATTTAACAATAATCGCCCTGGTAGATTCAAACAAAGGATAGACAAACGGAAACGTTTGACAAGAGGATTTTTAGGGAGTTATTACAAAAATACAATTTCGTCTTCGCTTGAGCGTTTATGGACACATGAAAAACTGGTCACTTCCAGCCGTTCCATTAATTTATGGTTTGCAGCCAGTCAGCCACCTACACAAGGAACTTCCGCCGTTGGACGGCTATGTTTTGTTTTTACCCATTTATCAGCGAAAACAACAGGTCTTTGGCACGACAAAAAAGCACATATAAAATAATACAAATTCACGATAGAAACAATTTTATCCACGCCAGCGTTCACACACCAAAAATTGTTATACCAACGATAAATAAAATGTTTCAGAATACCCGGAAAGGAAAATGCACAATTGATTGAGTCAATATCAAGTCAGCAGTAAAAATTTTTGGTTAGTAAATACTGTGCTTTTTATCCTGTTTTAGTTTTCAGTAGCTTCTTAAACGACAAGCGACAAGTTGTAGTAGATAAGTAGAACAACAACAACATTAACTAAGCACTTGTTTCTCAGTTAATGAGAAATTTTAAATCCAAATACGCAGTGACAATAAAATGGAAATTGATAAAATATCTTTTGAACAGCACTTTACGTGTTTCTTGTGTTTCAGATTGTTTAATTCTAAAATCCAGTTGTATAGAATGAGAATTCTATCTCAGAAATTACTTATGATGATTTCTAAAACCAATTCCTAACTAATTTCCAATAAAAAGTTAAAAAATACACTTTTTGTTCTACTGTTCGGCCAGTCATGTTCCAAAATAAAGGGGCGACTACTGTAGGGTTAATACTATCGTTAATTTGCACTTTTCTATATTTTATACCTTATTGTTACTAAGATTGTTTTTCAGCCCACTAGGTGTTTTTATTGTGTGGAAAACATTTTCTTGTAGTTGAATATCACCTTATTTTGTCGTACGATAAGCTATTTTAACGGAAAACATATTTTTTTTGACGTGCAAAAAATTTTTGATGAGTTCTGTTCATTATATGTATTACATCTTCTTTGTCGCTAGTTTTTATCCGTTTGGTAATCCATTACGTATGAGAACGCAATTCGAACATATTGTTACATCGCTCGCTGATTAAAATCGGCGTGGGTAACACTCAACAATTTATTTCTTACTAACTTAAATTTACACGACTAAACTGCACAGCAATTATGTACAAAATAATTCCGGCGCAACTGGACCCGGCTCGTTGACTGAATTGGCAGAATAATAATCCTTTCCGAAGGTGGCCTCTATTTAAAGCCATACTTCCCTTCTAGAAGTTCCGCAGTCGAGGTCTTTCTGGATTGCCCATCGCGACTTCCGCTTCCAGGCTTAGCGAACGCCACCCGGCCGTCGTCACCGACGATGAGTCATCATCGCCGTACATACTAGAACACAAAGGCGTCGTACCGGGGCGGTGTATGGGTTTCTTTCCTAACAATATGCTATCAAATGCGAAATGAAAGTTATTATATAATTTGTTTCTTTTTGTTTATATTCTATTTTTATTACTGTTTTTTTTTACATACGTATATTAAAGTATTGGAAACGTGTAAATTAAATTTTCTAACCAAATCCTATTCATAAATAGGGGCCCCAAATAAATGGGAGATCATCAACTCCAATTCAAGATCATAGCTCCAGTCCAAACTGTAATACTGTTATGTTATGATTTATAACAAATTTTGTAAGCCCATAATAAATGCTAATATTGTTTAAATAAATAATTATTAAAATAATTTTTAAGTTATTACACTTTCTAATCAAAAATGAATTGAATGTGTTCCCCTACTAAATAAGTGTAATTAGAGTCAGGTAGGTATTTGCCGGAGCTAATGCCATGTCCAAGGAGTAAAGATGACTGCGAACCGGGGTCGAATTAATGAACGCCCGACCTGGACCGCAGTTAAGGTTCTCCGAAATAAATAATGGCATCAGGCTCCAAACAGTCTAGACCTAGATCTACCACTAACGGCAGACCTACTTTTTTATAGTCCAGGGGTGATGTACGTCGAGAAAATATGAAAGTAGCCATGAGCCGGATGGACCCCGCTCGAGTTTCAAGAAGTAAAAACAGAGACAAAACTTATTTAGGTGAGGCCGGGACTTCAATTAACAGAATCAGTATATTAACGACCGAGTTTGACAATTTTGAAAACAGCGAGTCGGCACTTCGATTTATTTTAGGGAGCATTTAAATTTTGATCGACAAAATTATCTAAAAAACTTGATCGAAGGATTCGAAGGTTGTTGTGTCCTTACAAAAAGTAAACTTTGCAAAGTAACCTTTTACAATAATTTATCTAGGAAACTGGAGTTATCTGACGTTCTTGAGGGGGGAGAAAGTTTTGTCTAAATTAATATCTTTAGACCACTTTTTTGCTGTAGTTAGAAGCCAATATTCGTCTTATTTTATGTGTATACGTATATAAGAGCACTGACATCGATACAATTGATGCAAAAACTAATTTTGTTATTTTAGAAAAACTTTTATGAACCTCTAAGATATTTCAGGGAGTGAAAAAAATCAAATCTCCTGTAAAAGTTAATCAGTATAACAATATTTGGTTTATCCGCGTTACATATAGCAATATCTGTTAGATAATTGCACCTATTCTTGATATAGGTATAAAACACTGGTTTTGTAAAATATATCTACCATTGTTAACTAATTTTTACTAAATCATGTTTATTATATCAAACTGAAATTTATAAAATGTATCAACAAAAGTCTTCATTCTTTGAGTCAGAATTAAGAGTTTACAATTCCATATTCACCATACAAGTTAATTTTTATTTGTCTTACAAATACTTTCAGCAGTATTCTGACAGTCTTCAAGAGAAGAGAAAATATTGTTACTCCCATGACATCCCCCGTATATCCCCTTTTCACACTGCTGTTCTGCGTGATTCCAGTGGTAAATACGGAAGGCGGCGAAGCATGCAGTCTTTCCAATGTGTATTGGTTTCGAACAATCTGGAACGTAGAAACCACAACTAAGTTTACTACTTATTTACTGATACCAACTTCCCGTTAACAAAATAAAATAAACAATTATCATGGAAAGATTAATTTTGCTTATTTTCGTAATGTAACTTTTAAATTTATTTAAGGCTGGTAGTCTGGTACGTTCTACTTACCGTCTATTGAAAACGGTTTTTGTGCAGGTGGCGCAAATGCCATTGAAAACAAAAGGACGAAAATGGAAATAATTAGATACTTATGCATAATAACAATATAAAAATAATAGTGTCACTGCAACTTTTTCTCGTGTTATGCACCAAAGAGTAGTTACTAGTGTGAGATTAGTTACCTAATCTTGAAATGCTGCGTTTTTGGTGACCTTCTCCTTTAACCTTTCGATAAACATTTACCATGACAACTACTCATTATTACTTATTTAAACAGTGTTCAATGCGTTTTTTCCTTGTGTTTTTATTGAAGTGTTAAATCTAAAAAGCAATGTTTTGAAAACCAAACTTGTCGTGGTTTTAAATATTATCGTAAGATATACCTACCTACAGTGAAAATTTAGTAAAAAATTAGATTTATGGTTCGTCCACAACTTTTATTTTACACTTAAGCGATGCCCATAAATAATTATTCATACGCATTACAATTTTCGATAAATTATGTCTTTCTTGATAATTTTCGTACAACACTACGAAATCTGAAGGTATAATAAGTAAAAAGTTAACGGTGGTGCATTATTATTAAATAAATAATTGGTTTAAAAAATACATTTTCAAAGAAAATTCCAAAAGGCTTTTGGTAATGGCGTCATGAATGTTGAGTAGGGATACATAGGTATATGCTAATTTTATAAATTACTACGTAGTACTTATTTAGAACGTTATGAGCTGTCTAGTCAGTCGTAAAATTTGCGTCTAAGAATGGAGTACAAAAAATTCCGCATTTCAGGAGGTGTTTTTCAGCCTAAAGATTTATTTCATGTTTTGCCTACTCAAAATCAATTGTATTACCAAAGTTTTAAAGGAATCAATTTTGGTAGTGTTTAAAATGAACTATAAAATTTGATGGTTGAAATTTATTTTTTGCAAGAAAACCCATAGAATTGTTAATCGACAAATAAAGAATTACATAAATTTATTGTTCTAAGATAATATCATCCATTTTTGAGAGCAATCGAATAGATAATTACACAGCGCTCTACTTTACAAGGCGACACGGTAGCCTTGATGAACATATAAATAAAGTAATCGATTCTGTAGTTTCGGGGATTATTTGCTGATGGTAAGCGAAGAAAAATGTTGCTGCCCCGGTGGGAATCAAACCACACGTCACCCCCGCTTGGCAGGCAGGTGCCCTTACCACTAGACCACGGAGGGGCTTATCTTTCCTCTCATACCAACCTATTATTATTATGCTGCCACATTTGCCTAAACATTTTTTAATAGACAATGAAAACGGGTAGTAGTACAGCATTTTTTGTTTTTGAAACTTTCAGGGTGTCAAAACAAGGAACTTCATCCAGTGTTCGAATTACATCATATAGTTACTACAGAACAAATAACATTAAAATCGGGAGTGTTGTTTCCCAAAAATATAAATTTTCAGATTCGATGTGCGCTGGTATATTTATACTAACTCTTTGTTTCTGTCAAAAATTCGCTAAAGAGGAGGTGTACAAGTGGTGCATAACTGTAGTTGGGGCTTATAGGAGTCTATGAAAGTAGGTAACAGCAGAACTAGCAGAATCCTTTGAGGAGAGAAGAAAAATTGCCAAAACAGTTTTTGGCAGTCAAACGACGATTCAAGTGCTCTGGACATAGAACACCTCAGCTCAGCACGTTTGTTGCTAGCGATAAACTGGGAGGCGACAAATCAATCCAATATAATAATTGTAGGTACATCTAATTGTTATAAATAATAAATAAAAATGTTACTTGCTGTTTTATGAAGTTATCAAGTGTTTGTAGGACAGCATTTTTGTTGGAAAGATATTTTTATTTCAAAACCTGCATATGACGTAAGTCGTGGTTAAAAGCTCATCCAGTGGATTTCATCATTTTTATCCTTTCTAAGAGTAAATTTAGTTGGAGAATGTGTGTGACACCTGATTAGTTTTTTTTTTTGTATGTCTTATCTATACTTCTATACTTATATAATAAAGCTGAAGCTGTTGTTTATTTGAACACGCTAATCTCAGAAACTACTGGTTCAAATTCAAAAAATCTTTTTATGTTGGATAGTCCATGTATCATATCTACATATAGGCTATATAACATCACGCTACGATCATTAGGAGCGAAGTAGCACTGAAAAATTCGGAAAAACGGGAAAATTATTCCTCCTTTGACAGCTTCCGTTGCTTACGCTGCTTAAACGGTTAAAGTTACGTAAAAATCATGTATGACGAAATTGTTCCCCTCTAAAAGTTCTAAAGAAAAGTCCGCGACAGCATATGTCTATCTTTTAAGGTCGAGTCAGTATAACCTTTTTTATGGTAATGAAATTTGTTCTAAAATAATAATGCATTATTATGTATAAAATTCTCGCGTCACTGTTTGTAACCGAACTTCTCCGAAGTGGGTTGACCGATTTGTATGAAATTTTTTATGTATATTCGGTAGGTCTGACAATAGGTTGTAAACTATTTTTTAAACCCCTAAGTGATAAGGGTGGCCCACCCTAAAAAATTTTTGTCTATTTTTTGGACAAAATTTTTTATTTTTATTTTTTTAAGATTTGGCATCAAAAAATACACATAACCCTAAACTTTCACCTTTCTACCACCAACCCCCATTTTTTAATCGTCTATAAAATAAAAATCAATTGCTGTTCCTGTTAGTCTCGCTAAGACTCAAAAACGGCTTGACCGATGTGAAAATTTTTTTATATTACGGGGATGGTTTATAAATAAAAAAATAAGGATAACTTAAAAGAACAGTTAAAAAATAAAAAAATTCTAAAAATTTTGTATGGGAATCGCCACTTCCAATTAATTTCAATAGTTGGCGTTTCTGACGGACCTGTCGTTTAACTGACGTGTCATACAAAACTAATTCTTCCGTGCGATTGTGAAAAGTATATTGCATTTCAAATCGTTCTTTGTTTTTTCGTAAAAAAAAAACGTCGTTTATTTTAAGAAAAGTCTTGGTTAAAGTGAATTTAATTACACATTGCGAAAGTTTCTTATTCATTTTGATCTGCCATTCTATTTACCTATATTCACTTTGTTGGTTTCGACAAAACCTCAAAGTTTACCGTTATTCGAGGATTTAATTTGAAGTTTTCAATATTTTAAAATTCTCAAGACAAAATTTACAGATTTGATTGACTGTGAAAATAATTCTGTGTCGTTTTATGACGTTCATTAAAATGCCGAGAAAACGACAAGCTCACATAGGTCCACGAAGTCAATCAAATGTGCGACGAACTACCTCAGGTGCAAACCGCAATGATTTATTTCATGGGTAATTCGGATATGGAAGTTGATCAGCGTTGTGCTCATAATCAACATAATCAAACATTGAAGCGAGACATTGGGTGGTATGAATAAAACTGAGTGGATACTCATATTCGAAGTACGAAGTACCTACTTCATTATTACTCTTACATACCTGAGCATCTACTCTATGTACTGAGTACCTACTTGGAAACATTGTATCTCTCCGGACACAAACTGAACATCTACGCGTTTTGTGAGCATTTAATCTAGAAATGAGCATCGGCGTGGCAAATAACTGAGCTGTCTGTAAAGCAGCTTAGAAAACCAGTAGGATCGTTGTAAGAGTGAATTTTAACTAAACATGGTGACTTTCATGAACGTGGAACGTCGTCAAAAGGTGCATTCAGTTTGAAAAACACATTAGGAGCAGGAATATCGAAAACTTTTCATGTAATTAACTTTTATTTATGCATAAATTGTGCAGTACTTATACTTTGGTGACTCGATTTTTGCCTTGATGGTTGAACACTGTCACTGTTGTCATTTTTTGTTGTATCGAGATGCTACTTGAGCATCAACTGTTACTTACTGAAGTATTAGTATCATCTAGAAAAACTAGAAATATTTTGATTTGATATTCGAGTAGATACTTCGTATTTCGAGGATGAGCATCTACTGAGTTTTATTTATATCAACCATTGTCAAAAAATTGATTGAACGATTCCTTCGCACTAAAATTATAATGGAACATATTCAGCATTTTCGAGTTGAGTCTTTTCTTCACACAATTTTGTGATGACCTAATCAACATTTACTATCAACACGTATACCACCTTGGATTGGTGCAGTGTAATACTAAAAATAACTGTATTGTATTCCCAAAATTATCTGCGAAAATCGAGTGAGCCATTCCATCAATTTTTTGGGGGGATAAATAAAAAATTTTTTTTTCAAATATTCTTAACAATTTACCATGCTTACAATAACTTATATACAAAGTATTCATTTTTGCAACTCTTGAGTTATTCACTAAAATAAATTGACTGATCCATATATTTTTTTGAGTCACTGTAAAAGCAAATCTAAAAAATATGAATGCAATGATAAATTACGAAAATATACTGATGATATTTTCCACATTTTAGATAGGATTTATTCGGCAAAATCTTGAGATGACGTCTTCAAGTTTTTGGGCTTGATAAACAGATATATATATTTTGATTGAAAACCTACCATGTCAAACAATAACTTCAAAACGTCTGCAATATTTCAAAATTCAGTTTTGCAATTCTTGATTAAATCAATAAAATAAATTGACTCAGTGATTAATTTTTTTGAGACACCCCCTATAAGCAAAACTAAAAAATATGAATGGAATGATAAATCACAAGTATAGTCTCATCCTATTTTGGACATTTTAGATAGGATTCATTTGGCAAAATTTTGGGCTGACGTCATCAATTTTTTGGAGAAGATAAGTAAATATATTTTGAATAAAAATTTCTTATGCTTATCATATGTTTAAAACATCTGCAAGATTTCAAAGCATTCGATTTTGCAGATTCAGAATTAAATTGTAGGTGAAACGAAGTTCACGGGGTCAGCTAGTGTTATATATATATATAACGTACAGTCACCAAAAATCGTCCTGTATTTGGAGTTGGACTTTTAACTGTCTTTTTCAGGGTAGCAGAGGATGAGAGAAACAGCTCTGATTTTAGGATGTTTTTGTTTAGCACTTTACTAAGACCAGCTATGCTACCAAATTCTCATTACAACTACAAATAATCCCTTTTCGATGCGGACAAACTTTAAGATAACAATCGTTCTTCAGAAACTACAAAAACCTCTTCAATCTAGTAGAATTAATTTTTGTAAATCATTACAGTAATTTGTTTTTATTTCGTTGCTATAGAAGTGAATTTCAACAACAAATGTCAAAAATCTATTTTCAATAGATTTACAATTTTATTTGTGTTTATTTCCTGTAGTTAAAAAGTTTTTAAAATGAGTCTAGAACCAGATAAAGACGACTTCTCCATGTTGATGGACGTTGCCAGATACATCGCAAAGTCAGCAGAAGCCAGTAGAAAATCAGGAAGTGCAACAGCATTTGCATTGGCGGAATCTTTCAAAGAAAAATTGGTATAGTTAAAAGAACAGCTTACGATAATTGTTGCTATTTTCACAACGTGGCGCTATAACTTTTGTTAGGTAAAAGCGAAGGAAAGACGTAGCCAAAGATATCAAGAATTACAATTACCTCATCGACATGTCTGTGATTTGATAGCTATGCACCTAGATATAGAGCCAAATGAGGTTCTTGAAGCTGCTGTAGATAGCGACACTAACATCGAATTGTTGGACAGGTTACTTTCAAAGAATGGTATTTTAGGAATGTTAGTTTATTACCAAGATGGACCTGGTTATGAAATCGGTATTTTAAATATTTGTAACAACAAATTCTTTTATATTTTATTTTCCCCAGATTCAGGAAGGTTTAATCCTAATGCTGTAGCAGACGTGACCATCAAGCGCTTATATTTTACTGATGGAATGGACTCAGCAATGAAAGAAATGGTACTTGGCATATACAAGTTATCAAATGTTGACATAAGCTTGAAAAATATTACCGACGTAAGTTTACATATATTCCATTTACGATCTTTCTGGATAAGGGATGACTGAGGAAATTTGGCTTTATTTTAGTTTAATAGCTTTAAAAATGAAGTTATGAATGCAATCATTCCTTGAGAAATATTGAAGCATGCGTTGCCAAAGTTAGATTTTCTTTATCGGGTGGTATTGTCTTTGTCATTTGTACTGAAACACCATCTGTTGATTTTATTTGAAATTTAGCAACTGGTAACAGTAACAGCTTTCCGTCGACTGTGCACGACTTTTTATTAGAAAATTGTCTGAATATGAACCTTGCCAAATTTATGATCTATGATTTATGATGATTCAATAGAAATGGCAAAGACTATACGATAAACTTCGCTGTTAATGAACTTTTTCCTTTGCTGACTTATTTGATGTTTTATTATCATGTTTAAGATCATACGTACAATTTATTACTAATATACGTAGGTACAACATATCTAAAAAATTGACTTAATTTCACCATAAACTTGGAGCCTTAAACATAATCATCATCAGTTTAAATATGTGATGTATAACTACTAGTTATGCCCCTCTATTTAGCATATTTTTTAAACTTCATCTTTGCTGCATAAATAAGTTAAAATTTGAAAACAAAGAAGGGTAAACTTACTGGCTGAGTTTAATGTTTGAGTACAATCAATTTGAAAACCAGCATTATTAAATCTTAACATAATAATAGCAAAGAAATATTTAACCTTAAACCGAACATAACTCTACCACCAAGGTTAGTTAATAGAGAATCTATTAAATGACTTTGTCTACCACTTAGTTCCGTATCCTTCCATTTTTCTAAAACAGTTTATCCAACACATAAAAACCACAACCACCCCTTAGCCAGAAAAATCGTTAATGGAATATATTTTAAAATGATTATTATTTTTATTTTCGCAATGATTTAAATTTCCAGGCTCTCTTCGTTACAAAATTCGACATTGAAGCTGAAAATGGCAATTCTGTAGCCGTTTCTTACAACCTGTTGGCACAACTTATTGACCCATCTGTTAAGTTGAACAAAGATTGGGGAGACCTGCCTAAAACAGAAGTTGGCCTTCGTCAAAAAATCAATTTTGAAGGAGATTTTAATTCATTTGTTGATTTTTTAAAACGTATGTACCCAATTTTAATCGTCGCTTTTCAAAAACCGTCAATTTTATTTGTTTTAGAAACTAAACTCGATCTTGAAATGGTTGTCAACTTTATTTACGACAAAAATTTATATCGTAGAGACTTAATAAACGAGAAGAAGCGTATTGAAGCAATACTGAACTCGGCAACCGTCCACCAAGTAGAATCGACTGTTAGAATTTGGTGTAAACAAATGGAACGGGTAAATTTGCTGCTATTTTACACGTGTATTTAGATGTTTTTTTTATTGCCACATTTTGTCTTTTAATTCTTCCTAAATTTGAATTAAATTAAGTTAGTTTTAAATGAAAAAATGTTTGATAGAAATTAACTTTTAAAACTAAAGTTGTTAACTAATGCATGTTTTAAACATCAGGCTCTAGTCCAATATCAGCAGTTAAGACGGGAAAACGAATTTGTTGGACCTCTTGTGGAAATTGAATACTGGCGGAGACAACTTGCACGCTTTACAAGTATAGTGGAATTTTTGCAAGATACTCCTTGTAAAACTCATATTCAGTTCCTCGAAGCATGTAAAAGCAAGCTTTTAAAGGTAAACATAAGGAGCACAAGTTTCATTACTTATTTAATTCTTTTTTCAAAGGTTTGGTCTAAACATGAATGTGCCGTAATCGAAGCAAAAAACGAATGTGCCGACAACATGAGATACTTATATGCTTTAGAACAATTTTGCCATCCACTTTACAGATGTGAAGCAACAGAATTATTACAACATATTCCTCCTCTGCTACATGCCATTCGAATGACTTATACAACGTCTAGATATTATAATAACACCGGAAATGTGACAGCGCTTTTAGTTAAAGTATCAAATCAGATGATTAATGTATGTCGAGCCTATTTAAACTGCAATGGTGCTAAAACGGTATGGAACCAAAAAAAGCAAGTTGTGTTAGACAAAATTAAGGTAAGACAATATCTGTAATAATATGTATGGGTATTTCTTCTGAAACTCGGATAACTTAGCAGAGAAATTAAGGATTACAAATTGCTTTATCTAAAATTATGTTTCTTTATAATGGTTTTGATTGAGCATTGATTAAATTGTGTGTGAAAGGATCTTTTATAAAGTAGATATATATTTTAGAAGACAATAACATTTGTTTATTGCTCTACCAAAGGGTTTGCAAATGTCAAAGCTAAGTTATGACTTTATCTTTGGTTCCAAGAGACTGACAAGTCCATCAAAGGACGAAAAGCAACGTTATTAAAAATGAGTTAGGTATATTATTATTATTATTATATTAGTTTGTTTTTTATTTTAATCAGTACTTTTAATTACATTAATTTTTTCTAAAAGCAAACATCCTTCTATGCTACATGTTATTATTTTTATAGTTTTACTTGTATCAAAAATTACAGAAAAAAACAAAAACAAATTTAAAGCTTCAATCTTACACATCAAAACTTAAATCCTTTTCAATCTTAAAAATTAAGAAGTCGTCTATGTTATAAATTATTATCTTTATCACAAAGTCTTAGTTTCAATGAAAATTAAAATAAGAAAAACAAACAATCATAAAAATCATAACGTAAATCTTCTTCAGTATTAAAATCCAAGCACAAATTAACCAATATTACCTTCTAGGGACTCATGAATGTTAAAACGAAGAACATCTTTTGATTAAAAGGAGCCTTATTTCTTTTAGTTTTCATACAATTAACGTTATAAAAAAGACATTAAAAGAAAAATTTATCAAAAACAGTAATAAAAAATTAAAGGAATATTTTTTACTAACGGACTGAAATTTTGACCACCACAACTAGCAAGGAATAGAAAATGGCTGATTCGCAAATAAAGACACTATAACTAACTTCAAGTGATTGCTTTATGTTGAAGTTGAACAGATATAATATGTTTTTAGCTTTGAAAAAAATAGTTCATTTTCAAATTACATGTTTGACAAAAAACTGATGACGGATGTTGAATGCGGTAATTTAACTAAAAAAATTTTACTCGTTCTGTCCGAAAATATGGTATCAGGGGCGGCTCATGACTTGAAAAATTGATGAGGCAAAGCACAAAACGCTCTAAAATATAAATAAATCAAGATTACTTAAATATTTTCTATTTAGTCAAATAAACAAATTTGTAAACTCATTTAACTGTCCACAAAGAACCAACGTGAAGGTGTAAGGAGGTCTTGCAAGGAAAGGATGAGAATGACAGGACAAAAGGAAAGGGAAGCGTGGTCAGAAAAAACTAATATAACTTCTAACAAAAAACAAAATTAAAATAAACTATAAAGAAAACATATCGAAAAAGATCAAATACAACATAAAATAAAGCTAATTTGATTTATAACAAAAAACAAAATGAAAAAAATATAAAATATAAATACGGATTTATTTTAAATTTTTTTTATGGATCAATTAACGATTTACTCAAATCAGGAACCGGCGGTTTTAATTCCTTAACTACATACAATTTATCATCATACGTGAAAGTAGAAAAAACAGAACTGCCATTGTCATTTAACGTTAGTAGAGAAAAATTCCGATTTACTCGTAATCTTAAATAACGATTACCGAAATCAAATTATGACAAGCACAAAGCACCAACGCGACCCACGCAAACGTAGGCACTTTTAAGACAAAATTCTGTTACCGAAATTTTGAATAAATTTATACACACACAGATTTGTGGCAAAACAATCAACGGCCTAATTTTGAATACTCCTGCGAATGCAGACTGCATTGTAATCGCACGTTCCACGCGCGCAAATATTATAGTTGTCCATCTCTTTTGCAAGCACGGAAATGAGGCTAGCCTCAATTTTGTCTTTTTTCAACTCATACCGCTTATGAGTGTATTGCAGGTTGCTTGCCTATTAACGACATGATTTCTATATATGCTGTAGAGGCAAGCTTCGAGTCGGCCTCATTCGCGTCAAAAAATACATGTTGTGCCGAGTGTTTAAGCGCGCTGTTTAATTAAGGGAGCAACGAATACCTACCGAGATAAAAATAAGAATATAATTTTCTATATTTATTTTTAAAATTTTAGAAAAAAGACACAAATTATTGGCCGAAATGTGTCCGTATAAAATAATAAAAATCCTAATAAGGCGTAAAATTCATTGGTGAGGCACTGCCTCACCTGCCTCATAGGACAAGCCGCCCCTGTATGGTATACCTACATTTCACAAAATTATTAAAATTAACGAGTGGTGACCAGCAAATTATAATCAAGTAATTTTGTTTGCAACTTGTATAATAATGGAACATCATTATAAACAGTGGAATGAGATCTACGTTCGTTTCTGTTAAAAAAGTGACCAAGAAAATTACTACAATAACAACAAAATAAATCGACACCCGCTGAATTTAAAAAATAAGAGATTTTAGAACGAATAATTAAATTAAATAAATTATTTATTATAATAAATCTAATCAATGCATATCATTACTTGGTCTTAGTACCCGTAATGATAGAAGTCTTGCCTGAATGCCGGTCATTTCCGGGTCAGTGGTGGGTCTTAATAATAATATATTATAATCTAATTTATTTAATTTTAAGTATAAAATTCCTCATCTTAATAAATCCAAACTTCGTCGTGAGGGAAGGTTACCAACGAGATTGGTATGTTCTCCAGAAGCTCTAAATAAAGTCCCATTGCATATAAATTGAAATGCATTGTCTTTATAATAGTATTATTAAATAAAGTTACAAATGTAGGTATACCTAAACTGACCATTTTTTTTTAAGTCAAAACGGGACGTCCATACATACTACTAATAAAATAAATCTAATATAGAATATAGATATACCATACATACATAACATAACATACCCCAGTGGGAAGGTTAACAACAAAAATAAACAGAACTTTTTAATCTTCTTTCTTTATTTTATGTTCACAAAAATTAAAAATATTTTTAGTATTATAAGTAGTTATGAAAAATAAGAAGCAATCACCAGCTTCATTAAAGTAAAGCACCATTTATGTGACAGTAATTATTAAATTCCAACATAATAATATTATATTTTTAGTCGTATTTATATTTCTCGGAGGAACAAATTTGCTTTAATATTGATGGTGATGCGCGGTTTTAGAAAACGGGACAATTTTGCGTTTCAGATCATTATATGGGGACAACGGGACAGGTGGTCCAATAAAAGGACAGTCCCGTTCAAAACGGGACGCCTGGTCACCTTAGGTATACCATAATTTCGGACAAAAATAAATTTAAAATGTATACCATATTTTCGGACGGAGGGAGTATTTATTTATATTTAAATTTTGTCGATTATTTACACTACGTAAAGTATCCTTAAATATATACAAATTAAAACTAACTGGGTCGTATGCTTTTCTTTTCGTTAAGTCATTCACTATCTACAATTTAATGAACGTCTCTACATATTAATTAAAGGAAAATAATACGAACCGCTGTGTAAACCTAATACTTTAAAACATACATTCATTCTAAAGTGAAAATATGTAGTAGTGACAAAACCAGGAACTGATATATGAGACAAGTAAGAACGATTAAAAAAAATCAATACATACAATATATTTGGTACTATGATATGATGATTCGGCGTGGATTAAAACTCAACAATTTATTTCTTAATAACTCGTATTTTCACGATTAACTATTACAGCGATTATGTACAAAAATTATTCCGGCGAATTTCACTGGACGCTTTTGACTCCACTAGCTGAATAATAATCCGTTCCCCAAAGGTGGATTCTATATAAACAGTACGCGGTCCTCGCTTCTAGACTTCTCCGGAATCCCCATTTGCGACTTTCGTTTCTAGGCGTTTCTTTAGCGCTCCGTCGCTCAGTCGCAATGAGGATGAATCATCACCGGTGTAAGACGAGAGAGTTTTCGACGGCCAAAGGCATCGTACCGAGGCGGCGTAAGGGTGTATTTCGTAACTAGATATATGATCGGGTAGTACTGGTTTTTGTGTATTTCTCATCATTAAAAATTATTCAATATACTTGATAGGTGTCTAAAAGGCATATGAATACATGACGTTACCCGAGTTTTGTAGAATTACCCGTACAGGTTGTACATTCGATATAAATAAGAGAGGTATTTCAAATGGTATTTTCTTGTTTAGTTCACTACCTATAAGTATGTTATAGACTTATTTATGTAGTACGTATAGGTCATCATATAGGTGTCCTCTAACAACGCGTGGCTCTATACATAAAACAATACTATTATGCATGAACAATCCAAAAACATCCGATGTTTAACTTTAGTAATTTGCAATATTTTTTTCACAGGTTTGCTTAGACATGTACCTAAAATATTACCAATGTTTTAAACACATCCAAGAAGAAATGAAAGAAGCAGGGGAATCTCCTTTTGAATGTTCTGAAATGTATGTTTTTGGAAAATTTGAAACATTTAAAAAACGAGTAGAAGAAGTAAGTAAAAAATTCTTGTTATAATAGTATATAATATAACATAAACAAACATTTTTTGTTGTCCTGTCTATTTCAAATGGAGATATTTATTTGCTAGTTACCAAAATAGCAGAAGCCGTAGTGAGGCAGACTGTCACAAAATTGTTAACCAATACATATATATGTTTTAACATCGACCGTCTAGGTTTAAAAGTCGAAATTAGTCTTTTCGTGTGATAAATCAGGCCTGCAGTCAGAATTTTTGTCACGTTAAAAATTGCTTTTTTAATAAATGATTTACCTGAAATACATAATTATGGATTTTTTCCATCTGAATATACAGTTTACTATTTGTTAATTGTCGATCAAGTCGGGGGTCACTACTAAATCAAAATTATTATTCACCGTATAAATTTTAAACACAGATACTAAACGTTAACTGAAACAATTGCTATAACTAAATAAGTACTATAGTAAAATCTAAATTGTGACGGATACAGTTTAAATATTCGTCTTCTGTTTCTTTTTGTTTAATAATATTTTGTTTGTTCCAGTTATTTAACAGATTTTAAGTTTTTGCAGCATAAATATATGAATATAAAATCTTACAAAATTTGTAATTTTTAAGATTGTTGATGTTCTTGAAACAACGACTAGATACTCCATTCTCCAGAGCAGTAAAATTGAAAACATTGATCTCTTTGCGAACAAGTTCAAAAGCTTCTTTCAACATATTTCAACACAAAAATACGATGCTTTAAATCATCGGTTACCACATTTTGATAAAGATTACAATGAATTTAAACAAAACGTTGTGGACACTGAGTGGGAATTGGAAGAATTTGTAGGCAGTTCATTGGAAAAAAATACCAACGTATATAATGTTCTTAGGTTATTACGAAGGTATCAAGGAACATTCAATACAAATAATAAAACCGTTGAATGCTTAATTAATTTAGGTTTGAGAAACTGAAATTAGAATGTTTGCATCTTGATGAACGCTATTTAGAAGCCATGGAAATGTTTCAAAAAGAACTTGAGGATTTAAGAGATCGCTATAATGAAGACAGACAAACGCCTTTATTGCCAAGGAATATGCCTCCGGTAAGCGGACGTATTATGTGGATAAGACATTTATATAGAAGAATGGAAGAGTGCATGGAAGTATTTATAACCAAACCTAGAGTGATGCGACACAGGGACGTTCAAAAATGTATACAGTTGTATAATGCCATGGCAATGGTATTCATACATTATGAGCAAATTTATCATGAAGCATGGTACAAATTCGCTGGCCAAGTATGGAATAATTGTATACAACCAGTTTAATTCTGGAATCTAACTTACAGGTTCGAGCCTGCTTAAATACACCAATTTTAACAAAAGATCCAAAAACTAAGAGGTACAAGGTCAATTTTCATCCTTATATTTTGGAGGTAATTAGAGAATCAGAATATATATACAAACTGGATCTTCGTACGAATGCCTTACTTATTTCATTCTATTTAACTTTATTTGCAAATTTTAGCGGTCCCTGATGTTGGTCAAGTTCTTGTGTTCTGTAAAGAAAAGATACTAAATTCGTACGAAGTTATTAAAGGCTTGGTTGAACGTAATGATAATATTAGAGGCAACATTCCACCGTTGTTTATACCTCTAATTCGTTTACAATTAATGAAAATGGAGGACGCGTTCAGACCCGGATTTTCCGTAATTACTTGGACTTCCACTAAAATACCGGAATATTGTGACGAAGTTAATGGAGTTTTGGATTATATTGAAATGTTTGTAAAAGAAGTTAAAGATATGAAGGAAGCCAGAATTGATGAAGTATTAGATGCTATTGCCTCAACCACTTTAGTGCATCTTCCTAATGTTGCTTTAATACCAAGCGAATTTTTAGAAGAAAATAAAAAATACATGGACCAAGGCGGTAACTACATTTTGTAATTTTACATACAATATAATTTCATCATACTTCTTTTCAGTCAAGGAAATAGAATTAAAGTCATCAACTGCTGAACGTGCTGTCATTGATTTGATTGAAAAATTTTTGAGCGTTATCGAACAACCAGAATTACAAGATAAAAAGTATGACTGGCTAGATCCAGATAAAGCCATCAAACCTGTTGGGTCCGCTTCTCGTCTAAATGTATCTCCAGAAGCGGGTATTGTTCTGTGAATTTTTAACAGGAATGTAATGTTTTAATGTTGTTTTTTTTTTAAGCTTTCAGAGAAATCGACAGAAATGCACCATTAGATTTAAATTCAATTCATAATGACTGTTTAGAATTGTTTGCTTTTTTTAATATGAAGCTTTCTGAAGCTTTGGTTAAATGCATTAAATTATCATTGGAACAAATTAAAAAAAGGACGGCAAGGTAAAACCATGTTAAAGTAACAATTTACCCGTGTAGTATGTACAGTCATGCTCACATAAATCCCGTACAGATGACAATCTGAATTTATATCCATGCTATTGATTTTGTATTGATTTTGACACAACGTAAAAGTGAGGTTGTACGGGATTTATGTGATTGTAGATAATTAGCGAAATTACGTTCCGTACAACGTATTTTACGTTAACGTACACAATCTCCAATAGGGACACTGCATTTTCTATGTTTCTATAGATATAACAGTTTTTTCTACGTTTTGCGTGCTGTACGTTCTACGGAACGTGGTTTCGCTAATTGTCTAATAACTGAACACTGTATGTCATTTTATGAATTTATAAATTGTTTATGTAAGCATCTGATTTTTCAAATTTGAGTTGTCATAAATAGCACTCTCTTCATTGACCATAACAAACAAAATCTAGAATTTTTCAAAATTATTTGCTCGCTACTTAAAATTTAATCATACTTGTTTATAAAAGCATTTCGCTTAACAATTTGAAAAATTACGGTGACATTGTCCAACAAACGTAAATTTATTGTAGTTTGAGAGACGACAGCAGCGCGATGAATTCACCAGTTATGAAAACAAATATGGAACTACAAATCCCAATCATAGTTATTAATCCTACATTAGATGAAATTCAGAATTATTTTACACAAGTTATAACAAATCTTCAAAATACAATGAAATTTGTTTGCATGTGGGGACAACGTGGTACTAAAAAGAAGGCAATAAGGGAGAAACCTCTGAAATTTAAGGAAGTGGGTAAGTATAATTATTATAGCACTACAATTTAAGTTAAAGGAAATCGATTTTTCTACGATACTATTTTTTTTTTTTTCACTGATAAGTACGATACAATGATGTTTTTTGTGATATTAATAATAAATTAATATTAAGACAGTATATATAAGTAGGTATTTATGCATTTAACTACCGTTTAATTTATTAAATTTTTGTTCTATTTGGCCATGACGTGTAGATTCTACGACAACTGGTCGCAAACAATTGATCGCGCGACAATTGATCGCAAGCAACTCGTCCGCAGCACAATTGGTCGCACGCGACAATTGATCGCGGCGACAATTGATCGCAGCGACAATTGATTGCACGTAAATTGATCGCAGCGACAATAGATCGTACGTAAATTTATCGCAGCGTCAATTGATCGCAAGGTAAAATTCATCGGAAGTATTTTCTTTTATTAAAACTAAATATTTTGTATTCTGAATTTTAAGTTGCAATAAATTTAGCAACCAGGTAAGGTGTAAATATCGAATTAAAAATAATTTGAATATAGATAAATGACGAAGTTTGTAGTTGCACTTTAAAAATTAAAAAATACGAGCGTAAACACCTTGTTACATAAGATTTTTTATTAATAAATTGTCATTTTGGTTATTTTTTTTTTAAGAGATTGTTTCTATTTATCTCGTTGTTTATTTTACCTATTATATTATAGGAACTAGCTTCATTATAATAAGTACTCAACATAAAAACAAGTGTTTATTGTTTTTAACTAGATTACAGTTATTTAAAAAATAATATTTTTAACAACCTTTAAATTTTAACACGTTTTGATACAAAATTGCCTCTATTGTCTATTCTTGTCTTTATACATATCACCAAACAATAAAATTTATGAACTAATAGTACATCTAGAGTACCCATATGCAGCGAATATAAATTCCACTGGAGGGATATAATACTTATTTTAATCCCTTGTAAATTGCAACGGATCTTTTACAGGGTTTGAGAAAGGTTTACGTGTATTGTAAATATATATTGCAAAAACTTTTGTTAGAGCGTCAAGAATAATTTTGTGTTACCGGGAAATCTAAGAAATGTAGGTACTTATGCAACTAAAAACTTATTTTTTAATTATTATTATGTGACTAGTATTGTACTGAAGAAAAATGCAGTTGTACCATATGTGGGTGTAAAAAATACTTATACAGGGTTAGTCACGAGAAAATTATTTCTGAAAATTATTTTTACGCAACCCAAAATACGAATATCATGTACCACTTGATACTAACTGAATTTAAAATGAAATGCTTAATTCATGATTGCTTTGACTTTGGCAATGTCATTTTGACAATTCTGGAAAAGGAGGTTACGCGAGTGTCCATGGTGGTACCGCAGCCAATTGGAGATCTCCGCTGGCGCCGCTAATAAGTTTGTCAGGGCTTGCTTCGAGTGCCTCTTGATCTTTTGCAACCGATTAATGACGAGAACATTATTTCTAAAAATTCCTTTTACGATAGATATTTCTGTGACGTGTAAAACAGCTCTCAGATCTAAAAAAAAAGGAAGAAATAATTGGTTCGCAGTTTTCCATGAATGACCCTACTACGGGCTGCCAGCTGATTTTATTCTTCTCCGCACTTTGCATCCTACAAAAATCTACAACATGGGCTGGAGAAGCCCACCTACATCCGGCAGATTAGGCAAATAATTCTGAGTGAATAGTCGGCCTTCCGAGTGAAAACTTTTCAAACTTCCCAAGCTAAAAATTAGTCACGCCATTGCGAATAACCACTACTCAGTGGCGTCGTCATCCTGGTTGTTTGTACTTTTTAACGGTATTCACTGTTTGTAGAGAGCGGAAAATATGCAGCAAAATTTTGGGAAATATGATCATATGATATGCATCAAATTTATGCAAATATGCAGTAACTTGGTTAATATATGCAGAGATATGCAGTTGCATATGCTCCAAAAATAAAAAAAAATCGTAATAACCGAACTAAATTTATTTACAAATTACAAAAATAGGTTTCCCGAGCATAAGATTTATTACAAAAAATACCTAAATCACATTGCAAAGTGTTTAATTAATTCTCACTAACACAAATCACATTCTTAAAGATAATATCGTTATACTAAAAAATAAATATAAACAGAACAAATTGAAAAATAGTAGTAATCGACTATTTAATTACTATTTTGGTAACAGTTTATTTTTAAATATTTTTCGAAATATTCTAACAAAAAGTTTTTCCGGTGATTCTAAAATATGCTTTTCTAAGTAGAAAAAGTGCGTCCAACGTTCACAGTTGTATAAAAATCCTTACCGGTTTAGAGCAGGCGCGACAAAACAGAGTTCCTTCTTGAAGAATAAGTTCAGGAAAAGGTTTAATCCATAAATTAATTTGAGTTATCGTCGCCATATTGACCCACCTGTATCGCTTTAAATGCTTTCAATGCAAACTCACGATGAAAATTAATAGGTAGGGTAACGTCCCTTCGACCACCATAAAACATACCATTAATACAATTAAGTAACAAACAAAAATATTGGGAATGAACGGTACTTCCAAAAGTAATTAGAGCCCGAATTTACCTGGAAGAATGGCTTAACACCCGGTGTTTCTCCAAACTACCATAAAATCCAAACCTTTACTAGTTATTTGAAGCTCAGGACAATATTTGCAATATGATTAATGAAATTTCGTTTTTCTAGATAAATGCCGATAGAATGACATTTTTTTTTTTTCAAATTAGCACAAAAATTGATAAAAATGCAAAATATACACCCGTTACGTGAAATATGCAGCAGAAGGCAAATATATGCAAATATGCAATTTTTTTATAGCTGTATTCATTTTTCATTAGCATGATTCGTTCACATTTTAAATATCAAGACTTATATGCAAAAAATAACGGATATGCAAATTTCATAAAATCCGCTCTCTAACTGTTTGTATTACTTGTTACTCGTGATGTGTTGATTGATTTAAATATTTTAAATAATATTAATTAATAGAGAACATAAATCTGTTATGTGCGTTGTTTTATTCAACAAATTTTATTCCATGAGCCGCATCAAAAAAAAAAAAACTGTACGTCACTGTCATCGGCAGTCTTATCTGGGTAATGAGGGGTACTGTTTATGACACTTTACCGGTTTGGCTCGAAACCATCATTTTAAGTCTGGCACTTCCTCCAGTATGACTATATTCCTTTGCTCCATGGTCAAAACTAATCTTTTTACGATCTTGTTTACAGAAATGGCGTAAAAGTGGAGATTGGTATGTAGAGGTACTTAGCAAAGGGAACGAGATAAATTATTCATTCTGTCGTATCTACAAGTGCCTTATTAACAGTGTGAGCGTTCAAAAAAGTTCTGAATGAAAAAACATCTTTGGTTTTATCATGGATTAAAGATAATGCAAAACTAATTTGTAGTGAGCAAAAAATTGTCTGCAAAGAATGCAATAAACTTCAAGATTAATTGTTAATATATAAATTCAAATTTCTTTGCACCAAATTTATTAAAAACTATATATATTTCATTTTTTAAACTATCAAACGTAATGAAAATAATACTTTTTCCCTTAAAACTGTAACGAGAGTTTTATCACGATTTATTTATAACTTTTTAATTTGATAGTTGTAATAATTTTAAAAGCATTTTTTATTAAAGAAAAATGACGTCTAACACGTTTTGAAAGCTATTTTTTTCACTCGTTTAATTGACAAACTTTAAACTTGTGAAAAGAAAAGCTTGAATGACTTACTTGAGCGTCTAATCAATAAGACCAATAATCCAAATGAACATTACAGTAGCATACCGACGAGATGTATTAGCATTAAAAAAAATATTTTACAATATTTTCACTTTTTTGCACTTTGGTTTAGTCGGAAATGAGCCTAATAGTTACCGTTTTTATGGAACTCGTATGTATTTATTTTGACACTATTTTTAGAAATAATGAAATTTTTGAGAATATAGCACATTAATTTATTTTCCTCATTCATAACAATTACTTATTTCTCTATAAACGCTATCATTCTTCGCCTGCGATCAATTGTCGCATGCGACCAGTTGTACTTGCGACGAATTGTGTTGCGATCAATTGTGACTGCGACAAGTTGTCGTTGCGACCAGTTGTCGCTGCGACCAATTGACGCTGCGATCAGTTGTTTGCGATCAATTGTCGCGCGACGAATTGTGCACGACGAATTGACGCGGTACCTGACGTGTACGTCAACAGTGAAATTCAAACGGAGGACGTAAGGGTAAATACCATCTAGAGCAGAAATTTTAAAAAATTATAAATTTTATTTCGAATACGGTGTTAATTTATGAAAAATAAGCAGGCTACACTTTGTACCACCACCCTATTTCGTTTAACTTTACGCTATAATTTTCAAATATTTTTCAGCTCAATTGGTAGCCAAAACACCTCCTGCCGATAGAAATTACTACAAAATCGTAACTGAAAACAAGGAAATTATCCGGATTTTTATGAGTCTACAAGGCGTTATGTATTTACTAAAACCAGATGTCGCAAAATTGTTACAAGTATGTATTTCAACAAATCAGTCAAATTACCAACAACTTATTTGCTTTATTGCAGAAATATCTGGATTATTCATATTTGTGGGCAGAAAACAGAGACGATGAAATTGAAGAGTTTTGTAACCAAAATCCATTAACAGTAGAAATAGCGGAAAAATTCCAAAGCTTTGAAAACAGAGCCGACATGATCCGAGACTTACCTGCATATCATATTGTGGATTCCATACAAATTGATATGGGTATAAAAAGCAAATTAATTTATCAGTTCTTATAATTCTTAAAACTTACAGAAAAATTTAAACTAGCATTACTTGTCGAATCAGATGCATGGAAACATATCTTAGGAAAAAATCTAGGAAAAAGATATAGAGGGAAATTGTTGGAACTGGTCGACTTTATCAAAAATAGAGAAAAAGTTTTAAATAAACCAATAAAAGATCTGGACGACTGCAGACTTGCCATGGCATGTTTAGAATTAATTAGAGAAAACTTTATCGAAATAGATTTGGATCTAATAACAATGGAAGAAGCTTACAACATATTTAGTAAATACAAAATTGATATTCCCAAAGAAGATACAGAAAGAGTGGAATCTCTTAGATTTAATTTTAACAACATGGTTAATCACGTAAGACTGTGACACTTATACTAGACAACCTAATTAATGAGATATCATTTCCTAGGCAAAAACTGTTCAAGAAAATATATGCGAGGTGCAAGGTCCTTTGTTGGAGGAATTAACGGAAGGTGTTTCAAAATTTAGGGATGAAGTTGAAGCTTTTGACATAGACTTTGAATTGAATGGTCCTATGATACCAGGATTGTCAGCACGTGAGGCAAGTGATAGAGTGCTTGCTTTTCAAGATCGCTTTGATGAATTGTGGCGTAAATTTGAAATGTATAGCAGTGGAGAAAAACTTTTTGGTTTAGAAGTTAATGATTATCCCATTTTACATAAACGCAAAAAAGAATTTAACCTCTTGAATAAACTCTATGGTTTATATTTAGCCGTAAACCACAGTATTGACGGATACTTTGACATTCTTTGGGTTGATGTGGACACAGAAGTTATTTTTGCCGAACTTCAAGAGTTCCAAAACAGGTATAATAAACAACCTTATTATATTTATTTGTATTATAATAACTTTAATATTATCTCTACAAAAGGTGCCGCAAGCTGCCCAAGGGAATGAAGGACTGGCCTGCCTTTTTGGATCTAAAGAAAAAAATCGACGATTTTTCTGAAACATGTCCGCTATTAGAGCTTATGGCTAATAAAGCCATGAAAGAAAGACATTGGAAAAGGATTACTGCGGTCACTGGTTACTCGTTTGATATTGACTCTCCTACTTTTACATTAAGAAATGTTATGGAGGCGCCTTTACTTCAGTTTAAAGATGACGTAGAAGATATATGCATAAGTGCTGTTAAAGAAAAAGATATTGAGGCAAAATTAAAACAAGTTATTGCCGATTGGTCTATAGTCGAATTATCTTTCTCCCAATTTAAGACCAGAGGAGAACTTCTCCTGAAAGGTACAGAAACTGGTGAAATTATTATGGCACTCGAAGATAGCTTAATGATAATGAATTCCTTACTGAGTAACAGGTACGTTAAAAACAAATTAACAGAAAAGTTGAAAACAAAGACGAGTTCATATTTTAGGTACAATGCGCCTTTCAAAAAAGATATTCAGACTTGGGTTCACAAACTTGTTGATACGTCCGAAATTCTAGAAAAGTGGTTAATAGTGCAAAATTTATGGGTCTATTTAGAAGCGGTTTTTGTAGGTGGAGACATTGCCAAACAACTTCCTGGAGAAGCAAAACGATTCAACGTAATATTTGATATATGTTTAACAAATACAAGAACTTTGCTGTATCTTATTTGCAGAATATTGACAAATCATGGATAAAAATTATGACGCGAGCTCATGAGTTACCCAACGCGGTTGAATGTTGTACGGGAGATGAAACAATGGGCCAGCTCTTACCTCATCTTTTAGAGCAACTTGAAACTTGCCAAAAGAGCTTAACTGGATACTTAGGTGACGAACATCTAGCAAAAATACTAATTTATTTATCTATTGATATTTTAAAATCAGAGTCCAAAAGATTGTGCTTTCCACGGTTCTTCTTTATATCAGACCCAGTTTTGTTGGAAATTTTGGGACAAAGCTCAGATCCAACGTCGATTCAAAATCATCTACCCAGTTTATTTGATGCAGTATACAGAGTGGAATTTGACCCCAAAAAAAATGATACTATTATAGCCATGTTGTCTGATCTGGGTGAATCAGTTAACTTTGAGAAACCCGTTGTGTGCGCTGGTGGCGTCGAAATTTGGCTGAACACTCTGCTAGAAATGGTTAAAGAAACAGTAAAAACTGTAATCGCAGGACAAGCACAACTTTTATCAGATCCAGAATACGACTTTATTCAGGGCTTTATACCACTATGTGCTCAGGTAAGTTATGAAGCACTTTTTATCAATTCACTTTTTGATTTTATTGACACTGTTGCTTTTGTTGCCTAGACTGTGGAATACTTATCCCTCTTACTATTTATCTTTAAAAATAATGCTATTGTAAAGATAGCAAAGATATATGTATGGTTTCATGCAATAAATAGTTCGGTTACAACATGTACAAAATAAACTTGCACGACAAAGCTGAAGACCTAATTCCAAAAATTGTGGTCCACGAATGTGGGCATGTGATGTGTACTTTTCTAAATATATTTTACATCCCTAGAGTAAGCTAAGGAAGATTATGATGAAGTCCATTGGGCGACTGGTTGCTTTCATATTTTCTCGATGGGTCATGATACTTATTAAAGTATGAAAAAGTGCGTTTCCGTCTGCCTGCCTGTCTGTCTGCCCGCCTGTCTGCTTGCCTGCCCGCCATCCGTTCCTTATTTATTCAATAAAACAAATTGACTCGTTCATTAATTTTTTTGAAACATGCTATATAAGCAATTCTAAAAATATGGATGTAAGATAAATCACAAATATAGACTCATCCACTCATATTTTTTTTGCACATTTTCGATAGGATTTATTCGGAAAAATTTTGAACTGACGTCATCAATTTTTTGGGAGGATAAACAGATACATTTTGTTTACAAATTTACCATGCTTAGGACGTCTTTATAAGGTCTGCAAAATTTCAAAGCAATCGATTATGCAGTTTCTGATTTGATCAATAAAATATATTGACTCATCAGTTATTAATTTTTTTAGTCACCCTGTAAAAGCAATTCTAACAAATATGAATGGAGTGGTAAATGACAAGTATAGATTTATGATATTTTGCACATTTTAGACTTATTTGGTAAAATTTTGAGATGATGTCATTAGTTTTTAAGGGGGTTGTAAACGGATAAATTTTGATTAACAATTTAACCATGTTTCCGACAACCTTAAAACGTTTTCAAGGTTGCAGAGCATTCGATTTTGCAATTTCAAAGTTAAATTGTAAAGTGTTGTTATACAATTTTGATTTTTTTACGAAAATATGAATGCCTAGGTAAAAGCTCAACACGGATTCATAAACTACAAATTTAAATAACATTTATAATAAACTTGCGATCATTAAAATCGGGCCACTATTCAAATATAGCGTATAGCGTGTTTGGACTGGCCAACACGTAGCCCGGATATGAATCCTATAGAATATCTGTGGGATGAACTTAAACGAAGAATTAGAGATAGGATCCCGGATCCTGGGTCATTCCAAAAGCTCAGAATATCCATTGAAAAAGAGTGGGCTAATATCTTGCAAGAAGTTGTCGTCACCTTAATTGAGTCCATGAATAGACGAATGCAAGCGGTTATTAGAGCTAGGGGGTGGCAACACCGAATATTAACATCATTTTCTTCTTTAAATTGTTGATTTTGTTAACATAAAAAATTTCGTTATTGAACAATTTTCTTTTTTGCCCAAAAAAGAATATTGCAAAACAATTTCATGAAGTTTTTCGTAACTCGTAATACAGTTCGGTGGAAAATTTGATTCAAAGTCAAATGTAAATAGTGGCCCGATTTGTGTGGCCCAATTTCAATGCTCGCAAGTGTATGTTGTTTATAATAATATAATTTAATATGTTGTTATACAGTTTTGATTTTTTTACGAAAATCTGACTACCAAGTTAAAAACTCAACACGGATTCATAAACTACATGTATATTATGCAGATATGTTCAACTATGGCAAAACTCTTCACTCTGCTGACATAAATAGCTGACATAATATTGTCTGTTTTTAGGCGGGACTTGTTGGTATTCAGATTTTATGGACCAAAGAAAGTGAAGTTGCAATTAGAAAAGCGAAAGTGGACAGAATGATTATGAAAATTACAAACGCCAGATTTTTGGATCTTCTTAATGCTCTCATCGATTTAACTGGAAAAGATCTATCTAAAAGAGAACGAACTCGTTACGAGACTATGGTAACAATACATGTTCATCAAAGGTAAAGCAGTTTTCGATTTTTAAAAGATCCTGTAGGCTATTCGAGCAGTGTATAAAGTTAGTAAATAATGCATTTTATGAGTATTAGCGGTCAACTAATAAATCACGACGATTTTCTGAAGAAATCTAGGCATAAATCTTATAGAATTTATCACAGTTGGGGATGGAATGTAGTGGTTCCTAGTGTGTGGGCGGTAGCTTTCCTTATTTTCGCAATGGTTCTTCGTCGTGCATTGCTAATTTGGCGTCCAATGCTTTATATCAAATCTTCAACTTGATACGTAGGATAATTAAAGGCGGCCGGAGACGATCGCTATTGTTCATAATGCTTTCTAGCGATCTTAATCGCTCTGGGATCGCTTCGGTCACGAAATTTTCAGAGATGACGATGCTTCGTAAATCGTGTGTCACATTATCAGCTATTCAGGGTTCGGCCGAACATGAGATATACTGAGATAAAACTACTAGATCTGAATGAAACCTTCTATTTTCAGATTTCGATTTCGCTTCCCCACGGGGTTCACTGCCGGGTGGTAAAACATTAAGTGATACCGAGACTAAAGTGACTTTCTACTTTGTAACGATGCGCTCCCGTCCGGCCGCCGAAGAGCGAGTGATTCCCTCCAGCCAGCGTACCAGTTCGGTCACCCCTCTTCTTACAGGCGGCCACGACTGATGTCGCGTGACGTGACGATAAGGCCGGCTATAAATTCTCTCCGTTTTCCGCAGACAAGTAGAGTGTGCCTCGGCAAACCGGTACGCTCTGCCCTTCCCTCTAACTTTCCGCCCTCCAGGCCTTAACCGCAGGACTTCCCGACATCCCCCAGGCATCAGACGGAGGATTACCGTCCCAACCGACCGTCCCCCAGACATCAACAGGGGGATATACCTTTCCGTCCTCCAGGCATTAACCGGAAGACTTCCCGACATCCCCCAGGCATCAACTGGGGATATTCTATCCGCCTCCAGGCATCAGCCGGAAGATTACTGTCCCGACCGACCGTCCCCCAGGTATCAATCGGGGGATATAACTTTCCGCCCTCCAGGCATTACTCGGAGGGTTTCCCGACATCCCCCAGGCGTTAACCGGGGGATATTCCGCTCAGCCTTCAGGCATCAACCGGAGGATTCCCGTTCCAACCGACCATCCCACAAGCATCAACCGAGGGATTACCGATCCAACCTAGCACCGCTCGGCATTAAACACAGCGTTCCGCCTCACAACCATCGTCCACTCTTTATACCTCAACTATATGCTTGAGTTGCTGATTGTTGCATGTGCTGCGTGTTAAATAAATATTCTCATATTATTAGTGTTTTCTTGGAAGTCCTGGAATTGCCATCTGCGACCATTCCCGCACCGAAAACGGAAAAAATCTGTTACAAAAATTTGGCACCCGAGCAGGCACGATGAAGACGATAGTGATCTTCCGCCTCCGAAGGATCCTCAGTCGCCCGACGCGGACGAGGATGAAGCAACGGTAGGTTTAGAAGTGGCTGATACGAGGGTGGGATGAATCTGCACCCTGAAGAAGACACAACTAATGGTCGATATGCAACGGTTTGGGCTGTCCATTGATGGAAGTCTGGACGAACTTCACCACAGAATGAAGACCTTTCCGAAGGAAGGACCCGCCGCCGCTGGCGTTACTTTCCTCCTGGCGCTCTCCAGCCGGATGTCACCCGAAAACCCAACCGATCCGCCCATAAGGAAATCTGCCGGAGGTATTCCTCGTAAAGCAACCGAACCATTCATGTGGAAACCCGTGATAGACGTTCCCCAAAAGGAAGCTGAACGTCCAGTGTAGCAGCATACTAGAGAAGTCCCGCGTAGGCCGAACTTCGATCCGCCACCGTTCGAGCGCTCACCTGCTGGCGTGTCGATTCCCGATATGCTGAACCAGATCCGGAAGTGGAACGTCTCCTTCTATGGCAAGGCAAACGCTGTCGCTTTCCTAGAACGGGTCCACGAGCTGGCAGGCGAGTACTCCATACCCCGTCATCACCTGGTGAGAACACTGCATGAATTGTTGCGTGGACAAGCTAATCCTGTGGTATCGCAACAACCGTCACCAAATGAACACTTGGGTCGACTTTGTGAGCATATTTATGACGTATTTCGTTCCGACCGGATATCAAGAAGGGCTGGAGGAAGAAATTAGTCGAAGAGTACAGAAACCGCAAGAAAAGGGTCGCAATTTTATTATTCCCATGCAGACTCTCATTTGCCGTTTGGGCACTTGGAATGCGGACCAAGAGCTGAACTGCATCTATAAACACCTACCGTCATACCGCCAATATATACGTCGCCGCGATGTCCGAAAAACCTGGGGTGGAATTTTGTTTCTACCGATACGTTACGAAGCGATAACGAAGCGATAAATGACAAGGACGAAAATATAAATTTCAGATACGAAAGAAAAAGACGACCAAATTTTTTCGGTACCAATATTTTATCGTTATAGAAACAAAATCCCACCCCTGAAGCGGGTTATCCTGGACGCAAAACGTTTTCCCTCTCAAATCAGTTGTAAGTCCAGCAATGTGAGAATTCTTCATCCGTCGAGTAGTACATTCTGCGTTTTACCCATTTCATCAATAAATCTGGCGTCTACGGTTTCCATACAAGTCTGATGCCTCGTCTCTTGTAATTGCCGACACAGACGCTGGCTACTACAGCGGTTCCTTCAGTTTTCTCAATCTCATACGTTTACGACCGGCCTGGAACGCGGTCGTATACTCTGTCAGTTGAGTGTCCAGAATCTCACATTATTAATGAGTACTCTATGTTTCTAGGTACGGAAGTAGTGGCGGATGTGCCGTTGCATCAAAAACAGTTACTGCAACACTTTCTCCATCACACACCGATTTTGTCGTCAAGCAGCGCTTTGCAGGACCGCTTGCGTCTTTGTGAGGCTTCCTCGTCTAACTCTTGAAGCTGCGGATTAACTTCAGAATGTTAGCCTCCCGAAAAATTTGATTACTCCTGACGAGACAGGGGCCCTGAAAGCTTGTCTGAGAACTTTTGTCTGGAAGACTTCCAGACGATGAAATTGGATTTTGCAAGGCTTGCAGCTCCAGGCTACTGAGGCATAAGACATGGTGGGGCGAATGATTGTTTAATAGAAAGAAATTTTTTCTTGATCAACATTTTGCGTCTGTCGATTAGTGACGCCAGGACGCCTTTGATTTCATTCGTCTTGGCTACAATGTAGTCAATTTTGTTTTAGTCCAGTCATTTTAGGATAAAAAAGGGATCAATCTCGGAATGAGAGATAATAAGCTGAATTTTTGTATATACCTTAATTTTGGCGTTTTAAAAGTTGTGTCAAAAGTCTCATAAAATCTCGTGTCTGCGTCGTAAGTTATTCAAGGTCAAACATGAAGAAAAACAGTTTTTTGCGATTATCTCGGTTTCTATTGCTCCAGTGATGTTAACATCTATTATCATAATTGTAGAGCACAAAATTTGGGACAAATTTTATTTGAAACATTTTTTCATACGCTCAATCGTTTTTGAGATAGAGAGCAGTGAGCGCGCAGCGCTCATCCATACGTACTGTAATGCAATCAACCGTGAATATCTATGAATACTACCTTGAATTTTGAAAAATTTGTATTATTTATCAATTAATACATTATATTTAAACATTTTACATATTTTCAACATATTCATTGAATAATACTTACCTACTTTGTGTAATTAAAAACGCATTTAATGAAATATTTACTGTATATCTCAATTTATTTATATCTTTAAAATGTGTAAGGTTTTAAATAGTTATTTTTTTTATCGTGATTATAACTGGAAGGTCTGGAAACAACGATTCAGGGCACCGAAGATGATAACGATGAAACAGAAATTCCCGAACGTCCAGAAGATGACGGTGAAGAAGAAGAAAATTAATACTTTTGTTCTTTAAATTATTAAAGATTTCTAGATTTTCACTGCAATTCAATTTCAATCATAAGAAATGTACAGGTACTGAACAAAGATAAAATTAAAATACATTAACTCGTTTTACTTCCTTAAATTTTTACTTTGAAAAAATTAATATAACTTTTAGATATATAATAATATAACAAGTGTAATATATTATCTAATATATAAAAACTTACACATTTGAAAGATAAAGTACTTAATTATTTTTCTACTTAAAATCTACTTTCAATAAATTAAGATATACATACAATAAGTATTTCATTTAAAGAGTTTTTAATTCCACAAAGTAGGTAAGTATCATTGTATTGAAAATATGTAAAATGTTATTAAATGCAATGTATTAACTGATAAATAATACAAATTATTCAAAATTAAAGGTAGTATTCACAGATATTCACGGTTGATCGCATTACAGTACGTATGGATGAGCGCTGCGCGCTCACTGCCCTCTATCTCAAAAACGATTGAGCGCATGAAAAAATGTTTCAAATAAAATTTGTCCCAAATTTTGTGCTCTACAATTACGATAATAGATGTTAACATCATTGGAGCAATAGAAACCGAGATAATCACAAAAAACTGTTTTTCTTCACCTTTGACCTTGAATAACTTACGACGCAGACACGAGATTTTATGAGACTTTTGAGACAACTTTTAGAACGCTAAAATGAAGGTATATACGAAAATTCAGCTTATTATCTCTCATTCCGAGGTTGATCGCTAATTTGACTGGACTATTTTGTCCTGCCAGGGAATGATCTGCCCGAACATCGAGACGTGTCTTACCGGACTTTGACGACTTTTCGTGATGAAGAGCGCAGAGCTTTTATCGGGATGTGATGAGCCAGCGTCTACACCATTCCTCCAGCGCATCAGTGGCCACCTGTAAGTAGATAGCCACATTGTGTGCCGATTTGGAGCGCACAAGGACAGCGATGTCGTCTGCATAGATTGCGACACTAGTTCGAAGGTGTTTAGACATGTCTACGGTGAAGATCGCATACAGCAAGAGAGAGAGCGCTGATCGCTGAGGGACTCCAGCGCTTATTGGATGTTCTACTGATAAAATGTGGCCTATGTGGGCACAAAAAGTGCGGGATCCAGAAATGAGTCGCTGTCGTGTTGTATCATCGCCAACGGCATGCCTACAAGGTGGAGCTTGTAAACAAGTCCCTCATGCCAGACACTGTCGAAGGCTTTGGCCACATGGAGAAACACTGCACCTGTGAATTGTTTCCATTCAAATCACTTTGTTGCGAATTCTGAGACCCGAAGAAGCTGGTGCGAGGTGGAATAGTGGGGTCGAAAGCCGAACTGCTCGTGGCGAAGGATGCTAGTTCGTTCACGATCTCGGCAAGCTACTTCCGTATGACTCTTTCAGCGATCTTCCGCACCGACGATAGAAGACTGATGGGACGATGATTTTGGGGAAAGGATTGATTTTTCCAGGTTTCGGAATGAAAATGACGTTGATTTGTTTCCATCTACGTGGAAAGAACTGAAACTGACAATACCTACCAAGGCGATGATAGCCTCGTCGGAGCTGTTCTTCAGTGCTTTGTTCGGGATCTGATCGGGACCTGGGGCTTTCCACGGCTTAAGACTTTGGATGATGGCTTGGACTTCGTCGGGATTGGTTTCGTTGTCGTCGGGTTCTTTCTCACGAAGATCTTCGACGATTTCTTCGACGAGGTCCATGTGTTCGTCGCCTGCATTAGGATCTATGTTCGTCTGGCACTGGATCTCGAGACTGTGAGCGAAGGCGGCTGCTTTTTCCTCTTTGGTGATAACGATCCCGTTGTTCGCGCTATAAATTGGTGGTAGTGGCTTCTTGTCGCTTTTCAGCGCTTTAGCCATCCACGTCGATTGGTCCTCGGTATTAAGGGATTGGCAGACGTGATGGAGGGAGCATCATCGACGATAACGAAGGTGTCGTCGGACGTGGTAGGTTTTTGTCCTAGGGAAGTCTTCTACGTCGCTAAAGAAGTCGAATAGGTTTCGCCGCGAAATCGGTGGCGATGGTGTGGGTGGCAGTCTCTTGTTACCGGTTTTAGGGGAAGCAGGATGCATCGTGGTGGGGGGCTCGGGCGTAAAGGCAACCTCCATCAGAGCTTCTTCTTATTCCTCATCTTCGGCAGAGGAGGAGGGGATCTCAGCATCGCCGAATTTCGCTACGACTTTTTCTTCGAGTGCGACGATGCGGTGTGTCAACGCGTTGACGGCATTAAGAAGTTAGGCGATGAGATCGCTCTCCAACATGGTGGTATCTCCTGTCTGCACCACGGTGGTACCGGCAACGGAAGCTGTGTTTGTTGTTGTGTTCTCCTTTCCCCTTGCAAAGTAAGAAGAAACGAGCTCTAAAAGAACTGAAAACTCACTGGCGACAGCTCGCTTGTTGGATCTAATCACAGCACAGTATCGAGTCCACAAAACATACAAAAACATTTAAACATGCAAGGAACTGGAAACGGGTCTTCACTCATGGACTGCACTACACGAACTGGTATCTGAAGAGGCAGATGACTGGTATGGTGCTGATCTATTCTTGCTGGGGCGAGCAGTGGCTTTTATAGGTCTTATCCCTCCTTCCTCTGGATCCAAGTGGGATTGAAAACAAATGGGTGCGTCGGGGGTGTCAATTCAAAGGTCCTCCGTTTCGTACAGCTATTACTGCTAAAATTCATTAATTTTCATGAAATTAACGGTGGTACGCGATCATGCCACTCTTTGGATTTTTCGACGGTTATTAATGAAGACACTGCTGTGATAGCTATTTCCTCAATATCTGACGGATTTTCAGGATCGGACATGTTTGTGTTGTACTTTTTGTGTATTCGCGTTGAGAAAATTATTATACAGGATGATTAACAAATACTGTTTGAGTTGGCAATAGAATTAACTAATTTTGAGAAAATTTTCTTGCGCTGCTATTGCCGAACCTGATTGAAATATTGGGCGCTATATTACTTTTAAGCGCTACTGTTAAAAAATGAACTAAAAGCCCTTTTGTGCAACGAGCCAAGCTTACAAAATGATGCCTTTCATAATTGGTTACGAAAATATCTGCTACCGATTTTTTCAGAAAATTTGTACGTTTTTAGTAGTTTTTGTATTATTTATGAAGTTGGTATGCTGTCAACTCAAAGTGCAACTAATAATACACTTACCAATAAATATTTCAGGGACATATTTGATACTATGTGCAAGCTGAAAGTAAAAACTTTACTAGATTTTGATTGGCAACAGCAAACCAGATTTTATTATAATGAGGAAAATGATGATGTACTGGTGAAAATAACAGATGTCATCTTTTTGTATCAAAATGAATATTTGGGAATTACCGAAAGATTATGTATTACACCATTAACAGATCGCTGCTACATCACGTTAGCGCAGGCCATTTGTATGTAACATTTATGACTTATTCAATAATCAATGTTTTCACAATTCATTAACAGGGATTAATATGGGAGGAGCACCAGCAGGTCCGGCAGGAACAGGTAAAACAGAAACCACAAAAGATATGGGAAGAACTTTGGGAAAATTTGTCGTTGTATTTAACTGTTCAGACCAGATGGACTTTCGAGGTTTAGGTCGCATATTTAAGGCAGGAAATTTATTAAAAATAGTAAAGCATAGTTTCTATTTTATTTTTTTCAGGGACTGGCTCAGTCTGGAACTTGGGGATGCTTTGATGAGTTTAATCGTATTGAACTGCCTGTACTATCAGTGGCAGCGCAACAAATTTATATAGTGTTAGTTGCACGAAAAGAGAGAAAACCGTCGTTTATATTTATGTATAACAGTTGTTAGCATACTGTGAATTATTAAATACAAATGTTATTCTAGGGATGGAGACACCGTCTCAATGAATTTAGAATTTGGAATCTTTTTGACAATGAATCCTGGATACGCAGGACGTCAAGAACTACCAGAGAATCTGAAAATCATGTTTCGTAGTGTAGCTATGATGGTGCCTGACAGACAAATTATTATTCGCGTAAAACTGGCTTCTTGTGGTTTCAAAGATAATATAATTTTAGCGAGAAAATTTTTCACTCTGTATGAGCTATGTGAGGAACAGTTATCAAAACAAGTATGACTATTTTTTTTTTAACTTTTCTTCAATGCATCATGATCGTAGGTACATTATGATTTTGGGTTGCGGAATATTTTGAGTGTTTTACGTACTTTAGGTGCTCAAAAAAGAGCTCATCCAGCAGATACTGAAGAAACCATTGTAATGAGAGTATTAAGGTATAATTTTTCGGTTTTTTTTTTTTATTATAAAACGATTTAGTTGTCGATAAAATGTTCTGGCTGCTAACATATTTTAATGGTTAAGATCTTAGCACATCGAACATAGACAAAGAAACAAATATTACTATTTATAAATTGTTCTTTAGTTGTCGATATTATACAGTGATACTTTTAGAGATATGAATTTAAGTAAATTAATTGATGAAGATGAACCACTATTTCTTTCATTAATCGAAGACATGTTTCCTGGTATTAAGTTACAAACACACTCCTGGAAAGATTTGCAGAAAGCTATTTCTAATCAGTGTAGTAAAATGGAATTAATAAATTATCCAGCATGGAATTTAAAAATAATTCAGTTATACGAAACTTCGTTGGTTAGACATGGACTCATGGTTTTAGGTAAAATGCAAGATGACATAATTTGATTAAAGCAGTTATTCTATGTGTATTCATAAAGGTCCGACGGGCGCAGGAAAAACTAACTGTATGCATTGTTTAATGAAAGCTATGACTGAAACAGGACTACCACACAAAGAAATGAGGATGAATCCAAAAGTGCGACTTTTCACATTCATAGAGAATATATTTCATTATAATCAAATTTTAAGGCAATAACAGCTCCTCAGATGTTTGGTAGATTAGACGTAGCAACTAACGATTGGACTGATGGTATATTTTCTACTTTATGGAGAAGAACGTTAAAGATTAAAAAAACAGACTACGTTTGGTAAATACTTCAAACATTAATGAAATTATTAAATTTGATGGTCGAAATTTTTATATTTTAAGGTTGGTCTTGGATGGTCCCGTTGATGCGGTGTGGATAGAGAATCTCAATTCTGTCTTAGATGATAATAAAACTTTAACTTTGGCTAATGGAGATCGTATTGTAATGGCCCCTAATGGAAAACTGGTTTTCGAACCAGATAACGTAGACAATGCTAGTCCGGCCACTGTATCTCGAATGGGCATGGTATTTATGAGTGCTTCCGTTCTACCGTGGAGTCCTATCTTAGAGGTATAATTTTATTGCAACATACGGTTTTAGAAACTGGCAATAATTTTGTAGGCTTGGTTGAAAAAAAGATCTCAGCAAGAAGGTGATGTGTGTAGAGTTGTATTTGGCAAAATTTATGAAGACTTACACGCTTTTATTCAAGTTAGACTTAAAGCCAAAATGAAAATAACTGAAGCATTATATATCCGTCAGTGCTATGATGTGTTAGGGGGGATTTTAGACGTCGGCGATGAGACAAGTAATACAGTGTTGTATCTATTTACTTTTTGTACATATTTAGAACACTTGTAGAAGTGTGGACTGACAAACAATTAGAACGTTTAATTTTATTTTCAATAATGTGGTCACTTGGAGCAGTTTTAGAATTAGATGACAGAGCCAAGATGGAAGAGTTTGTTACAACGCACCAATCTAAGTTAGACTGGCCAAAGTGCAGTGAAAGTGACACAATTTTTGAATATGTTGTAAATCCTAAGACAGGAACTTGGCAGCACTGGTCTGATAGAGTCGAACAGTTTGTTTATCCAACGGATACTGTGATAGAATTTGTTAATATTTTAGTACCTAACGTTGACAACGTTCGTACAGCTTTTCTCATTGATACCATTGCTAAACAAAATAAAGCCGTGCTGTTAATTGGTAACTTTATCTTTATTTATATGAAAATATTATTCACAATATTTAATTTTCAGGAGAACAAGGGACTGCTAAAACAGTAATGATAAAAGGGTATACCCATCAATTTGATCCTGAATATAAATTAAGTAAATGTTTTAATTTCTCCTTTGCTACCACTCCCAATATGGTTCAGGTAATATAACCGAAATTTGTGTGTTTTACATAACCCATATACCTTAAAACAGAGAATTATTGAATCATACGTTGATAAAAGAGTTGGCACAACATATGGACCTCCGGCAGGTAAAACCCTTACAATATTTATTGATGATATCAATATGCCCGTTATTAATGACTGGGGTGACCAAATAACCAATGAAATTGTCCGTCAGTTAATGGAATGTGGAGGTTTTTACAGTTTAGATAAACCGGGAGACTTTTCATCAATTGTAGATGTTAATTTTCTTGCTGCAATGATACATCCAGGAGGTGGAAGAAATGATATTCCACATAGATTAAAGCGTCAGTTTAGTGTTTTCAACTGTACTTTGCCCAGTATTAAAGCCATGGATGTAATCTTCAGTATGCCCAAAGGTATCGTACAAGAACTTTCTTGTGATGACAGTTGCTTTAGGTCAGATTGCCTGTGGATACTTCTGCATTGAAAGATTTGATCAGGAGATAGTCGATTTTGTCCCCAATCTTATTCCTTTAACAAGAAATATTTGGCAGCAAACAAAAAATAAGATGTTGCCTACCCCAGCTAAATTCCATTACGTTTTTAATTTGAGAGATCTATCTAGAATATGGCAAGGAATTTTGAATGTACAAAAATTAGAATGTAGATCTATAAGTTCGTTACTGAAGTTGTGGCGCCATGAGTGCACTAGAGTTATTTCTGACAGGTACTAAGACATTGATGTACATTTGACATTTTTCCATTATTCCATTTCTTTAAGGTTCATTAAAGCAAAGGAACGAGATTGGTTCCAACAACTTTTAAAGAATCAAATAAAAAAAGATCTTGAATCTGTTGCCGACGAATATCCGGAGCAACCCACTTATTGGGTTGACTTTTTAAGAGAACCACCTGAACCGACCGGTGACGAACCCGAAGATTTTTCTTTTGACGCTCCAAAAATATACGAAGAAGTACCGAGTTGGGAGTTTTTTAAGGAGAAGTTATTTGGTAAATTGTTTTTCCAATATTATTACTTTTTACTTAGTACCAACATACAACTTTTCAGGATTTATGGACCAATACAGCGAACAAATCAGAGGTGCAGCCATGGATTTAGTTTTTTTTCACGATTGTATGGTTCATTTAATGATTATTTCTCGAATTGTTAGAACTCCAAGAGGAAATGCCCTTTTAGTTGGAGTTGGTGGTTCTGGCAAGCAAAGTCTTACTCGTTTAGCTTCTTTTATTGCAAATTACAAATTTTTCCAAATTCAAATGACAAGGTGCAAATATATACATTGTAATAAATAAATCAACAATTTAACTAATTTTCGGATATTTATAGAACATACAATTTGGGTAATTTAATGGAGGATTTAAAATATCTCTATCGAGTCGCAGGTTTTGAAGGACAAGGAATTTCATTTATTTTTACAGACAATGAGATTAAGGACGAAACATTTCTGGAAAGTCTTAACAATATTCTTAGTTCTGGAGAAATAGCAAACCTTTTTGCAAAAGATGAAATTGATGAAATTCAGACAGATTTAATTCCTGTAATGAAAAAACTTGCTCCAAAAAAAGTACCAACAGGCGATAATTTATATGAATTTTTCATTAGTAGGGCTAGATCTAACTTACACGTCGTCTTGTGCTTCTCACCTGTAAGACAAACTTAATTCTGTCTTATGAAATATGTGCATATTTTTTAGGTTGGAGAAAAATTTCGAAGAAGGGCACTAAGATTTCCTGGTTTAATTTCGGGTTGTACAATTGACTGGTTCTTTAGATGGCCAAAAGATGCATTAAATGCGGTATCAGAACATTTCTTACATGAATTCAACGTAGTTTCCACTCCAGAAACAAAACAAGAGTTGATCTTTATTATGGGCGATATACAAGATTACGTGGCTTTAAGCTGCATTAGTTATTTTGAGAAGTACTATTACCTAAAAAGTTATACCACACAAATACCGCTTCCTTTTTTAGATTTCGACGACGAGCCTATGTTACACCAAAAACGTTTATATCTTTTCTAGAAATATATAAAACTGTTTACGCGCAAAAGTTGAAGAATATTGGTGAAATGGATACAAGAATGAGAACAGGTTTAACTAAATTAGTGGAAGCTCAACAGAATGTTGACGAATTAAAGAAAGAATTGATTATTAAAGAACAGGAAATGAAGGTCGCGACAGAAGCTGCAGAACAAGTATTAGAAGAGGTAATGGCAGCTTCCGAAATTACAAATAAAATTAAAGAGGAAGCAACCATTGTAAAAGACAGAGCTGAAAAACTCGTAGAGATTATTAGTGTCGATCAAAAAGAAGCGGAAAGTAAACTACTAGCGGCTAAACCTGCCCTGGATGCTGCGGAGGCAGCTTTATTGGTCAATAGTTCGCTGATTTATATTTGATTCTATTAAAATTTATTATAATTCTTCAGACTATTAAAGCGGCAGATATTGCAACCGTACGAAAGCTTGGGAAGCCACCATATTTGATTACTCTGATCATGGATGCTGTTTTAATTTATTTTAAAAGAAAACTAGAGCCTGTTAAAGCAGACTTTGAGAAGACGTTTTTGTCGTCATCTTGGACTGAATCATTGAAAGTTATGGCTGACACGAAGTTTCTTAATAAATTGCAGGAATACCCTAAAGATACAATTAATGCAGAAATTGTTGATTTACTCCAACCATACTTTGCTTATCCACAGTATACCTATGAAAGTGCTAAAACTGCTTGTGGTAATGTAGCCGGATTAATTTCTTGGACTGTGGCAATGGCTTCTTTTTTTGAAGTCAATCGTGAAGTTTTGCCACTAAAGGTACTTTTTTATCAATTCTACTCAAATCACAATTAAACTTGAACAATTCTTGATTTGACCACATTTTTTAAATAAACGTTATTGTTTATCTTCTTACGTTAATATTATGATAATTTATTAGTATGGACCACGACCGTAGAATAGGATGGGTCGGTCGATACACTACTATAAACATTCATACATCCCTCATCAGCGACGTTATTTGCCGATCACCTATTCTGGTTTTTGTAGCGCCGGTCCAATGGATCCTATGGGCATCTGTTCATAACAGATATAATTAGTAGAAAAAATTGTACTTTTCTAAAAATTTTGTATTGTTAATTGTCATTTACAGGGCACTTGTAAACGAAAATCCGTAAATTAACTAGGATGATTTCACATTCCAATGATAACGTGATCGGCAAAAAGTGTTATATTAAACCGCTAGTGTACATGGTTAGAATGAGAGGAGGGAAGATAGTGGGAAAATGTAACTAATACCGCGCTTTCGAATAGAGTCATAAATGGCTCTTCTGCTTCTGCAAACATAATTTATTAAGAGAGAGCATAAGAGCAGTAGGAGTAAAATTTACTTGAAATTTTATATTTTTAGAAATATTTTCGTTTTTATGCCATAATTTCACAAATAGTAAGACATTTTTATTCCCTATGAACCTATTTTAAACTAAATGGTACCGCCTCTGATCCCCTGCAAACAACCGACCGTTTCCAATGTGGTACAGAAAGGGCTCTTGCCTGGAACTGTTTTGCCGGGGTTTTTGGTCAAATGAGATATGCTCCCTCCTGTCATCCTACCTTCATGATACTAACCTACGTATCTATTCTACAACCGTGGTATAGACTCATTAGTATTGGTAAATGATCGGCGTTCAGGCATGATTTCTATCATTACGGGTACTAAGACGAAGTAGTGATATGCACTAACGAAATTGTTAACAAATGATCTTAGAATATATAAGCTTTTCGTATCCCTATTCCGACTGTAGGCCAGTCTAAGATGTTTATTTAGTATATTTTAAAATATTAACAAATCATGTACATTCACTAGTTTTTAGTGTTTATTTAACGCACTAATGTTTTAAGGCAAATCTGGCTGTACAACAAGCTAAACTTGATAGAGCCCAAACGGAGTTGGCTAGTGCTATGCAGTTACTAGCGGAAAAAGAGGAAGAAGTACGATTGTGTCAAATTCAGTATGAAGCGGCGATGGCACGTAAACAAGTTCGTAAATGTGTACTACGAAAAATAATTGCACGAACTAGCGTATGTTATAGGAAGTTTTCGAGGACGCAATGAAAGTAAAAAATAAGATGGATTCAGCAACCGCGTTAATCAATGGTTTGGCTGGCGAAAGAATCCGCTGGACTGAACAACTTGCTCAATTTAAGGCTGAAACCAATAGATTAATTGGTGATGTAGTTTTGTTAGTCGGTTTTCTGAATTATTCTGGACCTTTTAATCAAGAATTTCGACAAAATTTACAAAAATTTTTATTGGACAGTTTATTAAAGCGTAAAATACCAGTGACAATGAGTTTAAATTTGATAGATAGTCTTACTGATACAGCAACGGTATGTTGTTGATGGTGGAAAAAAAAAGGTTTTTGATAAAATGTTGATTCCAGATCGGTGAATGGAACCTACAAGGTCTACCTAACGACGAACTGTCTATACAAAATGGGATTATTGTTACGAAGGCTGCAAGATATCCGTTACTCATTGATCCACAAAGCCAAGGAAAATTCTGGGTCAAAGCAAAAGAAAAAGACAATAGTTTGATTGTGACTTCACTGAATCATAAATACTTTAGAAATCATGTGGAAGATGCTGTGTCATTAGGATATCCTCTGATTATAGAAGATATTGTCGAAGATTTGGATCCAGTTTTAGATAATGTGTTGGAAAAGAATCACATTAAAGTTGGAACAACATATAAAGTCAAACTGGGAGATAAAGAAGTAGATGTAAATGCTCAATTTAGATTGTATATAACAACTAAACTGGCCAATCCATCGTATACCCCTGAAGTATTTGCCAGAACTTCGGTTATTGATTTTACAGTGACTATGAAAGGATTAGAAGATCAGTTATTGGGTAGAGTAATTTTGACGGAAAAGAAAGAACTAGAAGCAGAAAGAACAAACTTGATGAGAGATGCCACAATTAACCGACGAAAAATGCAGGAACTCGAATCAAATCTTCTGTATAAATTGACAACAGTACAAGGGTCACTTTTAGATGATCCAACAGTAATAGATGTTTTAAATGTAACGCGCAATACAGCTAGCGAAATTCGAGAAAAGTTAACTATTGCCAAAGACACGGAAATTAAAATTAATACAGCAAGAGAAGAATTTAGGTATATTCGTCTTATCTTTTTTTGTAAAAACTATCTTTAATTGTATTTAATAGGCCAGTAGCTACCAGAGGAAGTGTTTTATATTTCTTGGTAGTGAGCATGGCAATGGTTGACAATATGTATCAAACATCGCTAGTACAATTTTTAGAAAGATTTGATTTGTCAATGATGAAATCAGAAAAAAGTACCATAACTTCAAAAAGAATTCAGTTTATAATTGATTACTTAACGTACGAAATTTACAAATATAAATCGCGAGGCCTCTATGAAAGACATAAATATATGTTTGTACTTCTGATGTGTTTAAAGATTGATGTGGAGAGAGAACACATAACCCATGAGGAATTTCAGTTTTTTATTAAAGGAGGTGCGGCATTAGATCTGAACACCTGTCCACCAAAACCAAGCAAATGGGTCACTGACATGACTTGGTTAAATTTAGTAGAAATATCAAAACTTAGACATTTTCAGTACATTATCCAGCAAGTTACAGCAAATGATAGACTCTGGAAATCTTGGTTCGACAAAAATGCACCAGAAGAATCTGTAATACCTGATGGTTATAACAATTTAGACGTTTTTCGAAAACTTCTCCTCATAAGGTATTTTTCTTTTTTTTTGCTAAAAATGCAAAAACAAATATTTGTTAGAGCATGGTGTCCTGATCGTACTGTGACGCAAGCCACCAAATATATTGGACATTCACTTGGTCAGAAGTTTGCCGAACCTGTAATTTTAAATTTAGAAATTCTGTATAACGAATCCCGCCCTTTAACGCCTGTTATATGCTTCTTAAGTATAGGTTCTGATCCTACACCTTATATAGAGCAATTGGCAAAACGGTTGGAAACTAAAGTTAAAGCAATATCTATGGGCCAAGGACAAGAAGTTCATGCAAGAAAACTTATCACACAAGCTTTATCGGAGGTTAAAACCGCGGTGCACTGCAGATATACATTGTTTTCTGATTTTTTTATTTCTGAAGGGTTTTTGGGCTTTGCTTCAAAACTGTCATCTCTCTTTGGACTACATGAATGAACTTCTTTTACAATTTTTGGATCTTGAAAAAGGAGCAGGCACATTCCACCCAGATTTTCGACTGTGGATTACCACAGAAGGACACGGAGAGTTCCCTATTAGTTTACTGCAAATATGTATAAAATTTACAAACGAAGCACCTTCCGGTATTTTATTTTCTAATCGCTTTTTTAAATTTAATTATTCCCCAATTCAGGCGTTCGAGCGGGTCTGCAACGTACGTACACCTCAATGAATCAGGACATGTTGGATTATTCGGATGCATGGCAATACATACCGCTGATATATGCTATATCATTTTTACACACCGTAGTACAAGAAAGGAGGAAATATGGGCCCTTAGGTTGGAATATTCCTTACGAATTTAATTCAGCTGATTGGTTAGCCAGTTGCTTATTTGTTCAAAACCATCTAGACGATTTAGATCCCAAAAGAGGAGTTAGCTGGCCGACGGTTAGGTTTGTTAAAAAGTTCATTTGCTCCGTAACATATGAACATGTTATTTATTTTCAAGGTACATGCTAGGAGAGGTACATTATGGAGGTCGTGTTACAGATGACTACGACAAGAGACTTTTAAATACATTTTGTAAGGTTTGGTTTAGTGACGAAATGTTTCAAGACGATTTTATATTTTACGAAGGATATAAAATTGCCAAGTTCAAAAATGTGTCAGAATATATAACTCATATTGACACATTTGCCACTGTTGACCCACCCCAAGTTTATGGGCTTCATCCTAACGCCGATATTACGTATGCAATAATTTCACTAAATTCTCATTTCTTTATCCGATATAATAAATTGTTTCATTCATTAAAAATTTTTCATACACTGCAGGTACCAAACGAATACAATTAGTAATATGTTTTACACAATGGTATCCATTCAGCCGAAAGAGGCTGGTACTGGTGGCGGAGAAACAAGAGAAGACGCCGTTACTAGACAAGCGAAAGAGATGTTAGAAAAACTGCCAAATAATTATGATCCGTATGAAGTAAAAGACAGGTAACAATGATAGTTTTTATTAGTTTAAATTAATTTCATTAATAAATTGAGTAAACTGCTCTGTTTGACAAAAAGCTTTTAATAACATATGGTTGTGTTTCCATTATAGATTGCGAATTATGGGAATACTAAATTCATTAAACATTTTTTTGAGACAAGAACTAGATAGAATGCAGAAAGTAATAACAAATGTTCGAACCACACTTAGAGAGCTGTTATTAGCAATTGAAGGAATAATAATAATGAATGAAGTAAATGCAAATTTTGCTTGTTTTGTAAGATGCGAATTTTACTTGTTATAGGCACTCAGAGATGCTTTAGATAATATTTATGATGCGCGTGTTCCTTTTGTTTGGAGAAGAGGATCCTGGACAGCAAATTCTTTAGGATTCTGGTTTACAGAACTGTTGGAAAGAAATGCTCAATTTAGCGACTGGTGCTTCAACGGACGACCACTTACATTCTGGATGGCTGGATTTTTCAATCCACAAGGTTACATTATGCTGTATTTTCTTTGCATTCATTTCGCTAAAAGCAAAACGAAAGGTTTTCTTACAGCAATGAAACAAGAAGTAGCACGAGCTCACAAAGGATGGGCTTTAGATCAAGTCAAACTGCAAAATATTGTCACAAAAAATACAAAAGAAGAAATTGGTCAACCACCTATCGTAATATAAATCTCAGTCCAATATAGTAAATCTCATCGTTTTTGTTTTTAGGAAGGCGTATATGTCCACGGATTATTTCTTGACGGTGCCGGATGGGATAAAAGAAATGCAAGGTTAAATGAATCTATTAACAAAGTGTTGTATACACTTATTCCAGTGGTACATATTTTTGCTGTGTATGGAACTGAAATAAAAACGACAAATATTTATGTGGTAGAAAATACAAGTTACATTTGTAGATTAATTAAATTCAAAAAATTAATACATTTTTAGTGTCCTGTTTACAAAAAAATGAGAAGAACTGGTTTAAATTATATTACGATTTTGTATCTCCAAACTGTAAAACCTCCAGATCACTGGGTTCTTCGTGGAGTGGCTTTGCTTTGCGACACACAATAATTTATTGTTTTTCATTTTGAAATAAATGTTTATTTATCTCCCCGTTTATCATTTGATCAGAAACATTAAAACATTTCTGAAAGTGAAACATTCATATATAATATATATATGTATACAGGTTTTTAACATTACCCACACGGTCGTTACCCCAAGCAGTGCACGTGTTGGGTCTTTTAAAATAAATAAATAAAAGATTTATTTGCCCAACAGAAATAATTCCATTTATAGAATAAATCAATTAGGTACACCTCTTAATTCGTAATACGTCACAATAAAGAAAAATAAAGAAAAAAGAAAAAGGAATACTTAGAAGAATTCCATGGTTTTCAGTAAATTGAATTGCCAGACTTAAACCGCCATGCATGTGTTACATTGCTCTTAAAGCGGCCACACAAATAGAGGGAAGAATCAAGACTTGAATGTAGGTACGTTCCACAGGGTACAGTTAAAACTGCTAGTGTGTGGGGAAGAATGTGGCATCTGCAGTCAAGTCTGTTGGAATCAAAATTGGCTTGATTTTTAGCGTGCACAGTTATAACTGCGTGAAGAAAACTCAGTGTGTGGACACAACTGATTTTTATACAGGTGTTCGCTAAGTTGAGACATTCCTTCAAACACGTGCTATTACACTTAATTCTAAAGGGTTTTAGCCTAAGTCACTTAAGCAAAAGTGGCATTGTAAGAAAGTTAGATAGTTATTTGTAATTGTACTTTTCTAAAATTTTGAGTTCGGTCCTGTTCATTCTATCCTAATTGGAATACGATACCTACCTATACAATATCCATTGTTACCATGGTTGTCATATTTTCTAATAATGTCAATAGTACTTGTCCCTTTATGACGTTTCAAAAATCATTTGGAAGTTTCTGATTTTAACTCTTCATTTCTATTTCGTAGTTCAAAGTTTAAAACGTCTACCTATTCGAAACGATAAGAAAAATTTATAAACTATCTAGGTGAATCACAACGGTAAGTTGTTAGATTTATTCATGTACTAAATTGATAACTGAAATGTAACAACAGAATATAATTAATCAGATGGCTAATTATTTGAAAAAATAAAATGTAAAAACAAAGAAGTGATGTTTCACGAAATGTCTAACTTAAGAATTCTCACTGCAACTGCGCACCTGAGGAATTCACAGCAAATGCTCAAAATTGTTGCCGTTATTTGCAATGCAAAGCCTTGATCTTCGTATCCAGGAATTGCCACAGGACAAGAGCCCTTGCTGCTGTCGAATTTGGTTAGCGGCATTAAAAATACGATCTCGTAGCTCCTCAACTGTGTGTATTTCACTCGTATAAACCAACTGCTTCATGTGTCCCCATAAGTAAAAGTCACAAGCGTTTAGGTCCGGCGAACGGGGCGGCCAGGCAATGGGGCCATTTGGCCCTATCCACCTATGAGGAAAAGCGTAATTTAAATAATTCCGCACTTCCAGACGATAATGTGGTGGTGCGCCGTCATGTAGGAACCACATGTTCTGCCTAATGTTTAATGGAACTTCTTCCAGTAATTCAGGCAAAACGTTTTGCAAAAAGTTGAGATACTGCATACCATCCATGCGATCCGGTAGAATAAATGGTCCAATAAGTATACCATTTACAATGCCAGCCCATATGTTTATCGAAAATTTGTGCTGAAAATTTGTGCGGCGAATTGCATGCGGGTTTTCAAAGGCCCATACATGGGTATTACGAAAATTCATTGTACCATTACGAGTAAATGTTGTTTCATCAGTGATCAGAATTTGGTTAATAAAATTTTCATGGTTCATAGTTTGTTCCAAGAGCCATTCTGAAAATCGTACTCTTTGGGGTTAATCAGGAGGTATTAAAGATTGCACACGTTGGACGTGATAAGGATGGAGCTGATTTTCACGTAATGTGCTCCATACTTTGCTGTGACATGTATTTACTCGATGAGCAATTTTTCGGGTTCTAATTGCTGGATCTTCGCCTATTATTTCTAGAATTTCCTCTTCTAGATCTAACATCTGTTGGAGTCTTGGTCTACCGGCGTGTCCTCCACGATGTTCCTGTAAGTTTCCAGTTTCTCTAGCTCGCTGTACGAGATTCGTAAATTGACGAGGCCCAGGGGATGCCTTCGGAGGAATCTTTCTGCATACATTCTCGACGCCGCAGCAGCGTTTTGGTGACATTCTCCATAGAGTATTAACATATTTACAAGCTCACTTTTTCAAAACGATAAGCACCTTGAAAATGAGCCATGTCAATAAATTTCAATGACAGCTCTGACAATACTCTAAATTCATATCCATGACAATGATATTTTTTGTAAACGCTAATCTTTAATTAGAAATTTTGGACAGGACCGTCTCTAAAAATTTCTAAAATTTATAAAAAGATGAAATCAATAAATATCAAAATTTTACTAAGGTAATAGAAGCTAAATCGCTCTAGAGCAAGGCATAAAACTACGTGTTAAAAGGAATGTCTCAACTTAGCGAACACCTGTAGACATGGCATTGAAATGCGTCTTTTACTATGGTGATATACAAAGGTCCGTTTTTCTGACATTTGAAGAAAAATGATAATGTTCTTCTTTGATTTTTTTCACACGGGGTTCTGGAAATTCTTTTTCCTATGTTTGAATTCATTTACTTTCTCTTTTATCCATGTGTGAAGTTTAAATTATCCGAGGTCTTATTACAGCTGGCGAGGTTGTTTATGCCTCCAATTTGGAGATGTAAAAACAATTTCAAAATAAGTCGCTCTTTATGTAGCAGGATTTATTCCCCAATAGAAAAATCCTCTCCAACTCTTCATCTCGTCTCTTTTTGCTATTTTTTATTGAAAGTGCTAAATTAAGAACAAATCGGAAAACTGTCCACGTTGACATCCCTTTTACAAGTGACCGCATTAATCTGAAATTTGTACTCCTCAAGTTCTAACCTCGAATAAATAAATTACTGAACTGCAAAGCTAACTAACAAATTTCTGTTATGCCACACTGTATCAAGATCTTTAAACAAGCAATAAGTTACATGAAATTAAATTATACCACACTTGGTCAACAAATTCGAACAAAGAATTTACACGAAGGTTAAATAATGTGTTATTTCAAATTATTAATTATGTTGAAATGCGTCCACCGATTATCTCGTGAACCGAAACCCCCACATTACATACAAACAAAGAAACACGCATAGTCAGTATGAACAAATCTCTGATCTCGGAAACGCTCGGCGTAGAGCGGCGCCGTCGAGAATAAATGTTCAATTCAAGCCGCAAAAATATTATTAAACTTTCTTGAGAAGAATGAGACATGAAACAAACGATTAAACGTGTAACCAAGGAATGTTGAAAAACTACATTCATGAAATGAACTGACATTAGCCCATGGTACTATAGTAGACTCCCGCATCTGGTGCGTACACTCTAAACGCATATTTAATTTTATTAGACGGCCAAACTTTGATATATCTCCTGAGGTCTTCGCCGGTCATAAGACTTATTTCGTTGAACTGTAACTGGAACTATCTATTTGAAAGTACATAATTATTTAACCAATGATAAAGATCGTCAGGTAAAAAGAATCGTATTACTGGTTGTCTAATTGCTGAAATTTTATAATAAAATTGAGTACAAAAAAAATGTACGATGTTTTTCAAAGGTAATATTCAAGACAAAAAAATCATTCTTTGTGTGTGCAACAAACACAGAAAGAACCAGTACATTTGCTGTTTTTGACAAATATAGGTATTAGAACAAAATCTTTCTTTTCATCAATCAGTACTAAAAAGACTCGTCATCTATATAAAACAAGGAATTCTTTTATATGCCGTCGTTTGTCCAAAAAATTAAAAAATTCACTGTTAGACTGTCTCTATGGAATTTGAGCCTTTTCTTTTAATTTCAATTCCGAGTCAACGCCACAGACACATCAGAGCGTGACAATAGGCATACAATAGGTGTGATAGTGTGATGTGTGATGTCTGATGTGTGTGACGATGTGACGTCAAGCGTCAAAATCAGTTGTAAAGCCGGTATCGTCATTTTTGGAATCCTACTAATTCAGCAATCATTATTATAAATTAAGTAACAAAAAGGCAGTATCGATAGTTATGTCATCACTATTACCATTGGAATCTAATCCCGAGGTAAGTTTTGGTTACGGCAGGAGATCTTTAAATAACATTATTTTTTTATAGGTTATGAATAAGGTGAGTACCCGTTGTTCACATTTCAGCTATATTCAGCAAGAAAAAACATTGTAGTTTTTACATTTATTGGGAGTTCCTAATAAGTGGAATATTGTTGATGTTTATGGTTTAGATGGAGATGCCTTAGCTTGGGTTCCTCGACCGGTATTAGCTTTAATTTTACTGTTCCCATGCAGTGAACAAGTAAGCTTCACGTTTTTCTCGGGATTTGTTTTATTAATATACGCTTTACAGTTTTATAAACATGCAGAACAAGAATGTTCGGATTTAAAAGAAAAAGGTCAAGTTATTGCATGTGATTTATTTTATATGAAACAGTATGTTTCTAATGCATGTGGCACTATTGCTCTCATACACTGTGTTGCAAATAACACAGAAGAGTAAGTTATATATAAATAGAAATGTTTTATTTTTATTAATTGTGTTTGTAACTGAAGGCTCGGCCTTCAGGATGGACCATTTAAAAAAATTTTAGTTGATGCCAAAGACTTAACTCCTGAAAAGAAAGGAGAAATGCTTCTAAATTCAGAAAATAATGAAGTTCTTAACTTAATAACAGCTCATCAAGAATTAGCCATGGAAGGACAAACAGAGGTAATTTATATTTGAATTTAAAAAACAAAACATTTTGCATGTACAGTTGCAGTGACTGAATCTTGGGCTCTTGGGCAGAGTTGTCAGTGAACTGTCATAAACTCTAAAACATCCTTTAGAAACGTTTAACCCATTTTTTTGTTTGTCATTACTGTCTAATTAAGTTGATTTATAAAATGACGTGCCAAAATTAATTTTACTTTTTTTAAAGCATTGATCACAGTGACAGTAAAACTACATTTACATTTAGAATTTTGAAAATAACACATGAAACTTGCCCAAGATTCAGTGATTGCGACTGTATAAATGTTACAAAAAATTTTACATCAAATTTTTGTTAAGGTCAATCCCAATGAACAAGTTAACCACCATTTTGTCGCACTAGTGGAAAAAGAGGGTCACTTATATGAGCTAGATGGACGCAAAGAATTTCCAATCAATCATGGACCAACAACAAAAGAAAATTTCCTGGAGGTAGGTTAGGACTTATTTAATTTTTTTCTAACATATGTGATTATAGGATGCAGCAAAAATTTGTCGTGACTTTATTGCCAGAGATGCAGAGGATGTAAACTTCACTGTGATGGCTCTAACAGCGTCAGATAATTAGAATCAAAAACTATACATTTTGTATTTTGGATTATTGGGTTTTATAAGAAAGAATCTATGAAATGTAATCTCAAAATGTGAATACTAGTATAGTATGTTTATAAATTAAAAAAAAAAGAAAAAACACCAACATTGCATTTTAATGAAAAAATACATTGAAAATTTGACTATCAGCATCTTAAGCGTTTGTACTCTATGTGGCATAAGTGATGTCTTTTTAAGTTTGTAACGTTTTGCGAGAATTTGTAACTTTTTGTCTTGGGTGTTTTGCAAATGCCACTGAAGGTGACACCAGTCGCCTTCAGTTTTGCCAACAATGCAATAGTGATTCTTTAGTTTATACATAAACAATATTATTTTTGTTATGTCATTTTATGTAGCTTTGAAATAAATAGCATGACTAATAATGTGACTTGTTTTATAGTGTGATGTTTCATGTGGAAATGAATTTATAAGAAATAAAATAAAAACGTTTAATATATAAATACATATACATTTGCTTAAAAATAATGGTTCAAAGAACTGCTATACAAATACCGAGTGGTTATTAATGATTAAACCAAATTTTTGTGTTGACCATTCTGAATTATTGGCAGCCATGCTAATATGTCAATTCACAGTTATAAATTTTGACATTTTGACTGGCAGTGACAACATTAAATACGTTGCCAACCAGAAAAAAACCAGAAACAATAATAGACTTCTACCAAAGTCATTTAATAGATATTCTCTATTAACTAACCTTGGACTTCTACCACCTCAGTCACTAGTCACTACCGCCTAAAATATATCGCCTATATCATGTTTCTCTTTTGAGTTTATTGTTCATAATGGCTTACTTATGTATAATACATATAATTAATAATACTTATTAGGGATATGCTACAATGCTTTGTGAGATAATTGTTTTAATTATCGTTTCATCCTCACCTGACTCATGACATTCCGGCCTTTAAATTGAACTTGAAAGAGTTTGAAAGGCCAGCGAAAAATTCAAAATTTGGCCTTGGCTGCGATCGTTTTTTTTTTTAAGTGGCGGGAAGACGTTCTTTCATACAAGTGCATACACTGTGCGTGTGATTCGAGAGCGCAAGAAATAATAGACAAAATTGTTTTGGAAGGGGAGCACGGCACCCACTCGCAGGAGGAAAGAAGCTGCGAAGATTTACTCCTCAGCGCCAAAACCCCCTTGTTATTATTCACGGACATATTACATTTCAACACCTTAAGATATATGAAAAAGGGACACTCGCGAATTGACAGACATACACATATGAAAAACGAACAAACGCAACATCCTAAACATCTGTTTGGAATCAATGCAAATACATATTTGAATATCACAAACTCAATAAAACAACAAAGCAAAGTCTGAATTAAGTAACTGGATGCAAATACACAACTTATTACGGGCGTGTGGCGGCAGATTTTAAAATTACGGCAGTTAACAGGAGCACAGCAAAAGTACCCCTGGGGTGTTGTAGCACAAGCGAAGTTTGGCGTTACCGGCCTGGGGCTGTTCTCCCCCCACGACGGTGATTCTATCTATCACAAAGCCTACCCGCACGCATATCTCCATTACGAACGTGCCCTGCGAAACTAGGCCATTACGGTCGCCAGACCCGCAAGTGGATCTCGACTATTGGTCCAAGTCGAGAACTTTACAACATCAGCGGCCGCCCCTGAATCTATCCAAACCTGTAGACTCGTACAGGTGACACGATTAATCTCGCCAACTCGACTAGGAACCGAACTTCGCTTCTACCACGTTTTCTGTGTTATTTAACGTCAATTCCATTTTTAAATATTCAATCTCTTATAACTCAAATATTAACAACAACTGAACAAGTGTTAAAGTTTCAACGAGCAATAAACAACATTTAAATTCGCCATACAAACTTGTGAAATTTTGAACAACAAATAATTCTTATGTGAGATTAAAATTGGACATCAAATAATTTATATGATAGAAACATTCATCAACAAAATATTTACAAAACAAACTTAGCAAGGATTTATGAAACAAAAGACCTGGTGTGAAATGAACTTGTACAAATAGAAATATTATTTAATTTAGGTTAAAACTGTTAAAATGAAATTTACGTTCAATTAAAATTATACAACAAATAAAATTACTGAAGTTAAAACTGTGAGATTGAGAAATATTGTATGAGGTGAAAATTTGCCAAGTTAACAAAATTTACATGAGATTAATATTTGCCACACTTTTTCAATGATTCAAACAAAGAGTTTACATTATGTCAAACTATATCATGATCATGATCTAGGTGATTGGTTACTTAAAAAAGAAACAATTTACTTTGAAAGTAAAGGGCGGGCATGCCTTGATAAATTTATCAATCTGTAGCGTTGTGAGGGCATGCCTTGATAAATTAATCAATCTGTAGCGTTGTGAGGGCATGCCTTGATAAATTAATCAATCTATAGCGTTGTGAGGGCATGCCTTGATAAATTAATCATGATAACAATGATAGCCGCATAAGGGAAGAAAACATTTTAAACCCCTCCCGCCAGTTCGCAGTATAATGAACTTGTTTAACTGCCATAAATGAGCTATTAGCAATCTTGTGTGAAGAATTTAGAAGTGTTATAATGTAACACTTACGTATATGCATCCAGAAGCTTATTCGTAATTAAACAATAAGGTGTTTTCCTGACAAAGTGAATTTCAGGAAATCTTCTAGCAAGTGGTTTATTTAAATAATCCTGATTGTTAAACTGTATTTGCACTAGCTGACTATTAAAAAAAACTAACTTGATTGGTGAATTTACAAACAATGAAACAAATTTACAGCACGTGCTTCGCGTTGACCGGAAGTGCGCATTTCTCCGATTAAAAGGCCGCAAGAATTAACCGCGCGGGTTGGGGACAACTGTGTCATTATGAAAGTTACGATTGATTGTGGTTAAACAAAGGCTTCCTCCCATTTTATTAACTACCAAACCAACTAATTTAAACCTAGCGCTTACCACGTGGTTACACTCACACAAGCACATTCCGAATAACGCTACGCCATGCAGCTTCTCTACCTACCCTCTAACCCTGTAACTAGCGGTACGTGCCGCCATCTAACTCAGTAATCATGCAAAACTACCCCTAAGCGCTACGTGCATATTTGGTTGCCTACGTTTAACGATTTCCTTTTTTGCGATTGAATTTTTTTTTCTTTCAAATTCAAATTATTCAAATGTGATTTCGCGCCGCTGTTAATTAATTTCAGTGCGAAAATTTTGATTTAAATTCGGTCACCACAGTGTGTTGGTATCCGTTAATCAAACATTTCATTGTTTGGTCCATGGCAGTTTCTTTTTAAATTTGTGAACAGTTTCAGGTACTATTATTGAAGAGTAGGACCCACTCAATAAAGAAAGAAAGACCTCGCTGGGACCCAATAATATTACCTAAAATAATTCTCGGAACCGAAGAACAAGACAATATTTTTAAATAGGAGTGAATAGTTTGCTTGGTGGTAATAATTTTTTTTTATGAATTTTGAGTTTTAAGTTTCAGTCACAGACTACATTTCAGTTGTCTAAACCAGTAAGATCATAGAGTAAGATTGAATCGTGCTACTACATAAAACTTTTCAGTTTTGTGTGCTCTTGACTTTTCCACTCATTTAAAAATATACATATAATAGCAAATAGTCCACAGCCACAGCTATATTTATGAGAAAGCAGAGAGGTTTTATATTTACACCAATTTACACGTTCGTGTTTAGTCTTTGGAGACACAGCCTTTTTCTCATAGAACAACCACTTTTTCTTTTTTAACTTGGGACTTTTTATTCAATGGTCCCCAGATTGCCCGCTGCCCCAATCAAACTTCGATTTAGAGAAAGAACGAGAACATATTCTTATTCTCCTCTCCCCAGTCCCCTCCTCATCTCTAAGTTCGCACCTCGTTGCGATTTGTGAGGTGACATAACCTAGATTTATGAGAAAAACGTAAATAAAGTAACTTATTATCAATCTTTCGATACTTTAACAAGTTGTGGCAATTAAATAACATGATTGGACTGTGTAGAGCGCGGGATGTGTTTACTAAAATAATTACAAGATCTACCGTTAATAATTTTCAAATAAGCAAGATTCGATATTCGAATGAACGCCCGTTAGATGTTAACACCAACGTTGCTAAAGATGTTATATTATTTAAATACGATAATTCTCGATTTTTTAAAATTGTGAATATTTTTGCTGCGTGTCAATTTGTATTTTGGTCTTACCTGTCTGTGTTTTCATACACTACCCTTCGAGATGCCCCAGTTGATCAGTCAAAAGAGACTGCGTGGTGGAGGAAAATCAACCTCGGCGAAAATAAATATAGAAATAGTTTAGCGTTAATTTCGTTCGCTATAGGTTTGTTTTATATCAATAAATTACTGAAACCATTAAGTTAAGTATATTTGGTTTCAGGTTATGGAATTTTAACAGTAACTTGGATGTATACCCTAAAATCAGTTCGTTATCTGATTTTACATCAAGGTGGTCAAAATATATCATTAGTCACTTACACGCCATTTGGCGGCAATCGTATCCTAACAGTAAATTTGAAAAATGTAAGTTGTAAGGAATCGAGAACTGTGGCAAAGTCTCAGTTACCAATTAAGGTAAAGGGTCATTACTTACACTACATACTAGATATGCGAGGCGACTTTAAAAACCCAAAATTATTTGATTATACTGCTGGCTTACAACGAAAATGGAGAAAAATAGGTTAGCCTTAGGTTTATTTTGGAAAGAATAACTGACAACTTTGGATGAATAAAACTGTATTTTTGTACAAACATATAACAAACATAAAAATCACTCTTGTAGAACTATTTAATTTACTCATTTGTACCCATGTATTATATTCAGTTTTAAACCCTATTTCTGCTATGCTTTTGTGGTAATTAATTTCGTAAAAAATTTTCTGCCATAAATTTGTCGTACTTTTTTTCCGTCCAGTAGGGCATTTCTTTCAGATCAGATATTGACTTGAATTTGCCCTTTAACAACCTGAAACGTTTTCCTATATGTAAACAGATGCTCACAAACAAATGATAATAATAATTGATAACAGCGGTTAAATTTCGGTAACTTTCTATTAAGTACGTTTTTCAGTGTTTATTTACAAATTTTTTGTATAACTTCGTCGTTCATAAATAAAGTATAATAGTTTGGTCCAGAATATCTAATATTATATTAACAAATACATAATCCCCAGCTCATGGTGAGATAACATTTCTTGCTTTGCTTCCACTCGGCTATACTTTGCCAAGTCTCTGCGTGCCAAAAACAAGTACAAATCCAATTTTCTTTTCTTTTCTTTTTCAGTCGAAGATTTGTATAGGTGTCTCTAGTTTTTATAACTTTAATGGTTTTTTCACCATAATAAGATAGTAGATTGAGAAAGATTTTAAAACATTTAGTTGGCAGTTGTCATTTAGAATATTTTTTAATGCCTTCAAAAACGTTAAAGGCTGCCGAATTGATGAACGACTTTATTTATACAAGATTTCCTAATTATTATTCATATATCCAACTGGGCACTGACATATTCCGTTTCTTTCGAAATGTGTAACAACGAAAGTTTAATTTATCCATAATTATTCTGACAGATGCCAAATGTCTACAGCATTTATAAATTCACGGGTAACTACATGTACGAAACTTTTTTGAAAATCTGTAGTCCGCACGATTTAAGTTCAACACAGTTATAATTTTGTACAAAAGTAAAAAATGCGTCGGCCGAAGTCCACTTAATCTTAAAGGATAGGTGCATCCTCAAAGGGGCCCGTCGTACTTTCTTAGTCACAGCAAAGAGTAGAAATATTCAAGAGACGACACTCGAACAAGGAAACACATTTCTAGACGCAGAAAGGAAATCTACCCCAAGTTAAAAGTCCTGTCGTGTACCGCCGTCACTATTCGTATCATACTGGTTCGAAGTGATTTTTATTGGTGAAGACAAGCAACGTGACCAAACGCACGCGTAATTATCAGGTCAATGTATTTTGACAGTGACAGCAGAAGCAAATAGACCTATGAAATAGACTACCAGCGAAAAGTGCATTACGGTACGGGTGTTTTGTTTTCCTAAATTTTCAGTTACTCTTAAATTTAAGTGAGTTTCGTGAAGTATCTGTTGCATCTTTAGAAATTGAAGAAGCTGCAAATAAGTTATCTTTTGCTGTTAACAATTGTGATTATCATACTCAGCCTTTACCAGAACAGAATGCCTTCAAATACGTGTGCGGTTATCTGATTCACAAATGTCTTCAAGCTCACAAATGTGATGTTTGTACACAGTTTGCTACCGTCAATCAACAGTTAGACGATAGTAACTTGTTTGTTCATTATAAAGCGTATTCTAATGAATATTCTTTATTTGGAGGACTAAAAACACCTCATGAAAGTTTTTATAATTATATTTACTTATTAGAAAAAGTATTCTTTAGTAATATCGAAGACAAATTTGTTCAACCTAGAGTTGGTTATAGTTTGTATCTTTCATGTAAAGAAATTGTAGGTTTTACGCATCCTTGTACGAGTTTTCCTTATGATTATTTATTACGATTGTTTGTTCGTCTAAGACTTTTTTATGTCATAAAGAACAGTAACAGAAATTTCAAAAATACTTCAAAAAAGAATCGTAAAATCTGTATTCTGATGGGTTTGTGAACTTGTAATGCTTGTTATCCAAATAAAGACCTATTAAATTCTGAAACAGTAATAGTCAATCTTCTTCCCCTTATCTGTATTAAGAGTGTTTACAAGATTGTTTATCCCTCAATAAATCAAAAAAATATCTTAAGTTTTTTGCGAATGCTAACGTGCTTAATTTGAACTTCGCGCCGAAATTCTACCCCGATTTAAAGGGACATGGAGTTTCAAGGTCAATGAAATTGAGCTGTGAACATCAAAGATTCCGACAGGAGTGTCTCCTCTTGAATATTTCTCCTCTTTGGTCACAGTAACTTTTCTACCTGGGTATCTCGAATTTAATGTTTTATTCATTTCCATGTTAAGTTTACTTAAGTTTGCTTTCCTTTCTTATTACTTGTAATTTAAAAACCAGTTCTTTGCAGAGACAAAATAAATAAAACCACTCCCTTCTCAAGAGCACAAGTTATGGTTCTGTTGGCTCACTATGTTGAACTTAAAACGTGCAAACTATTTATTATGGATTGCAGTATTTATTCTTCCATTGTTACGGTAACAACACGCAATGAAGTCTTCCATAGTTTTAGAAAGATAAAAAATCTTCAAAATTTCCCCTTTTCTTGTTAATGTAAGGATTAATTAATAATGTAGAAATATTTTGAGAGAAACGCACCAATATAACGTAGTAGACGTAAAATGCAATCGTCCGTATATCTGGAATTTTATTTTTATGACTTTACGAAGTATTATTTATTTATATTTATTTTCCTTCTTTAAAATAAATGTCTTAAAAAGGTTTCTATTTGTAACTTAAACATAAAACGTACGTAATTTGAAAGTTTCTTTTAATAGTGAAGAAATTCTACTTTGTGTATCAGCTCGAGCGTGTACTCACTTGGACATGAACTAAACGAACGCACTCAAACAATCTAACCACATGCGCAAATGAAAATCTACTGCACACGTTGATTTTTTCATTTTCAGATAATATTCAACACACAACTGACTACAGATGTTCTGTGCGGATTAAATTTACCGAATTAAAATGGATTCTATTTGGCGTAGCATGTTTGCTAGATACATTGTCGCAAAATTTGTTCGAGCATTCGGTTCGTCCATGCCCGCGTGAATATCTTTTACACTAAGACAATTTTTCCAAGTATAGGTACTAGTCAACAGTACAAAGAAAAATGTTGGCTCACTTGTTCACATTGTCCGAAACAAGTGAAAACTTACCTGAACAACAATATTTTTTCAGCAGTTTTAGTACCAACTGTATGTAATTTTTCTAGTTGGCGAAGAGTTCCTTCGTTTAGTATAGTCAAAATCTGTTTTTTTCGAGCGGTTAGAAGGTTATCTTGCGGACTTACTATTAACGTTTGAGATCTACTGGCCTTCTTACAGGTACATGCAAGAGAAGGTGAATAAACTCTTGTCGATCTAGAAATTAAATAAAATTATACAACAATGATTCATTTATTACCACGTTACTCTTTTGATTGTTGCTCAGGACTATCTAACGGTAGTGTGTCGTCATGACCGCTGTTGACTTTTTTCATTTGTAATCGTACACTACGCCGTCTGGATATATTCTCCTTTGCACTGATTTTATCGTTTTCATTTACTTCACCATTTTTCATCTGAATTCTTAGACTTCGTCTTCTGAAGGTATTATCTAATTGTGTATCACATGACTTCTTTGGTTGTAATTGTACACTATTTTTTCTTCTTAAGTTATTTGTTTTAGCGACTGGTGCAGGTACTTTAAAAATTGTATCACTTTCCGCGTTCAGATGGCTGCTTTCATGATACAATGAATTGTTATTATTCGAATATCTCTGAAATAAACATGTGACATATTGAAAAACATGTTTCAAAGAATATGTAAATTTGCAAAAATCAATTTAAGCAAAATTACTAAAAGTTTTAGAAATATTTTTGTTTTTATAGTATAATTAAGCAAAGAGTAACACATTTTTACTTCATATGAACCCATTTTAAACCAAACTGCACCGCCCCTGAAAGAGTCATAAACGGCTCTCGCGTGGAGCTGTTTTGTCGGCATTTCTTTAACATTGGTCCAATGAAGCTGCTCCCTCCTATCATTCTACCTCCTCTAAAAACTTGACATGTGAAAATTTTACTGAATAATTTGTATCTAAAATATACAAACATTGAGTCTATACTTGTCGTTTTTTTACGAAATTTTGTCATTAGTATTACATTGATGTATCGTGGCTAAAAATTTGATGGTGTCATTACAAAATATTATGAACACGGCGGTTGAAACATACGCATAGTATGCTCCTTGGCCCGTAGTTTGATAATCCATGCGTATCTTTATTTTAGTTTCTAGGGGTTATCATAGAAAATTAAAATTTGCAAAATCAAATTTTATTTTTATCTACCAAACTATAATTCAAGACCTCAGATGTTCTGTCCAAAAACTTGGGACGATTTTTTTTTACGAATATTACGTCCTTGACAGCTAAAATAATGGTAAATTGTAGTATACATATTGGTTATGAAAACTAACTGTTCTAATTGTTTGTATTTTTCATTCATGGTATGATTTAACAAGAAAAAAAATCGAAATTTTTGTTTCACTTAATATTTATGTACCTAAGGCGTTATAAGGATTATATCTAACCCGAGGGATCGATGTTGCCCGTGGGCATTATACCAACTATAATAACGTCCGTTGTGCAAACATTTTATTCTTCACCAGTTTCATGAATTAAAATAAGTTTAGACTGAGTTTTGAAATATCTCGACACCATATAGGGTGTTTTTGAAATATACTACCAAAAAGAGCAGGTAATTGGTGATAATAAATAGAACCAATTGGCAAAAGATACTTTATATAAAGGTTTTTTCGTTTTCGAGATAAAATTAATCGAATATTCGGTTAAAATTTCCAGTACGCCAATGTATTAAAGGTAATTCAAAATGCAATCTTGTTCGCTTAGCAACAATAACTTTTATTTGTCAGGGTATTGTTGTCAATTTTGTGTCAGTTGTATTAAAATGGTTTACATAAATGCTGAAGTAACTGATATGGTCCTACTGGTACTTACTAAAATAAGACCGATTTTGGCAATACACTCTTAGAAAAGAAAGGGTGGGTGGGCGGGGTAGTAAGATAAGAGTGATTTTCGCAAACGCGATCCCTCTAAGAAAATAGAGGGCGGGTGGCCGGGTTTAGTGCCTGCTAAGATAAAACTGATTTTGGCAAATGATATATCCTCTAAGAGAAGAGAGGGTGGGGGGCGGGGCTAGTACCTACTAAAATTAGACCGTTTTTGGCAAATGACATTCAGGACTTTTTCAAATTCATAAAAAATAAAACACTAAAAGCTCAAAAGATTTTTTCAAGTTCATCCGGCAACAAAACACCAGATTCTGGGGCTGGTACTTACAAGATAAGACTGATTTTGCCAAATGACATACCCTCTAAGAAAATAAAGGGTAGAGGCAAAACCTTGGCAAGCATTGGCCCCGCCCACCCAGCATTTATTTTCTTCGAGAGTATACCATTTGGCAATATCAGTTATTTAACCTAGCAAGCACTAGCCCCACCCACCCGCACTTTATTTTCGTAAAGGGCTAGTACCAGCTAAGGTAAGACTGATTTTGGCAAATGACAAACCCTCTAAGAAAAGGGAGGGTACCTGCTGAGATAAGAGTGATAAGAACACTGCGGCACTCAAGACTTTTTCAAATTCATAAAAATAAAATACTAAAAGCTCAAAAGATTTTTTCAAGTTTATCCAGCAACAAAACATCAGATTCCTTTAAATTTATCCGAAAATGAAACACCAGGAGACCTAAAATTAATTGCACCCAACCACCCACCCTCCCTTTTCTTATTTTAGCAAGTACTAACATGATGGAGCCCCTGTCCACTATACACATGACGTGCGGGAATAGTTAAATCAAACATTTCCAAGAAAATGGATAGGAAGAAATGATCCAGTACTGTGGCCTTCTAGGTCGCCAGATCTAAATTCTTGTGATTATTTTTTATGGAGGCATATGAAACAATTAGTTTACGCAGCACCTATTAATTCCATTGAAGAATTGACAAAACAGGATTCATGATGTTGCGGCTACTATCAGAGCAAATCCAGACATGATAAGAAGAGCGCAAAAATCACTAATACGTCGAGCTCGGGCAAGCATTGCGAATAATGATCGGCATTTTGAGCAATTTCTATAAAAAATAAATCGTTTTTGTTTCACTACTCGCTTCTGTAATTGTTCAATCTTAATTTAAAAGGCAAGATTTCTTTTCAAAATCCAAGGATTTTCGACTTGTCAGATCTGACTTTACCTTTCCTCACTATGCATTTTGATTAAAAATTATTTTAAATTCGTTGCTAGGTTTTCATTCAAATTAAATGCAATCAATCTTACGTGATATTTTCATCAGTGGTAGTCTAAGCAGGTGGTTAAAGGTGGTTTTTTTCATCGTTAAAAAAAATTGAGACACCCTGCATAATAAACTTGAGCATGGCGTTCGTCTGGTTTGCACAGAAAAAAAACTACGGGTTGATGAGGGTTGTTTATTTTGAACCTCATTTGTCAGGTTTAAATTAAAAACTGGAGACTCCATCACAAATCGTTGAACAAGCTACAAAAGGCAAGTCTCTCTATAGTGCCTTAAGGCGTTATGAGCTGGTTGCTACAACTATTTCTTTCATTATTTAAGTATTTAAGGTTGTAATAGCGTTTTACCAGTTCGAGATCAAAATTTCCGATATTACGCGAAACTGGTCGCTATTACGCCCCTGGCCCTGGTGTTTATTACGTTTTTTGTACGATGGAAACCACGGTGGAAGATCGGAGCAATGAAAATTACAATTCGTAGCGCGTCACAGTGCGTAACCCCAAGCGCTACCTGCCTTCACCCCTGTGGGATGACACTGCCTGCTAACTCCCCCGCAAGAGCCTCGTCTTGCCGCCCGATATAAAGGGACCCTAGGCAACCCACCGGCATCTTCCACCGCCATTGGACTTCTACTCCACGATCAAGTTCAGGGGTGCGATTTTGTTTCTCGATCGAAGTGATAAATTATCACTTGCGATAAATGTCATTGCGTAGCTTTTAAATGCAAAAGTTTGCATTTATTCTTTGCATATAAGCTTATTAAATGCTCAAACGTTTACAATTACCTTAATTTTAAGAACTTATAACTCAGAATTACGATTTTGAACTTCTATTTTGACATTAATTTCGAGGTTATGTATCCAAAATTTATCAGAGCTATCGAGCAAATATCACTCCATGAAGACGTGATTTCGTGACAGAATCGAGAAATGTGACAGAAATGTAGCATCTCAACCAATCAGCAAACGAGATTTTATCGCTATCGAGTTTTTTTCGATCGAGAAACAAAATCGCACCCCTGGATGCGAGCTCCCGAGACTTACATCACGCAATGCAGAAAAAAAAAGATCTTTTCAAAAATGTTAAATTTGACCCCTCATGCCATTGTTGATGGAAATTTGAATATTTCAGAGGATATTTACTTATCTATCAAATTTCAATGAGTTCTGATAAACCGTTCCCGCGATATTCAACTGTTTCCATACTCTAGCAACCCTGCATAGAAAAGTTTCAAAGTATGTATGTATAAGTATGTATTAATACATATGCATGTAGATGTTAAACGGAAGGAATATTATTTTCTATGGAATAGACCCATTTCATGTAAAGAAAGAAAGAAAAATATATTATAGAGAAAATTATGCTATTGGTGGCTTTTAAATCGAGAACAATGAGAATAAGAAACGCGACTTGACACAATAGCTACACTTTTGTACACAACATTGATGCACCATTTTACTCCCTTACTACTCTGATTCCGCAATTTATTTACATAAGCATTCATATTGTCGCCATAACGGAAACACTTGTCTGTATCATGTCAGGTGCTTGTAATGCTTCTTTACCTGTCCTGGTGAGAGGGCCAGGTGGGCCTACCAAACTTAAGGTCTACATATAATCAAGCCAAACACTTACATCAGTTCTGCTACAATTCAAAATGTGTGGATTGTCCCTTGCAAATACAGGACTTTCAGTTGTTATTGAGGAACCAGATCCACTAGTTATCAATTTGGCTCCGTCATCGTCAGACATAGCATCTTTGTCAAATCTGTCCCATGAAATTCCAATATAAAAACAAAATTATAACTATCAAAATCGCGATAAAGTGACAAAAAATTACCTGGCACACATTTCATTTTCTTTGTCTTCTTTCGGAAATTTTATTCGTGCGGGGCGTTTCATTGTACTTGTAATGACATCTTGCAACTTATTCATCAACGAGCTTTCCATCTGATTCATGTATTTTCTAAGCACAGGACTAAAATTTTGTTGATGATCACTTGTTACAGAGGTCATACTGGAGGAAAACAGAGGCGAGATATCAAATTTTGAGTCATTTTCAGAAAGAGCAGGTTCGTGAATCAAAGGCAAAACATTTCTACGTTTTTTAAATGGAGTCTCATGTAACAAGCCATTTGACCTCTTTAAAGGTGTCTGTAGTTTTGGACCATTGTTGGTAAATAGTGTTGGATTATCTTTACGATACTGTACAATAAAATCATTTACTTCAGGTTTATTTTTCATTTTCTTGACGCGATTTGAAAATTCTAACGTCTGTAAAGTTTCTCCCAAATCATCTGAATTAGAACTAACACAAGCAATGAGCGAGATAAAATTCCTCTTATTCAAGGAATCTTGAAGAATGGTTGTTATTACTGACTGTCGATATGGAACATGACCAGAATTACTTGATAATGCTGTCATGACTTGTCCAAGACTCAATAATCCTTTATTGATATTAACCCCTTCATAAAAACTAGACCCTTGATTACCTGTCTTTCGAACACTTTCAGAACCTGCTAGATCTACTAAATTCAGTTTTGCAACTGTTTCGAATTCACTAAAAAATAAAAAATTTGTAGAACTACATATATTTTTATATATTTTGTTTTGTTACCTATTGCGAATGCAACAATGAATGGAGAAAATTGCATGTGATCTGGAGCTATTTGTATTTTGTTTTGTTCCTCCTATATGACGTTGTCGACTTCCACCTTGTAAATATCGTAGAGCTTCATTCATGTTGTGAACCATCACTTTTGTAAAGCCTTGAACTGTGAAACCTGTGGAGGTCAATGTATGTATTAGTAAATAAAACATACTTAGGTGAAATACCCTTTATAGGAAGAGGGTGTTTGGGTTTATTTGACTCTAGCAAGTCAAACACTTTTTCATTATAAATTTCAATGAATGAAATGGTAATTTCGACTTCATTATCTTCATCAGCACAATTAAAAAAATCCTCCAAAGCTCTCGATATTAACCCAGCCTCGCTCTCATTTTTTATCTAAAAATCATAGCGTCAATCTGTGAAAAGTTCCCTTATTTTTAACATGAAAACTAAGGTTACTTACATCCGGATTTGTACCAATTGTGTATGTTTTACCAGTGCCAGTTTGCCCATAAGCAAAAACCGTACAGTTATAGCCAGCTTTTACTTTCTGAACTAAACGTTTTACAGTGTCATTATAAATCTCTTTTTGTGTCGTCTCATAAGTAAATACATTATCAAAATGGTATGACTGGGATTTATCAACTAGTAGCAAAATCTGCAAATAATTTCTGTATTTTTTCAGTCCTTGGTGAAATTTTGATCATATTTACCGCTGGTTGTTTGTTAATAACTTTTAACGAACTGTTTAATATTTCTTCTTTTGATGGTGGTCTTATTCTAACAGAAACATTTACAAATTCTTCCATTATTTTAAAACACGATGAAAACTTATTTTGATTGTATTGCGTAAATATTACACGTTCAAACAAGTCATGAATTACGACTGTTGTCATAGAACTGTTGTTTTGGTTCACGGATTTTTACCGTTTGAAATTTGAATTGTACAAACAAGATGACGCCTGCGTATTTTGTGTGAACATGTGTGAATAGCAATTAGCAACGAGTGCACCGACAGAGCGCTTGCGCATATTTATTAAAAAAAAAAAAAAAACTAATTAAAAACTTAATCATAGTAGGATAAAAATTCCTACTCGTTACGATTCCGCACTTGATGTAATTTTATGAGAATTATAATTAATATGTATTTTCTCAGGACTGACGCTTGGCCATTTGTTTAGATATCCACGTTAATATTAATAATAATAAGATTTTACAAAAACATAACATGATTAGTTAATATAAATATATAAATACAGTTATGACATATATAATATTCTTAATAGTGAAGTAGATATAAACAATGCCTATGTGAAATTTAAAAAATCGCACGGTACAGTATAGGTAAAACGTTTTGCGACGATGCATTACGTATTAAATAAAACCCTTCATAAACCACAGTAATTGTATTCATAATTTAATGTGTGTGGCACTGACAATCTCAAAAATGAGTAATTATTGACAACAATCAGTCTAGTAGTTTAGATTATGTTTGTTAAGATAACATCAACACTGAAACAGAAACTGTTTTGGGTAGTTCGTAACATGAAACAATAATTATGAAGTTATAGTAGCCTGCATAGATATTGTAGCCGTCCATAGAGTCGAAATTTGCGAATAAAAATAAAATAAAACCGGTTCAAACGGAGCCGACGGTGGCTCTCAGAGTCTGACGTCACTCTGGCACACGTTGCACAGAGACGTATTTAATATTAAATGTCATTTTTTCCGTTATGATATAATCTGTTTAATTTCTGAGCTGAACTCGTCAATAAAATCGAAGCTTTGTTCACTGTACACAAGTTGTGGTATGGTATATTCATCGTTGCGGAGGCAGGTGGAGCGAAAAACCTAGTCATCTTAGCAGCAAACACGCCTATAAACTAGTCCACGTGGACTGTTTGTTTCCTGTCATATTTTACTTTGCTTGAACCAATTGTGTTGCACCAAACGGTTATTACACTTGTTGAAATAAATTTTCAAACTTCCATCTTTCTCTAGATCATCGGTTTCGTAGCTGTGTGACAAATCGTTTGTCGTAGATAGAAAATAGTAAGATTACAGTGACCCTAAGATTTTGTGCAAACAGCCTTAAATACACCCCTGTGTGATATGACGCGTGCCGTAGTGACAGAACTTACAAGCCGTCGTCGGCTCCGTTTGAGCCGGTTTTATTTTATTTTTATTCGCAAATCTCGACTCTATGGACGGCTACAATATCTATGCAGGCTACTATACAAATAAAACGGTGCCCAATAATTTTGTACATTCGTTTAAACGATCGCATCTGCATATAGTGAACTACCAAAGAATTTTCAATTTGCATATAACTGGAACAATATCAAGTTTTGTTTAGTTTCATTTTAACAAACTTGTATCCAGCATCCACCTTAAATGATCAACTTTTTAAAACACCAAATATGTTTTTTATAATAATTTATTATTAAAACTTTATGATACGGAAAAATAATTAAATTCTTATAATTAAAGATACACGTAAAAGTTGCTAATTATTACAAAAAATACACGAATTTTTACAACAGAAAAATGTCCAAACTGAGTAAAAATTACACTCAGTCTGATTCATCTGAATCAAACACGTACTTCGTCTGTTTCGCATTTCTTCCAACTCGTCCGGTTTTGATGGGAGGAGATTCTGATTCCTCATCTGAATCACTGCTGGCTTTTTTCTTTTTTGATTTTGTCTTCTTCGTAATTTCGAAATCTTCGTCCTCTGACGATTTTTTCTTCTTAGATTTTGGTTTTTTCGCCACTTCAATATCCTCGTCGTCTGACGACTTCTTTTTCTTTTTAGGTTTTTGTTTCTTACCTTCATCTGAATCAACTTTCTTTTTCTTTGTTTTAGGTTTACTCATCTCTTTCTCAGAAGAAAACATATCTGAATCTGAATCAGAATTAATCTTTTTCCTTTTTTGTATTTCGCTTTGTGAACTATCAACAGCATCATCTTTCTTTCTCCCAATAAGGGTATCAAACATATCTTCTGATGTTTCGTTTCTTGGAGGCGGCGATTCATTTTCACTGTCTGAACTCAAATTAATCTTTTCCTGACGTTGATCATTCTCTTTGATTGCAACATTGTCAAACAGCTCTTCTCCGCCTGAAGACGATGAATTATCTTCTGACATATCATACTTTATCTGTTTTGTAGCCGCTCTTTTGCTCAAAACTCTTTCTTTCACCATTGGACTTACAACATTAGAAAATTCAACATCAGATCCACTATTGGCATCATTGTCTTCTTCACTGTCTAGAGCCGTAGCTTTTTTGCCCCGTTTTTTAGGACTTCCGTTAACTACAATTTAAATTAATTTTAAATTACAGTACAACTTTCATGTGGATTAAAGTAGGTTGATTAAAAAATGGCGCACGTATAACTGTATCACACCATGTTAAGGACTGTATATTGAGCAAAAAAATATATATATAATAAATTTGAAAAATCCTTTAGCCCAAATGTAACGTGTTCGGTACATGAAATCGATCGGAATTTTATTATTCAAAATAATTTTGGAAATATCGTCTTTAACCATAGTTGTTTTCATTTTATAGTATTACAAAAATCTTTTAAAATTATTCAAAGTGAATCTGGCAACAGTGGCTAATTTCACCTATATGTATCTAAACCGATGCTGTACCGTTGAATTGGTGCGCTATTTTTAAATCACCTGTACTATTAAACAATCAATGTGCTTACCTTTTCCATCAGGACTTTTCTTTTTAAAATTAAGTTTCGTTTGCTTCAAGCCATCTTTTGCTTTTTTAGATTTTACTTTTTTCTCAGCCTCTTCTGGAGTCCCAACTTTATCCTTCAAGGATTTTTTATTTTGTACTAACACGTCAAATTCATCCTTTTCCTCCTAGAATTTGTATTACTAACAACAAAGACAACAATCTATAAAATGTATTACATTTAATTCATCAGCCAAATTTTCTTTTTTGATTCCCCTTTTTCCTTTGTTTTCTTTACTTTTGGCAGCTAACTGAATCCGTTTCTTCAATTCATCAGAAATAGTTGGTGCAACTCGTTGAGCAACTGGCGACGGCATTGTCTCTTGGAGCTGAAGCTTCTTCCTTCCCTGTTGGCAGAATAAAATTACCCTTCCATTTCTAATATAAAACTACATATATAGCTCCTTGGGGCTATAATACGTATGATCATACACGCATGCTATATTCTGATAAATTACGACAATATATAAGTTTCTAGAACTCATTCACCAAGGTACTAAACTGTCACAATAACAACAACTAAGGACAATATCAAACATCGTAATTGAAACTTAACAGCCAACTTAATCACTCGGTCGCTAGCACGGTTGTAATTATTTGTTATTGTTATAAACGGCACATTTAAAAGAACGCCAAATTACTCCTATAATAAAAATGTACAACTGCGACCGAAAGAAGAAAATTTTCATATTTAAGCATTGAAATATGTTCAGCGCAATGATTAAAATTAATTACTGTGTAAACCTATCAAATGTGTAACACTAACAATGAATGTACTGTTTATACATTAATTGTAATCAAAACAAATATTTCAACTGTTCAATAAAACTTTTAAGTTGTTTCATATGAACTAAATTAGAATAATAAAATGATCCTTAATAATAGTAATAATAACAAGCACAAGCAAATTTATTGAATGATTCTTTTGGCCGCAATGTGAATTACTACTATGAAACTTACCCGTCCAGTTTTTATCTCCTTGAGCAAGACATAAATAATAATACAATTAATACATACGAACAAGTTAGTGTTAAAAAGAAAGAAAAAAAAAATCGAAACAATTTACCATTATCATTTAAAGAGCACAGCATCTTTGATTATTAATAGTTATGGTCTATAAAATTAAAAAATTTGATTTTTCTACTTAATACTATATTTCATTTTGTCGACCGTGACAAATTTTGAACAAGGTGATAAGTTAAAAGCTTTAGTTTAGGTTTAAGTTTGGAATAAAATATTGAATGAAAATGTCTTACTTGCTTGTTAAAAACGAGCTCATCTCTTTTGCACACAAAAAGTGCAAAATGCACTTTCAGTTTTGTTAAATAGTATTAAAAAAAAATGGATGTTTATCATTTTTGGTCAAACAAATTTCAGTCCAATGGTGTGCTACAACGGGTGTGTATGTGTGTTTTTTTTTTTTTAAATAAGGAATTTGTAACATTTTTCTACAAATTTCAATAAATACAAGACTGTAGTAGTACGACTACTACAATCTGTGAATTTTTGTATGCTCTGTTGAGTTTTAAATAGTTGTTATTATATAATATAAACACCACAAATCAATTTTCACAGTAAGTCATGTGTCAAAGCAATATGAAAAAATGGTGTTATACCTATATTGTTATTGAACTTTGTAGGTACATTTTTTAAACGTACATAGAACCACACTTACTGGCTGATTCTTTTTGGCAGGTTTTAAACCTTGTTCCTCGTTTCTCTCCTTTTCTTCCACTTGATCTAATTTTTCCATGAAAACATCAAGATCTTCCCTCCATAAGTCTGCTTTAGTTTTTTGCTTCAATACTTGCAATTCTGCTAGTTTATTATCACGCTGGCGCAACAATTCGTTTTTCTTTTCTTCAGTCAACATCCACATTGACATTCCCAATAAATAATCAAACTTCTGAACGTCACTTGAATTTCTAAATGCTTTTTCTAAAAATCAAAAATCAGCACAAGTATATATTTTTCGTTTTATTTGCTAACCAGGATCAGCTGGTGGTTTCTTGGAGGAAGTGGATTCAGTTTCAGCACTCTCCTCTTCATCTTCTCCAGCTTGTTCTTGTTCCTCTTCTTCTATACTTCTTTTCTTCCACTCTTTGACAGGATCAGGTGCATAGCCCTTATTTAATAATTCTTCAACAATGATCTTCCGTTTTTTATTTTCGACCACTAGTGTGTGATTACACTTTTCCATTATGAAGCGGGCTTGGTTACTTAGTTTTGCAGCTTCTGCTTCCAACATACCCTCTAAATAATCTTTTCTCTTCTGGTACATCGTCAAACGTAAAACGTAAAATTCCTTCAAAATGTCGACTACGGAATCAAACCTTAAACATTTGTGCAAATACTATAGAAGAAAATTAACATGAAAATATTACAAACCTTTTAATACAACCAAGTTCATCAAAGGTACACATGGAACCTGTTGTGAGCATTGTCTGCAATTTGAAAATTTTATGTAACCCTTCTCTTTGCATATTTTCCATTTGACCAGGTTGTAGCGTCAAAATAAATTTGACGGTTATATCAGTGTTATACTCTTTGTAGTCATTTAAAACAGCTTTCACTTTTTCCGAACCTAAGAATAAATAGGATATTGAGAGACACTACATTTATTTTCTCCTGTACATTAATGCAACAAAAAAATTTTTAAGCAACCATTAAAACTTTGAACATTAGATGTATAGAAAAAAACATTGCATTATGTAAGCTATTCAGAAGATAATACATTTATCGCAATTACTTTTGCCTACGTTAGTATAATGACTAACCACTTACCATGAACCAAAGGCTCTAGTACATTTTCTTTATAACTCTGTGTCCATGTACCAACAGGTAGTTCAGTAATTTCAAGCTTGCTGTTACCGATGATGGCAATTTCTCCACTGACAACGTACCTCTGATCACCAGCGTCGTCTATAGTACCCTTGAAGTTTTTGTACCATGGTAACATGGGTGCAGGATCTTCACCATCCAGCATTCCACGCAAATGCGCAACAATCTCTCTGGGGTTATAATTTGGAATTTTTGTCATCCACCCCGTACCAATACCGTCAGCACCATTAACTAATACCATTGGTATAATTGGAATATACCACACTGGTTCAATTTTTTGATTATCATCGTATTCATGTTTCAGTAAAGGATCATCGTTTGGATGAAAAATAAGACGTGCCAAGGGTGACATTTTTGTAAAGATGTACCTTGCACTAGCAGCATCTTTTCCTCCTGCCACTCTCGTGCCAAATTGACCTATTGGCTCAAGTAAATTTATATTATTGCTTCCAACAAAATTCTGTGCTAAATTGACAATTGTCATAGCCAATGAGACTTCACCGTGATGATAAGCTGACATTTCAGCTACAGATCCTGCTAACTGAGCGACCTTAACTTCTCGCTTATCATTACGTTTAAAACAGGTGAACATAACTTTCCGCTGTCCAGGTTTGAGTCCATCCACTAAACAAGGAATGGATCTGATATTGTCCGCATTTGAAAACAAAACCAATTCAAGATTGACGAAATCTGTGAATGTCACGTACTTTGTATCTTTCGCGTACAAATATTTTTCCGGTAGACCAATTTCTTTTCGTCGTTTGCTTTCTACCATAAAATTAGTTAACCACTCTTTACGATGCTCTACATGCTTTTTACTGAAAGCTAAGACTATGTGATCGTCATCCTGTTGACCTTGATAGCGAAATCGAATGCGATGCCTGTCCATATTGCTGAAATATTCTTTGGCCTCCTTGGAAGTTGAAGTACCCAAACCTAATTGAAATGCGATTAAATGAAAGAATTGCTTAAATTAAAGTGTCCAATAATTTTTGGTACAATTTATCGTGAGCACAAAATATCATACCTTTGTAGTACTTTATTTGATATGTGTGATGATTTGGTGTGTTCGATTTCCATTCTTCAAATTCTGGCAGTGAATAGAATGATAACTCCTCATTTTTCTTCCTAGCTTTCACAATAGGTGTAATGAATTCTTCTAAGAAATTCTGTCGTAGCAACTCTGGCCAGTTGTAGTGAATAAAATTAATAAGTAAACCTTTAATATGAGATCCATCCTGATCTTGATCAGTCATTATCATTACTTTGCCATAACGTAAAGTTTTCATGTCTTCTTCAGAATTGTATTTCTTTTTATATTGCAGCCCAAGAATTTTAATAAGGTTGTTTATTTCTTGATTTTCCAAAATCTGTTTATGTGTAGCCTCTCTTACATTTAAAAGTTTACCTCTCAAAGGAAACACTCCGTAATAGTCTCTCCCAATGACTCCCAATCCTGCTACAGCCAACGTTTTAGCTGAATCTCCCTCAGTCAATATTAAAGTACACCGTAATGCATTTCTGGTTCCCGCTTCGTTTGCGTCTTCCAATTTAGGAATGCCTTTGAGCTTTGACTGCTTCTTACCACTAGTTTTGGCGAGTTCATTTTGAGCTTTAAATCTGGCCCAAGTTAACACTGACTCAACTATACCACTTTTTGTGATTTGAGTAATAAATTTTTCAGGTAAATTACATTTAGATCCAAAACTCTTTGCTTGTAAAGTCATGTTCTCTTTGGTTTGGGAGTCAAATGTAGGATTTACAATCAGGCAATTTACGAAAATCCACATATGGTTCTTAACTTGAAAAGGTTTAATAGCAACACCCCCTTTGTTCTTTTTCTTCAACACCTCAATCAACTGTTTTACAATCATATCAACTACGTAATCCACATGACGTCCCCCTTTTGTAGTAGCTATGCTATTCACAAATGACATTTGTTGAAATCCTCGATCTGAGATAGTCATGGCAACCTCCCATCTCTCGTTTACAGTTTCATGAACAATTTTTAGCTGACCACCTGTATCATCTTCTTTCCCTTTTACAAACAAATCAACGTAATCTTTGAAACTTTTAATAGGAACCCTTTTTCCATTCAACATTACTTTGACGCCTCGCGTAGAGGCAGCTACGTCAAACGCTCTTCTCGACATTAGCGCCACAATGTCATCATCTAATTTATCCATTTTAAACTTCTCCAAATCCGGACTAAACGTGATCTTCGTATAATCGTCCCCTGAGAATTCCTTAATTTTTGGTTCAGACGCTTTTGTCATATTACTTCCCCATGTTTGTTTATACTGTCGTTTGTACTCTTTTGTGGCAGTTTCAACTGTAAATTTTGTGCTAAATATATTACAAAGTTTCGCACCGTAACCGTTTCGACCTCCCGTAACCTTTTCTTCTTCGTCGTTGTAATTTGAGGATGTTAAAAGATGTCCAAAAATCATTGTGGGTACATACATATTTTCATCTTTATGCATTACGACTGGAATCCCCTGTCCGTTGTTCCACACTGATACAGTATTAGTTTCAGGATTGATTTCAATTTTTATGCAGTCCATTTTTTTATCTCTTTGTTTATTATCGGCAGCATTTACCAAAATTTCATCAAAGATTTTATACAATCCAGGAACGTATTCAATTTGTTTTTGTACAATTACATCTTTTTCGCCGTCATAGACCCACATAATTTCCGAAACTTTCTCTACCGAACCTATGTAGGTATCGGGACGGAGGAGAATGTGTTCTAATTGTGATTTCTTTTGGTACGTTTTTTCAATAGTTTGTTTTTTTGAAGCCTTTGGTTCCGCAATTACTTCGCCGTTGTCACCACCACCCCCGCTGTCGTTATTTGTCATTTTGGCGAACATACTCTGTAAAAATAAAAATACTATTGTAGTACGTAAAATTGACTTTATACAAAATAATAGAAAGCACCATCATAATGCTAGTTTTTTATGTTCACGTAAAAACAAGTCTTCACTGTATTCTCAAAAAAATATATATAAATAGACATGATCATGTAAGCAAGTCTTTACCAGTAATACCTAATTTAAATTTACATATTTAAGTAATGAATGTTTTAACAATATTTTTTAATTTTTCGTTTTCAAACATGTACCCGTCTGTCAAACATTGTGCATCTCGAATTGCCTGCAATAATGTTGTTTCTCATAACGTAGATTGGGCGCTCCTCTATTCTTGTAATATTGTATACAAAACTTCCTTGACATACACCTTGTAAAATTTTTATGACTTAAGCGGCTTAAGTTAAACCACCCTTATAATGGACCCGATCCGCAAGTTATTACCACTGTCCTGCCACAAATCTACCAAATGCAATCGCCCAGGTATTGTGTGGCACTCTTCGCGCGCACTAGTGTCGACCACTCGATGCGGTCAGCTACATCGAGTGCAGTGGCATGACCTGATACTCGCGTGTTTACAAACTGATGTAACAAATATAAAATTAAATAAATAATAAAAAATTATTATACACAAAATAAGGTTATGCGCCAACTTCTGAAGAATTCTTGTTATTTTGAGAGTTTCTAGCTGTATTTAAAATGTTGCATCACCACATACTGTTCTAAATGATCTTCTCTAAAATAATTTCTTTTTGCCGTTCAAACATCTTTAAACATGGAAAACGATCTTTCCACATCACAACTTGTTACTGGTGCATTAGAGAAAATGTTAATCAAATCCGAATATTTTTCACACAATGCATCACAAGTAAATGCATTAAAAGCTATGTCTATAGCTATAGAATTACTTTTTTTTGTTAGTTTTGTACTCATTTGTGCATTAATTCCTTTCAGCTGTTCAAATAAACCCTCAATTTGCAATATTTTGTTTTTCGAAAAATTTTATTGTAGGTATAATGTCGTTAAAATTGGTGCTTATGAATTCCACTTGTTCTAGTAAGGTTTGTTTACATTCTTTTATACTGACCGCTTCATCAGGCAACTGTAAAACACAAGATTTTATTAAAAGAAAATTTTGAGCATAAAACAACGCTGCTTCCAACCACGTACCCCATCGAGTTATAATTGGTTGAGGAAGCAAGGGTAAACCAGGGCAATGTTGTTTATATAACGTTACCATAGATGGAGCTTCCAACAAAATTTTTGCAGCTGCTTATTAATTTATTTACGTCTGGAAACTCTTCCCAAATGACTTCACAAATTCTGTGAATTGCATGTGCAAAACACGTTAGATGCAAGACATTTGGAAAAGCTTCCTTGAGAAGTCGGCCTACTTTTAACATTGTGGCAGCAGCATCGGAAACAAAAAGTAATATTTTTGAAACGTCTGCGTTGATAATGTTTACCACAGCTTGTTTTACGATTTGGGCAATTTCTTCAGCGTTAACACTAGAGCGAAATTGTGTTGAAATTAAAAAAGGCTCGTATGGTATGTCAGGATGCAAAATACCAGCAATAACATTGACAACACACCTACCTTTAATTTCTATTGTTTCATCCGCGCTAACCCAAATATAATTATCAGATAATTTGTTTTTTATTTTACAAATCGTTTTGTCATAGTGCTTTTCGACGTAATATTTTCTTAAGGTGGACGCATCGGGTAAATTACGACCCGTATATTTTTCATAAATTGTTTCAAAACAGGGTGATTAACTTTTTGTAACGGTATATTTGCCGAAATAAACGCTTCACATAACTCCCCAAAAAACTCTGTATTTGATGTTCCTGCCACGCTGTTTGAGTGCTTTTTGGTCTTTATATGTCTTCAAAGACATTGTTTGGTTCGCATTTTGATGTTTTGAGAACAGAAATTGCAAATTACTCTACCTTTCTCTATAAATGTAAACGTGTTACCAAAATCTTTAATAAGGTGTTCCATTATTTGCACTAAAATTTAGCTTCTAAAAATATAAAAATAAATCCAAACAATTCTAATATCTAAATAAAAAAGTAATTTTCTAAAAGTCAGTAAGCAATCGCAACTAGATCCACCGCTTATGATAAAACTAATAAAAAAACAAATTCAAAAAATGTAAATCAGAACTCAACTATTTTATTCAACAGTTGTAAATACTCTCCAACCCTTTAACAATTTTAAAAATTAAAAACGTTAAAATTACAAATGATAAACGTAAAGAAAAAATAAAAATTCTCAACCAATGAAAATCAAAACTAAACGTATTCTTCAAAATTATAAACGACGTTTCTAGCTAATACGATCTAGCCAAATGACCACACTGCACGTGGACGTAAACACTGAGAGCTTCAAGTATGCAATAAACATTGACCATCGGGGTATCGGGTAGCAGCTCCCGACCGTCCGACACGTTTACGCCAAGGCATCCTCTCTCTCGCGCGCGCCACTGTTCGCGTACTTGGTAGATATTTATCAAGACTTTAGTTATTACTGTCCATTGTTGCGTAATGGAGCTGTAAAGTCTTACTAGGTAAATGTGAACTGAGTTAAGTTATACACTAGCCAGTCTGACTTATAAATTATAAGGGTGCTTTGGCTTAAGCCGCTTAAGTCAAAATTTTTATATGGTGTATGGTATGTCAAGTGAGTTTTGTATAAACAGTAAGAGAGGCAAAGCGGATTAAATGTAAAAATTGTATCAGTTAAGATCTAATAAAATTCATGAAATTAAAACTGATATCCAAAAAGGTACAAAATATTCAAACCTAAGTAACACATGATAACCTTTTGATTTAAGTTTATTATTAAAAAGTATTTATACTTTAAATATTGCAATGGTGTTACTTTACATGAAGCCTATTGTAACCAGTGTTACAAAAAAATCATATGTCAATAATTTTTAAACTTTAAACATTTGTTAATTCTAAAAGATAGAATTCCACAACTGCTGATATGACATATGTGCATGTACTATCACGGCCAAAAAAATGGAAACACCTAACCTGCTCATGCCATCGATTTTTATTTAATTTTTCAATTGTATTTGTTAAATTTATTTTGTGTCTGCTTTAGAATGAACGCCTTTGATTTCCTGACGTCTTTTAACATCAACGTGACAGAGAAATTGCACTTACAATAGAAAAATTCAATAAAAATCGATGACATGAGCAGGTTAGGTGTTTCCATTTTTTTGGCCGTGATAGTACATTTGGAAAGTCTGTAAGAAGTGCCAGTTGTACTTGACCACTGCTTTTTCTATTGCGGACTGTAACCAAATTGTCGCAGTCGATCAACATAGAAACGTATAGTGTAAATTATACTTAGTACGAATATTTTATACCTATATAAATACTACTACACTATCAGAGCGTTGGTAATTTGTATCACAAGCATGTATACCCAATTAAATTTGTCGTCTGTCGTGTTGAAGTTTTTATATAATTTTAAATCATAATGAATGCTGAAATCCCTGATCTAAAATGACCATATTATAGACCATTCCTTATGTTTTTTATATTATATATAATGTTTTTAATATTTAGTCCACACCTTACCACTTTGAATTAACTCCAACTAAAAATGGAATCCTGTAATCGTAATTTTATGAGGAAATTATGAGAGCCCTGTTTGTTCCTGTTTGTTTTGGCTGAAACTACATACAGTACAGATGCACTAAATTTAACTTAAATAAATACATATAACAATTCAAATATGAGTATGAATATAAGCTTAAAAAGCTATTCGGTTAATTTTGGCTTGTGTTTGTAATTTTAAATTATAAAGGACGCTACCACATAACCTTAAATTTAAAAAAACGTTGCTATTCCACCCTTGAAGACAACTTTGTACCTTAATATCTGCCATTATCAGTCACTAGTAGCCTTCAGTTGGCTCTTCACTGCACAAATACTGTTCAAATATAATTAAAACACATTTTTATGCTTCTTAAAGTCTTAACAACAAATGGCCGGCTTCTTTGCGCCAAACCACACAGTTCACACACTCACAGTACACATCGCAAGCGAAGCTCCAGCATCACGACTGCCATACGACTGCCTTCGTGACATTAAAAAAAATTACTTCGGATACTTCCGTAAATAATGCAGAAAAGTAGCCAATCAGTAACGCTGTGAATATTTTACTGTTTCTTTTTAACCAATTGAATTCAAAATTTTGAACAAAACAACGTTGAGCCAGTTCAAACTTCAAATCAATATGGCTGTTGCGTTTATCTGGCAATCCACAGAGCTTGTTGGAAATTTTCGAAATGTATTATTTAGAGAAAAGTTCATAAATCATTTGAATAGTTTCGAATGTTAAAAGTAAAAAAGGTATACTACTGAGCTCAGTATTTCTGTTAAATCCATTCTAAAATTTAATTATTATTACTTTATAAACTGCGGCGATGTGACGTGTAGCGAAGAGATCGGAAAGATATTAGGTGGCGGTCACAAGTGAAAGTATTGCTCTAGTCAGTTTAGCCATGAAACACCGACTATTGCCTGGAATCCTGGAAACTGGAATCTACAAATCAGGAATTGACAGGATTTACAGGACTCTGTCTCTGTGGTCATAAACGACCTTCTTCCGCGTTTGTGGTTTTTGCCGTCGCGTTCAAAATACTCCATATGTCAGTTGGTCGCGCTAGGTACCAACTACTGATAACAAAATTTCCATGTGATTAATCCACCAAAACTGCGGCGACAATAAAATGACAGTTCCCAATTTGTCAAGAAAAATTTATAAATTCTCATGTGACTAAAGTAGAATGTAGTAATCAAGTTTTGAAGAAACTATTATGAGCAGTGATAAATCTCGGATAGAAAAAATTATAGATCAAATTAACGCTTCTAATGCCAAGAAAATTGCACTCTTGTTAGTGATAGGATTTGCGTGTTATCATGGAATTCTTCATGTTAGATACGGTAAACTTGGTTTGCAGTCCTAGTATAACACCTACACCACATAATTTATTTGTTTATAGGAACGAATTCTTGCAAATGGTTATTGTCTGATGGTCGATATAAAGGTGACCAAGAATGGCAACCCTATGGATGTATGCTGCATAGGTATACGAAAATGTAAGATTATATGTTGAAGTGAAATAAGTTTTATTTTACTATATTACTGAATTATTTTTTTAGTGATACCAGAAAATGTTTACGTTACATAGCATTTTATGGTACCAACACCCACTTTGTGTTTATGGGCGATAAAAGAGTTCAAGATTTGTACGTGACATTTATTAATCACCTCCTAGAAGAAGATGCAGAGGTTTTGCGCTCACCACAAGAACTTGCAAAAAATTTAACCCACATAGATAACAAGTTAAAATTAAAAGTTGAATTTTTTGGAATGCCCTTTATTTCTAAACAAATGATTGATAAATTCAGGTATGTAATATTGACTTAATTTTCTTTTATGATAATATTTTTAAGACAGTGGCAAGTATCTAAAGAATCTCCATCTATTATAATTGCTGGGTGTGCACTAGAATCCATTAAATTATCAAATGCTTCCCTTGCAACTGTTGAAGAATATAAAATTAATTTAACACGACTTGTTCTGCCTATCAACCATCTACACAAGAAAAAAACAAAAGTTCTGTGGGCACTGCAAGAACCAATTAATCCAGAAAAACTTTTACCAGAGCTGCATATGATCAGTAACAATGTGATTAATTTATACAACAAGGCTGTTATTGAGGTTGTTTAAAATACAATTTTGAAAATTTTTAATTTAACTATTTTTTTTAGATTTTGCATTTTTCTGAAGCAGAATTATGGCGAAGTATTAAACTGGTTGGAGAAGGTATGATGTCAGAAAGTCCGAATGGTATATATTTAACAGCAAGGCCTTTACAATATGACATTCAAATTCTTATTAATATGTATTGTAATGATTACATGAATTTTAATGATGGTACATGCTGCAGTTCCACTGAATCTTACACAACGTTACAAATTGTCACATTTGTGATACTTTGCATGTGGTAAGTTGTTATACAAAATTTATGGAGTGCATCAGTCTCCTGTATATCACCCGTTTTAACTCTTTTTTTATTGTTAAAAGCACTAAATGTTATCATATTTTTTATATGTTAATAATAATAATTTGTCTTATCTTTGTAGCTGAGTTTTAAATGTCAGAAAGTGTGTTTTACTCAATGTTCTCTTCCGTTTTTTTATTTGTCAATAGCATCTTACTAAGTAACTTACTGATTGACAAAGGACTTTCTTTATAGTGTAACTGTTGCTGTGATAATGATATTCTACCGATTAATCATGAAATGGAGAGGTCGGCCTATCCATGAATACAGTGCGTTACCTGAAAATGAACTCCAGAATCAATCACCCGCTCCCGGCAGCTACTATAATCTCTTCATTTCACTGGCGAAAATGGCTCTAATAATGACATATTTTTTTGTGTGTGACCGCACCAATTTCTTTATGAAAGAGAATAAATACTACTCTGAATTTAGTTTCTGGCTTCCAATAGGCTACATCACTGTTTTAGGTTTATTTTTTACAGAAGATAGTAAATATACCAAAGTATTGCATCGTGATCAGTTGAATGAATGGAAAGGCTGGATGCAAGTTGTCATTTTAGTGTATCACATTACGGGAGCTAGTCGCATCTTGCCTATAAACATGCATATTAAAGTGTTAATATCTTCGTATTTATTTTTATTAGGTTATGAACAGTTTTGTTGTGTTTGGCGTCGTGGCGATATCGGTATAGTAAGTTTTTTTCGAGTTCTATTCCAGTTGAATTTTATGACTGTAACACTGTGTTTATGTATGAATCGGCCGTATCAGTTTTATTACTTTGTACCGTTGCTTTCATTCTGGTATTTAATGACATACTGCTTCCTCGCTTTTCCACCTCATATAACAGCCCAAAGTTCAGAAAACAATGTAATGCAATACTTTTATTTACTTATTAAATTTATTGTATTATTTACCGTTATTACCATATTGTTTATGTCGGAAGTATTCTTTGAAAAAGTATTTGTTACTAGACCGTGGAAAGCATTATTTGTTACGACAGACGACGACATTAGAGAATGGTGGTTTAGATGGAAACTAGATAGGTACTCTATAATGTATGGAATGAGTTTCGCTCTCATTTTACTGTTGGCACAAAGGTATAACATTTACGATGACAACAATCACAGTAATTTATTTTCAAGAGGTTTAGCTTTAACTGGTACTTTAGCAGCAATAATTGGTATAGGCTGTTACATCTTCATCACGTTTTTATGTTCTACTGAATTAGAATGTAGCGAAATTCATTCTTATATTACTTTTATACCTATTGTAGGGTATATTGTTCTGCGAAATATTTCTGGTGTGTTAAGGACAAGATATTCAAGTTTATTTGCTTGGTTTGGCGAAATTTCGTTGGAACTGTTCATTAGTCAATACCACATTTGGCTAGCGGCCGATACTCATGGTGTATTGGTACTTATTCCGGGTTATCCCGTTTTAAATGTCATGATTACATCTTTTATATTTGTATGTGCTTCTCATGAAGTTCATCGTTTAACCAAAGTATTGTTGCCATATGCTGTACCATCTGACTGGAAATGTGTGTTGCGAAACTTTATATTATTTTTGGCAGTTTTAGTACCTATTGGAATAAATGACGGTATGTTTTAAGTAATATTAAAGTATATTTTGTATTTTTAATAACGCACTTATTTGCGTACTGTACATATGTTTTTACATTTATAATGTTCCATGTAGAAGTTAACGAATAAAAACGTTTTTGTAAACTAAATGTTTACTTCATTAGGATTTATTTAAGTAATGGGCTACCTCTTTCTATATCTTTACTTTCATCACAGCACCCATAGTGTGGTTAAAAGTTTGCGTCTTAAATTATTATGCACCGTAAAGCCCGGCGAAAGAGTAACACATCAGTTCCATATTCTTCTCCTGTACATTACTGCTTTCTAAATTTTAATAATTGATGAATTTTGTATGATTGTAGGGTAAAATTAAATACATTTTTAAAAATAAAACATTTTTATTATAGAAAGAAAAGTAGAATAAAATAAGCACAAACATAGGGAACAGTTACAACCAAACACCTACGTGATATATGTTGTTAAATAATTTCAACTAATACGGGACAAAATAGAATGATGGCTATTGTAACAAAACTCGAATAAATAACAGAAACAAACATAATGTCAAATACAGTAAAAATACCAACAATGATAAGCTTTAAAAAAAAAGGTAAAGATAAAATTAAATCGTAAGAACTGGAATTTGGTAAGCTGTAGATCCTTTAGCTCCAGTCACTGCTTCTATTCATCTGGGCATACTGTTGATTAAGTTCTGGCTTGTTTCGTTGAGAATGTTCTTGTGTTCGTTCGACAAGAACGACGTGTTCGAGGCAAGCTATAGGGGCAGGTATATGGTGCGTAACCGACCGTTTTAGTGCATCCCATAAATATTCTATGGGGTTCATATCTGAGGTTCTTGGTGTGTAGAATATTCACGAATCAAGTAGTCCATTACCTCTCTCGCAACGTAGGGCCTAGCATTATCTTGCATAAGCAGGAAATTGCCACCGATAAATGGGACAAATGGCATCGCATGTTCTTCTAAGATGTTTTAAGCGTAGAAACGTGCATTCATGGATCTCTTCCATATAGGGACCAAATCCGTACCATTATTGAAACAAACTTCTCTCCAGAACATTATTGATCTACCAAAAAGGTTTATCAAATTCTGTTGCGTTAAATTTTACTGAAGTTTCTGATTCTGATAAAGGTGGATCTATTTCTTCTAAGTTATCATACTGAATAAGACATGACAGATTCTCTAGCATCCTGTGACTCAATTTCACAATTGGGCGGGGTATTCTATGGTCGCAATCTGTACTGTAGATAAACAACAATTTTTAACGTAGCTATAAACTGACGTTTGCCGTACAATACTGATGAAGACCTCTGAAGGATTCTGATCGAATGCTCTTAAACTCATGACGAAAACCGTCTATATTTTCGACCGGTCCGAAAAGAATAAACTAACTGATTTAAATAATTGTGGTCTGTCACTCCTTTTAAATGAATGGTGAAACTGGTGACATCACCACCACTTTTGAAATTAAAAGCAAAGAGTTGGGTGTTAAGGTGCTGATACGAGAAGGCGGCAGGTTAGGGTAAACCTAACCATGAGAGCAGTGTTAACGCGTAAAATCTCCGCCAGATATCATGGTATGTTACCCGGGCACTGAGGGCGTACTCAGGTGGGCCTTCTTTGGTTCAAGACATAGCAGGTTGGCGAAATCCGTGAAAAAGGTATCCTCATTGAGTGAAGCCTCCTATACGCTCGCGAGTGTAATCAACACAAGAGAGAAATAGCTAGAGCGGTTATGCATCAGTGGGGTAAGGACGGCTGACTACGTGTCACGTGCTGGGTGGCAAGAAACGCTTCATGTGAACGGGAATTAATATACGTTTAGACGTTTTCTTACGAATTTGTTCAAACAAATAATTGTAACAAACGTTTGTTAATGAAAACTATATTTTTATAGTTTACCTTAAAATTATATGTAAGGTGAAATAACAAAAATCATGTTAAGTGATGCAATGGTGGAGATAATCTTTTAATAAAATGAACATAACAGAGAATGTACAATACATTATACGAATTCAGTTAATACAATAGTCTTCTACAAGTTAACTAATGTTATAGTTATAGTGTATGTTCATTGATAAATCTGAATTTTTTAGGATAAAAGTAATTAAACTTTCGAAAAAAGTGACACGGTGCCTAATTTAATTAAACATATCAAACTGTGTGAATTTTCTTGTAAAATCTATTTTTTAAATCCACGTACTCGTATAATTTACAAAAACAATAACTAATAGATGTAAAATTCCCTTTTTGTAGCAATAATCCATTTTTTTTCGTAACTCGGAATGTTTAGGGAATCTAACAAATAATCTTTAAATTATACGAAATCATTTGTCTGTATACACAACCTAAGAAGACTGTACTAATTTGAATAAGTGTAACTTGAGTCTACAAAACGGAAATCTGCAAAAACACACCTTCAAACACCATGCGACAGCACAGAAGAAACATCCGGAAGCACAGTGCTGTGCAGTTTCGCGCCGATGTCTTGCCACCCAGAGAGCCCTATCTCTTGTCCCACTGTGTTGACAACATTGATCTAATAAAGGAGTGGATCTGGAGCCTTGTATACGTTTCCATACGCGAGCGAGTGTAATGAACATAAGAAAGACATAGCTAGAGCGGTTATGCATTAGTGAACAAAGGACGGCTGACCATGTATCACGTGCTGGGTGGCAAGAAACGCTTCATTTGAACGGGAATTAATACGTTTTCTTACGAATTTGTTCAAACAATCAATTATAACAAACGTCTGTTAATGAAAACTATATTTTTACAGTTTACATTAAAATTATGTGTAATGTGAAACCACAAAAATCATGTTTAGTGGTGGAGATAGTCTTTTAATAAAATGAAATGTATACAGAATCTACAATATATTACGAATTCAGTTAGTAATACAATAATCTTCTACAAGTTAACTAATCTTGTAGTGTATGTTCATTGGTAATTCTAAAATTTTTAGGATAAAAATGATTAAACTTTCGATAAAATTTTTTCGTAACTCGGAATGTTTACGGAATCTGACAAAATTTTTAAATTATTTACGAAATCCTTCGTCTGTATATTATTATGTGATTATTACCAATGAAATGAAACAGGATTGCTTTCTTTGCACGTTCTATGCAATTATACGCACAACACGATTTCACGATGTTTAACAAATAGTCCGATAAAATACAAAAAAAGACTGTAGACATTTAAATAAGGTAACTTTAGCCTATAAAACGTAAATTTGCAAAAATACACCTTCAAACACCATGCGACAGCACGAAAAAAATGTCCAGAAACACAGTGCTCTGCAGTTTCGCGTCAATGTTTTGCCACCCAGAGAGCCCTATCTCTGTCCCACTACGTTGACAACGCGCGTCTCTCTCTAAGTTACTTCCAATGGATTAACCCCGTTTCTGAAGGACACATAGCGACGTATGGACGTGGAGGGAACTTTGACTCTTGCTCTTTTTCTAACAAGTTTTGATGTAATAATTTTAAGTATTAAATTTTAGATAAAATTACATCTTTAGCTTTCTTATCTTCTAAAAACGCGAATTTGTTAAAATACATTAATTTCATCATTCCACAATAATCATGGTCTTGAAACATATAGTTATCAAGTTGCTTGTTACCTACTCCTGCCCTGTGTCTTGCAAATCGAGGAAAAACAGGTTTATTACACACATATTGACTGAAGGTGGTGAGGTCATCTTCTGTTGTTAAAAAGATTCGAATCTTTTTCCGTTACGTGATTGAGATTTTCTAAACATAAGTAAATATTTTAATAATAATGAAAAAACTTTCAGAGTTTAAATAATATATTTATAGTCACTGCTACACGTGTTTCGGTACACAGTACCGTCTTCAGGCAGAAGAGAAACTAGTACTACTAACTACAAATATATTATTTAAACTCTGAAAGGTTTTTCATTATTATTAAAATTAATATGGAGTTTAAACACGTATCAGCCTCATCAATACAAACATAAGTAAATATGTACAAACTACTACTGCTTCTAATGCAAATGGTTCATGATTCAATACAGTCAATCACGAACACGATCAAAACTTTCTTGTTTTTGAACGTGTTAGACTCGTCATGTTGTACAACACCTAGGGAAGACCTTACTAGGGACTCCCAAAAAGATTCCAGGCTTCCAGGTGCGCAGCCAACAAATCCCCTTGTTTATGAGTTGCGCGGAGCTTTGTTAACCTCTACGAAATTAATCAGTATAATCAGTATCAAAGATATCGTAGTAGTTATTACAGTGTTTTTAGTCAATAAATACCGTGGTCAATAACCTCCACAACGCCCTGGCCCCATTTACAGTCGCCACCACGCCGTCACACGCAAAACTGGATGTTATATGCACGTGATCATAACATAACCTTAATTTGTTGTGAAATTGTTCTAAATAAGATTTTATGAGCAACCTTATTATTGCGAAAATATAACCCTACTATCAAAAATGGAGAAAAAAGGTAATGCATACCTAAAAAAAAACACAACAACATTGTTGGTGTTTTGTTGTAGAAGCAGAAGACAATGTGGAAAGCTCTTGGCAAGAATTAGCGTTTAAAGATAAAGAAAGAGAACTTTCGCCACCAACATTTGTTGATAGCAAAATTCTTCGAATGATGGTGATTTTCATTGGATATAAAATTTTTGGTCAATACTTTTTTAAATGATTATTATTGTAGAAAATGATGGGTTACCATTCAGGTTTAGGCCTGGGTAAAAATAATCAAGGCATAATACAACCTGTAACAATTGATACCCAATTCCAAAGAGAAGGATTTGGTTTGAAAGTTGAGAATGGACGAAATATAAGTGAGACTTGGGATTTTTCATTAGATGTATGCAAATACTGCAGCAATAATCTTTTTATAAATGTGTTGTTTAAGGACCCATCTCCCACAGAACAAGTAGTGTGGTTGTACTGCAATGAGATGTTGGTAGTCGACATTAATGATATCACATGTCCTAAAGAAGAGAAATCAAACATTAACATTGAGGAAGAATATAATTTTTGTGACAAAGAAATATTGCATGACGTTATAGCAGCAAAAGTAAATGAACCTAATGAAAATGCTATAATATTATTATTATTCTTATAAAATTGTAGAATATTTTTGATGAGTTAGATTTAAAAGATTTATGTCAGGCACGAGGAAGAGCAAATCCATTTGAAACAGTTCGTTCTGTATTCTTCATGAATAGAGCTTCACTTAAAATAGCTAATATTGATGCTGCTACAGGTTTTATGTTTTCAAATATAGATAAAAATCCACATCACAAGGACAACACAGGTCCGTATTATTTTGCGGATGTATGTGCAGGACCAGGGGGATTTACAGAATACATTCTGTGGCGGCGGAAGTGGCACTTTAAAGGGTTTGGTTTTACATTGCGTGGTGAAAATGATTTCAAACTAACAGACTCTGTTTGTACCTCTCCAGTTACTTTTCTTCCTCTGTATGGTGCATGTGGTGATGGGAATGTTTGTTGTCCCAAAAACATAGATGATTTTACAGATAAAGTTTTGTTTGAAACAGAAAACAAAGGAGTTCATTTTATGATGTCAGACGGTGTATGTCAGAATGAGTGTTCCAACAACAGAATACAATAGAATTTTTTGTAGGGATTTTCTGTTGAGGGAAATGAAAATCTGCAAGAAATTTTATCTAAAAATATTTATATATGTCAGTGTCTAATGTCTTTGGAAATATTAAGAAAACATGGTCACTTTGTTACAAAAGTGTTTGATATGTTTACGTGTTTTAGTGTTGGTCTTTTATATTTAATGTCCAAATGTTTTGAAAAAGGTGTGTAGTACATCCTTTGACATTTTTTTTTTAAATTTGATTGTATAATTTTGTTGTAGTGTGTATCTTAAAACCAAATACCTCAAGACCCGCCAACTCAGAAAGGTACATTATTTGTTCCAACTACAAAGGTCGAGAAAACGTGCAAATTATAAGAACCTATTTAAGAAAGTTGGTAGATAGATTATGGGAGATGAAAAATGGTGCTGATAGTAATTTTGATATAACTGAAATAGTGCCTTTGTCCATATTAAAACGTGATCAAAAATTTTATTCATATATTTTTAATAGTAACAATCGGTATTAGTGTAAGAATTTGTAATTGTACATGTCAAAAATAATTTTTTTTTTAGAATAGCAAAGAACCAAACTATCAATCTTCAAAAACTGGTGACCTTTTATAGAAACCCTTTACTTATAGATCATCGTCAGGAAGAATTAAGAAAACGTTGTTTGGAATATTGGCAAATACCAGATAAACCAAAAGTACCTGTATCAAAATATGTTGTGGAGGATTTACTAGAAGAAACCCTTCATAATAGAGGTAAGTATCTCAGTTATGCTAATATTATACTAAGGCTGAAAATAATTTTTTCTAGAACTGTTATTTGTACAATCGCGTAAGATTTCATGTCTTGCCGATTTTAAAGAAATAGGGGAACATTTGGAAGAATGGCACTATGTTCCTATGCAATGTAGGGAGAATACAAATATTTGTAATTTTTATGCTGGTAAGTGTTAGTTTTATATTTGTATACAATTATGTCTGACGTAAAATAATTTGTAGGAGTAGGATTCTCAAAAGTATACCGCTTACAATATAATAAGTGGGTCAGAGTAAAAAATCTACAATTAATTCGCGGAACTCTATTATATGGTGAATTAGTTAAGGAAAAATATTATGCAAAAGATTCCTCTGACCAACCGCAATATAAGTATAGTTTACATGTTATAGACGCATTGCGACTGGGAGATTTGAATTTAGCAGACTTGGATTTTGAACAAAGGTTTTTAGCGCTTAGTTCGATAGCTTATTTTCAAATAATAGAGGTTTTTATAGGAAGAATCTCATACAGTTGTATTGTAAAGCTGTCAACCATGAATTCAGAACTAATACCATACGAATTCGATACAAATGTGCTAATGAGTTACTGTCTTTGACACAGAATTTGTGTGTAAGTAAAGACAAAACCGGAGAAAGTTTTATCACGCCGTTACCTGTATTAGGATACAAGGTTAAAGAAGAATGCTATGAAGTCAATTCTATCCTTTTCTTTAAAACGAATAACGGTAATGTACATAGAGATAATATATTTATAAATTTAATATTAAATACTTGAATTTTAGATCAGTCTTTTCACTCATCATATGTTTTACGGATACAGTTCTTTATAAACAAAATAATTGCACGAAAAAATACGCAATTACAGTTGCAATCGTTAATAGATTTTATAAAAAATGAAACAACGTCGTGCGAGAAGGCCTAAGTTTTATTTCCTGACTTTGATAACAGAAAATCTAATAAGGCTGTGAAGTCAAAGTTACTGTGGATATCAAAATTCACTATAACTTTATTAAAACTTTTACGAAGTATTGAGTTATTTTTGTTCTTTATCCACCCTAAAATATTCAGTTGGTTCCGAAATTGTTCAAAAATCTTTTTGTAGGTAAGCGAGGAAAAATGTTGCTTCTCCGGTGGGAATCGAACCACACGTTTACCGCTTGCCGGGCGGGTGCCTTTACCACTAGACTACGGAGGAGCTTATCTTTCTCCGCTTACCAACGTGTTATTGTGGCGCCACACTTTTCAGAAGATGGTCCCAAACTCAAAGTATTCAATATTTTCCACGTTGCGGAAACCTAAACATCTCACCAAAATTAAATATGATCACACACAATTTTAAAACTTGCGAAAAATTCAAAACCCGGCCTTGAACTGTGATGGTCAACAGAATGGAAACCTACGTTGTGTGTTTTTTTAATGGCGAAATGCGTTCAAATGCAAAATGATGCACCTCAAGTTTGGAAAAGGGCTGTTAAAGCAAAGTGCATAATATGGCAAATTGTTTATCTCTCCACTTTGGAGGAAGGAACTGGATGATACCATAGAATCATAGATGATACACTCACTCAAGTTAATACGATGTTGTGGCGGTAAATTTAAATATGAGCAAGAATCAAATACTGTATCGGTGTCTAAATCATAGGTTACGGTTGTGGGATGATGACTCTGGTCAAGGCGATCGAGCTCACCCTTATGTTGTGTTGCGAAGTTCACATAGACTCATTCTGGCGGCGCAGGGGCTGTTCATAATTGATCGCGTCATCTACTTGCTTGGTGGAAGAAATAGGTACTTCGAGTAGTGCACTTTGCTACTTTATAGCCAGACTGCGACTGGGCATTTATACACTCGCTAATAAGTACCTACTAAAAATGATAAAATCAATTAAAACTAAAAACACAAGATTCTTAGATGAATTAATTTATTTTTTCTAAATTACAGCAGCTGTAAGTTTTATAAAAGGAAAAATGAGAAATTTTATTTAAAATAATTGTTGATGTTGACCCATTCTTTTTTGCTCTATACTTTTTCTATGTTAATTTTGGAACACCTGTATGTGAAAATGTGACGGCCCTGTTGGCTGTTTTCTAATTTTGCTTATTCAAACATTTAGGTAGTGTCTGAGTTTTGGGAGATCTTTATGTCCGAGTTCTTGGCGATGGGCGTCCCAACAATTACCCGTAGGTCTCGGACTTGCAAAGGGCCGCTGCGGGAATTGAGAAGGGTAGGTATGTAAGCGGCAACCGTTTATGCTGACGCCAGTAGTTCCCCGAACTCCGGGATGGTGGGGATGACATCACCGCCTTGGGCGACGATCGAGGGGAATGGCAGGACGTCAGTACAGAGAACATAGTCAGTACGTGGTCAGTACCACTTTGGACACAAGATGCGCAAGTTGCTAATCGTTCATGTTTTCAAATAAATTCATAAAAGACTTTTCTGGCTTATAGGTAGAGATGCGATTTCGCTCCATAGGTTGTCTAAGCGCGCCACCTTTTTCTTTTGCTTTTTCTTTGAATTTGAATACAAAGTAGGCCACTACAGAGATAAGTTCCACCCTTATCACGCGACATTAGAAAATTTTCCCAGAAGACTCCAATTTTGTAATTTTATGCAAAATCAGCAAAAATTAGATAGCAATTTTTTATTCAAAGTTTTGTTCAGCGATGAAGGAAGATTTGGCAGTAACGGGGTTCTTAATTAACACAACTGTCACTATTACTCCCAAAATAACCCACATTGGATCAGAACAGCTCATTTTCAAAATGTTTATTCCGTAAACGTGGAAGCTGGTATTATTGGAGATTACGTAATAGCTACATCATAATAATACACACCTCAAAAAAATTAACGCAACACGTTGATTTTGCGAATTTACTGTAAGAGATGTGCCTGTAGGCGACTGTAGCGTTTATAGTGAAGTAAAATAAAGACAAAACAAGCAAAAACAAAATTTACTACCAGAAGTTAGTCTTTTATCTTAGCCATTAAATGTTAATAACAATTCAACACAAACAAAAGTCAAATTAATACGAAGTATTTCCATCTCTAGCTCTAATAACAGCCTGCATTAGTCGAGGCATACTCTCGATTAAACCCCTAATGTGCTCGTACGGAAGATATTCCCATTCTTGCACGATGGTATTCTCCAAGAACCAATCTGCGCTCTTTTATCCTCAGTTTCACATAGTCCCATACATGTTCAATGGGGTTCCTGTCGGGAGTCCTGGCTGGCCATGGTAGAAGCGGAATTTCAACCTCTTCTAAATATCGTTGCACAATGTGGGCTGTATGAGGCCGCGCATTAGCGTGCATATATGTAAAATTTAGCCCAATCTAGGCTCCATAGGGCATAACATTAGATTCCAAAACATCGGTAATATACCGTGTAGTTGTTAAACGAGCCCCTGGTAGCGCCACCAATTCAGTATGTCCGGTGTAGGAAATGCCACCCCAAAACATTATAGAGCTTCCTCCAAAATTCACTTGTGGAAGAATATTGATAGGCAAGTATCACTTACCAGGTCGTCTGTACATCGGCATACGGTGATCTGAGGAATACAGGCAAAAACGAGATTCGTCTGCAAACAGTATATTGCTCCAATCCTCGACATTCTAATGCTGATGATTTAGCGCAAATTTTAAACGCGTATCTTGTGTGCCCTGGTGAGCAAGGGTGCTTTGACAGGTACTTTTGGACGCATACCAACTTCTCGCAAACGATTTCGTACCATCTGAGTACTCAGCACCACATCGCGGGCAGCTAAAATCTCTTTTTGGAGCATTTTTGCTGTGCAGTGTCGCGACCTGAGTACTGTTAAGCGCAAAAATCGGTCGTCTCGTTGTGATGTTTTCCGTTTACGACCTTGTCCTATAGTCTTCTATTCATGCTTCCAGTAGTATGGTACTTTTGCATTAGTTTAGAAGTGGTCGAACGATCAACGCCCAGCAGATTGGCCACATAGCGTTGGGTCTAACCATCTTCAATCAAAGCTACAGCCCAAATGACCGCTTCTTCGATAAATTACGCGTAATGCGATTAGGAACATTCATTATAAGCGAAAATGACGTTTTCACTTCAAACATTTCACAAACATGTGATTTAGAATTGGATATAAGGGTACCATGATAAGATACTTTCTTTCTTTTAATAGATCTACCAGATACAAATGATAAGGAACTTTTTTTTTGCGTAGATGAAACAAAATTCGTTCTAACTAATCATAAGGCATGTTTTTTAGATTTTTTTTTAAATTTTTTCAGTTGTTATTAACAAATTTGAAATGTTGCGTTAATTTTTTTGAGGTGTGTATATTGGTCCATAGTTTTTTGAAGGGCAGAGTTATCGACAATTTTTGGAAAATGATTTGCCGGAGTTATTAAAAAGTGTTCGTCTCAACTTTCGACAAGAGCTGTGGTCACGTTATTATAATACTCACCCTGTATATTTTTCATATAGCATAGCACACAGAGATACCTAGATAAAATCACCGACTGTCATCTGTAACTCACAAATCAAAATTGTTTTTTTGAAAATTATACGTCAACTTAAAGAGTACATTTAAATCCTTGTATTATAGTATAAATTTCAGTATGGTGGACGAAGAATTAAACAATTTACAGTTAGACAAGCCGTCATCAGCTTGGGGAAAAGTACTGAGAAAAAAAGAGAAAATATATGAAGCAGACCTTCATAGATTTAAGCCTTGCATGTTAGCTTACACATTGCAGTAATTTTGAATGTTTGAATACCAAAAACAAAGGTTAGCTTCATATAACAAATAGGATATTGTATAAAAACTATTTTTTTAGACAAATGAACAACTTGCAAAACATACCGTTGATTCACAATTCGAATCAAAACCCATTGAAAGAAGTTTGCATTTATTAAGGTAAGGCAAACTTGCTTTTCACTCATATAGTGTTAGAGGATGATATACTTATTTAGACAGTTGTTTTCTGTTCTGAGGAATTAAACTATTTATACTTACCAATAAGTGTAAAATTAGAAGTGTCTAAATTTTGTTCACATTTTAAAAATCCACGATTATTTTACGATTCGGTCCAAAAGATACGTGTGCTAACACTGCAAAATTTAAATAAGTTTAAGTTAGTTGTTCATGAAAAATTAATTGATGAAGTTTAATACTGTATGCACTATTTTGTTTTGCTACTGTTTTTACAGTACGTAATAATTTTTGTGCGTATACCCGAGTTCATTTCTATTTGTCCATTGTAGTACAAAATTGTTACGGTATCAGAAGAATCAATTACAGCAAATATTTGTTATTGCAAAAGTGCCAGAAGGCGTGTGTAACCTAGTATCTTACAGGTAAATAACTTAACTTCCCAAAACCTTTGCAAAGATGGAAACAGTTTCCACCCCAATGAAAGCAGATGTGTGATGCGATCTTGGGTTTACTAATTTAACCCACAAACCACTCATAGGATATAGGTTTCACCTATGAAACAAACAAACTGCGACGATTAGGGTGGGCTGGGTGGGCAGTCCTGTGGTCGTCCTCTTCCTCATCACTTCCCTCACATTCTCTGGTGATATCAGGGATGATATTTGTGTGCATACATTAACATAATTATTATGTATGTCATCAGTGGATTCGTGCTGGTTATGTCATATTGATGTCAATGATGTCATGCTGGATAACCACAATATGCCACAATATCCACATGCATAATAATAACATAACCCCAAGCAACGTCAGTGCCGTAACGGTTTTATTCGTAATGTACCAACAAAAATTGGTGTTAGTTAAGAATAACTTTAATAATATTTCTAGGATAACACTTTACGATTTACTTTTATAAAATATAGAATAAGTACTATGCAGTACTTTAATATTAGAAATGTTTATATTATAACGAACGATGGATCTAAAATTATATAATCCCGAATTATTCCCGGAAAATGATAGTTTATTATTGCAAGAGTTGTACATGTACTGGAATTGGTGTAAATATTCTGATCTTTGCTATCTTTTTTTTTTTTAGAAAAGGTGATGATATCCAAAAGCTGAGTGTTATTCAAGCACTGCCACAACTCTTACAATATGATCCAAATGGAACAATGACAAGAATTGTACCAAAAATTCAGCAGGAGTTACCAAAATCTTCATGTGAATTTCATATTGCAACCAGCAAGATTTTCAAATTACTTATAGAAAAGCAGTTACCTTTGAACCTAACAGCAGCTGTCATTCAGGGAACTGAATCTAAAGATCCCGTAGTCTCAAATGCATGGATTGAAACTCTTCTGGCTGTAATTCCAATTTTACCAATTGATCAAATTAAAACAAATGTAAGTACATGAGTTATTTATGAGGAAGCTCCAAAACACTTAGGTATGTTTCTAGGTTATACCATTGGCTTTATCAAAATCACAACCAACAAGCCCTGTTTATTGTCGTGTTGCTAGTTGTAAGATTCTTGGAAAATGTGCTGCTCATCAAAAAATGCAGAATGTAGAGTAAGATTATAATATAATCATGTATAGTCTTCCAGTTTTACTCATAGTTTGAATGTAGTCTGTGAAGTACATTGATTCATAATAATTAAAACTGGTAGTCTAGTAATGTAAATCACACTTTGACTGATAACAATGTTTCAGTGTAAAAACTTTCCTTTTACCAGCAGTGCAGAGCTTATGCCAAGACTGTTTCCAAGATGTTCGAGCGACTATGTGTTCTCAGTTACATTTTATCGCACAGGGTTTGTATCACAGAATTAACAAACAAAATGATTCTTACAATTGTTTGATTTTACAGGTTTGGGTGAAAGTTTGGTAAAAACTAGTTTACTTCCAAGCCTAGTAGAATTAGCATCAGATGACAACATGGCTGTGCGATCAGCTGCAGTAGCTTCAGCAGTCTTAATTATACCATATTTAAATAAACGTATGTAAGTCATGTAGCCTCCACTGTTCTTATAACAGTCTTCAATTTTTTAGAAACAAAAATTGATACAATTGTTCCGTTGATTAAACAATTGTGTTCAAAAACATCAGGTCCAGGTGATACAACTTTTCCAACAATAGCTAGAGAATTTGGAAGATTAGTTCAAGCTTTGCAAAATGTCTTAGAAGTGTCTGATAGTGTATGGATACTACAATTTTATAAGACTTTGGCCACAAAAGGACAAACTGTGCGCATCAACAAAGATAATTTGGAAGTAACACAAGTAAGTTGTTCTATTATCTCAATAATAGTACATTAATTAAAAAAATTGGTTGAAAGTTGTTTCGACAGAACTTCTCTCGCTCCTGATATACAATGATAATTTTTTTGACCCTGTATACGCAAATCCAAAAAATAATAATGGAATGATTATACTAATTATATTTTGTACATTTTAGATAGGATTTATTCAGCAAAATTTTGGGGTGATATCATCAATTGTTTAGGGGGGATAATGCAAATACATTTTGATCAAAAATTTTCCATTCTTATGATTACTTGAAAACATCTCCAAGATTTGAAAGCATTCGGTTATGTAGTTCCCTACAATACCGAATGTTTTGAAATCTTGGAGATATTTTGAGGTTATCATAAGCAGGGTAAATTTTTGATCAACATGTATTTGCTCATCCCCCCTAAAAAAGTAATGACGTCAGCTCAAAATTTTGCTGAATGAATCCTATCTTAAATATGCAAAGGTATGAGTCAATACTTGTGATTTATCACTGCGTTAATATTTTTTAGATGGCTCAAAAAAATTAATAACAGTTTATTTTATTGATTAAATCAAGAATTGCAAAATTGAATACTTTTAAATCTTGTAGACGTTTTGAAGTTATTGTAAGCATTGTTGTAAGAGCAATATTATATTTATGATACAAATAGCAGAGTGGGGATGTCACCCTCTATCTTGGAGTAAGCAGGTAGTTTTTAGGAAGTCATAGCGGAGATGTGAAAGACTGTACGTGGCTAGGAAAATAAACGTAAAAAAAAGGGAATAAGCGTTTGACTAATCACCCTCGCGCCGCGAAAAGGTCCGCAAAATACAACAGCATGGTAACTTTTTAATCAAAATATATCTGTTTATCGATCCCAAAAATTGTTGACATCTCAAAATTTTACCCAATGAATCCTATATAAAATTGCAAAATATGATCAGTCTATACTTGTAATGTATCATTGCATTCATATTGTTTAGATTTGCTTATACATGGTGACTCAAAAAAAATTAATGAATCAGTAAATTATTTTACTGAATAAATCAATACATGCTTTGAAATCTTGCAGACGTGTTAAAGTTAATGTAACCCTGGTAAATTGTTAATCAAAACATATCTGTTTATTTTAAGAATGTGAAACCTCGTTTTTACTCCATAGAGGTTATTACGAAAAAGTAAAATTCCGCAAAATCAAATTTTATCCTTTTTCTTAGAAGCAATATTTGTTGGACTGTACTTCAGAGGCGAGGGAAGTTCTGTCGAAATCACTGTCGATCAATTTATGTAGCAGTGTAGCTTATTTTGAACAGAATCTTCAATATAGCCTTCTGTCACACTTGAGGATTTCCATCCTCCATGTCGCTTCAAATATGTAATATTCGCACCCAAATCAGCCAAGAGCGTTGTTGTCGAGTGCCGAAAACAGTGACCAGTATAACAAGAAGTATTAGGCAATTTCAGAAATTCGGCTATTTTCGCGGGCATCAGCCCAAATGTATTTTTCCCCATAGGTTGTCTGAAACATCTTCCATTTATAAAAGAAATAAAAAACCGTTTGTGATTTATCTTCTGTGGTCTTAGTGCACCGTATTTGCGGTATACTCCGAGAAAATCTTCACTGTTATTTACAACTGTGAATTTTCTTGTAATGTTTGTCTTGGTTTCTTGCAGTTTTATAATTAATGCAAATCCTAAATCCTCAATGTGATCAACTCCTTTCGTCTGCAAGCTCCGGTGACACCGAAAATTAACGCAACCTATAATAACACATTATTAATAAAACAACCAATAATATTGATACATATTACCTTAGATATTAGAAGGGTATTCTTCTCTGATAAATTTTTCGATATGATCTCTTATTAAAATTTTCAATTTTTTAGGTTTGTATTTATCAGATTGCCTTTTTTAAAAAACGATCAGTTTCCCAAATTTACTTGTATCGATATTGTTTTTTATTGAAAGTGTAGCCTTCAGTATTGAAAAATACCTCCGCAGAGAAGATGCTTTATATTGCTTCGATTTCTCCAGAAAATATACCAAAAGAACACTTTCCGAGAACTTCTCGATATTTTTTCGTCTCCACCAGTTAGTACAGGCTGTGTATTCTTTCTCATACAACATTTTTGATTTTTCCGGCAAAAGGGCTGATCTACCTCAATTTTTATGCAAAAATACACTTTCACACCATTGGCACTCCTACAGTGACAACTTTTCTATATATTTTTTTTTCAATATGGCTACCCTTGTTTACGTTGTTAAAATCAAACTTGCCCGTCAGTAAGATAACAGAATTTTTGGAAAATGTGAAATTTAGTGAGATCTCTAAATTCTTTCGGTCGTACATAAAACATTGTATGAACCTCGAGGGCAATTAACGCCTATGGGTCTCAGCGTGTTTCACGCTTCGGACCATAAACGCCTCTTTACGCCCTTGGTACATAAATAACTATTATGTGTATGATACGATATTCATTATGAAACTCATTAATCATTATGCACTAGGACGTAGTAAGCAGGCGTAATGATTATTTTCAGCAATCATTCGAGATATTTTGTTTTTGGACGGTATACTATTTTCGATATAACCTGAAGCAACTTTATCGCTTTTCCATTTTCCGTATCTTTTCAAAGTCAACATGTCAATATGTGTGTGGAGAGCTTTTGACGCTCATTCAATTGAATTATTAATTGCGGAATATCTTCTTCCATGAAGCACGTTAAGACTGAGACGCAGTTCATCGATTTTACCTATGGATTTTACAAATTCAATGAACAATTACACCCATATTACACCGTTGACATGGATAGAACAGAAAATATACAGGCCAAGCAGTCATGTATTTGATTCATAAAAGCGAATTCAAAATTTTTTTTCTAGGATTTTTTATAGTTAGAGTGAATAATAAAACCTTGTATGTACCGCGCGCATTAATTAATGTTTATAAATGTCAGGCGACGGTTGCACTCGAATATAAAAATGTAACATAACTTTTATGTACGAAGGACGAAAAAATGCCTATTATAGTCGAGTCTGCAGTTTGATGGCCGAGGCGAGGCTGTAATAGGCACTTTTTTATCGATGTGCATATTACATTTTATATTTCTTTCACTTCATGTGTTAATGTTACCAGACAAAATAATACGAATTACTGAATTTTTGAAAAGACTGCACTACACGTCTAACATTTTGTTAAACAGGACGTGATATGCAGAGAACAGTGTGCTTTCAACTTACCGCAAGTGACCACTTTCACAATGGCACGTATACCAAACCAACTAGAGCTGTGGCATTCTGTATACAGTGGACTGGCTAATGATTCCTGCTACCTGGTCAGAAAAACAACCGCCGCATGTGTTTTTCAGGTTGCAAAAATATTGGGTTAGTTGACATTATATATAGTAATTTAACATAATACAGTTTTTTAAAGGCCCTCAGAGTAAAGTCATAAAAGATGATATAATAAAATTATTACGAGACGATGCTGAAGAAGTTTTGCAAATGCTAGTCCCAGATGTTGGTCCAACTTTAGAATTACTTTGCACACATGGTGTTCTTTCGAGGGAAAATACTCTTCCATCTTGTTTGGAGATTACCAGAGCATTGTTGAAATGCCAGGCAGAATTATCCAAATCGTACAACTGGAGAATAAAATCGAATTTTCTTCAACAATTAGAACGTTTGCCCAATTGCATGCCGTCCGATTTCATTCATCAACACTTCAGTCCGGTAATTCTAGGCTGTGTTCTAGAGGCGGTTTGTATTTTCTGCTATTTGTTCTTTATTTCTTTTTTATTGTTGGTTCGTAGAGACCTAAACCAGTAAGATCGCAAGCTTCCAGAACGTTATTAGTATTTTTACGATATAATTTGAAAGAAATTCAAAGGAAATGGATTCGAGATAATTTGATAACTCATTTGTGCTTGTCAAAGTCATGCTATACCAGACATATCTTCATCTTAGCGTGTTATCATGCTGCAGAACTTTTTAGCAACAATTATTTTAAGAAGTTCTTTTTTGAATCGTTATTGTCATTAGCCGGTTTGTTTTTGGTATATGCTTAAAATACTCATTTATGGAAACACGATTTTTTTTAGATGATCCAGTATCAAATATACGGCTAAGTGTAGTAGGCATTCTTCCGTTGTTGTATAAAATGTTAGTTTTACCAGAAGATAAAAAACTTCAAACAAACATCGACAATTTATTTTCAAAACTAGATATGATGGAAAAAGATAAAGATGTTAAAGACATTTTAAGAACAAAACTTAAAGAAATTCGTAGTTCCGGTACATCCAATAAGCAGGATTATTTATTTGACCAAAAACGTAAAGAAGAAGAAGAAAATAAAATTCTACAAGGCAAGCTGACACTAGCCGCTCCAACGGGGGGAGCACCAGGTATTCTTATAAAATACGGATTTTCTTTGATTTAAATAAATTTGTATATCCCGGTTTTGTATCGTACTGTTTTGATCTTTCAGCCAGACCAGTACAATCGATAGCATCTCATGCTTCGAGGGACAAAGAAACTGTCAGTACGACTAGATCTCACCCCATTATTGCCAGGTCTCCAAGTACATCACCACGAGTTTCGAAAACACCTTCAACTAGTTCAGGTCCAAAGTATGTGACATTCTTTTACTTGATATTAGCAGCAGTTTGCTTATCTTGGTTGTGTTTGTAGCGATATGAGCTTTTTAGAGCAACATTTTTACATAGATGCTGGTGTAAGCTTACCACGTGATGAAATGGAAAGTAATATACGACAACCAGAAAATTTTATTTCAAATGTTGTCAGAGTTTTTGACCAGCAGCTGCATTTACATGGAAATAAAGGGAGTGAAGGTGATTCTTCCTGCATACCAACAGTGTCAGTGGAAAACGTAAATATAGAAACAATGGTTGAAAGTGAAATAGAAAAGCTAGAAACATCAACGACAAACATAACAGATGATGTTAAAGTAAATTTGCGAAAAAGAAATAAGAGGGGTCCAGGTACTTCATCAAAATCTCTTTTAAGTACACCAAAAGAAATCAGTTCAATGAATTTCAAATACAAAAGATATTCAAGTATTTTTCCATCATCAAGTGGAGACTCTGCTAGTATTAATACTGTTAATACAAAAACACTTAACCGAAGAAGTTTAAATATTGGTGTTGCCGATGGAAGTAAAATACCTGTTTGTATAAAAAAATCACAAAGTAATGTTGAGATAAAACATGAGGTAAACAGTCAAGAAGCAAGTGGATTTAAGGCCAGTCAATCAAAATATCGTGGCACTAGAAATGATTGTTACTTTAGTGGTAATTTGAAGACGAAAATTAGACCAAAATCTGAAGTATTAACAATGAATAGTGGTAATAATGAAAGGCGCGTATCTATTGTAGAAACGAACGAAAAGTACACAGAATGTGAAGGAAATCATGCTAATGCAATAAATGTCAGTATTATTGAACATATGCCAGTAAGTAGTATTAATAGCAAGCCATTTAGGACATCAGGATTACCTGTTCTAAAAAGGTATTTAATGATTGTAGTAATTTAGAGAACATAAAGCTTTTTAATGCATGCTTAATAACGTTGGCGAGTACACTGAAGTTTTTTTTTTATGGGCAGTGTGTTTTACTTGAAACTTCAAACCATTATAAACAGTACGCGGAATTCTATCTCACCGCTGCAATCCCCCAGTTGAAGTAAGGTGTGTTTTACGGCGAGTACTGGGAACGCTTTGATCTTGGTCCACAAGGTCGTGACCAGTGCGTCGCTACGAGTGTTTACAGCTAGTAAAAAAACTACTTCTATATTACTTCAAATAATAATACTCGATGCGCTTTTTTATTTTTCAACCACAGGACCACAGATTTGTGATCTTGAAATGTTATATAATGTATAGTCCAAAAGAAAAATATATTTGTAATCAAATTATCGCCGCGACAGCACTGGATCTAGCATACGCGAGATACTATTCCGCGTGTTGATTATAAAAGAGAATTTCTGAAACTCTGAACACCTTAAATTATTAATTTTTAAAGAGTATCATAATTATTTTCATTAAATATATGTATAATGGTATAACTCGTTTATAATAAATATTAAATTAAGTTGTTGCGGAATTACATTGCAGTATTTAAAAATATAATGTGCAAAAAAGTTAGAACTCTTGATGCCAGCCTAACAGTTGTCCGTTACTGAACTGTAGTATAGTCGGAGAAATTTAAAGTGGCAAACCTAATTTTTAAAGTCGCCATAGGAAAAGTATTAACTTGTGTCAAAGCGTATTCTATGGTCAAAGCACGTCGGTATTTTCTACCTGCCGTTTCGTTTGACTTATTTTCATTTCGCTCGTGTGCAAATATTTATTCCTAAATATACGGATAATGAAAATTATTTGACAGAAATTAATACTTTTATGATAATACTATGGCGGTTTTAAAAGTTCGAGGTACCACTTTAAATTTTCTTCTTTTTACTAAAGACATGAGGCATCTAAGCATGAAGTAGAAATCGAAATTCTTATAAATATTGTAATAAATCTAAACTTAGTTACACTCGTAATACTATTGATTTGGTTTTGAAAGTTTCTGCTTTGTACTGTAGATTTTTAGATTTAATATTATGTCAAGCAAATTACTAAATTTGTGATCAGAAATCACGGTATAATCTAATTATGACCCACGTGCCCTTCTTAAACTCACTTTAAAACACTGATGAATAAATATATCCTTTGAGTTCCCATTGATTTGAGTCCTGCAGAACACAAAAATTGAATATTGCCTCAAAATTGAGATTGCTAAACGAATCAAATGTGTGTAGAAGACATTATTTAGAAGCAATTAGTCAATTTTAAGGCAATCTTGTGTGGACTTCACCGATACCACTAACTGTATTTATTTCTGTTGCAGGAGAACGCAATCTGACGCAAGAAAATGAAAATTTTATTTTTTATATTTTTACTTGTATTAACAATTTTATATATTTCTATTTACAATTTTTAAATATATATTTCTGTTAATTATTACTTTTGTATTTCTTTGAGAATTTTTTCAACAGCTTCTACAAAACTTGATACAACTGCATCTGGTGGAGGAGTTATTTTGTTTTCATCGCCTAACTGATATTTCCCCGTTTGAACTAAATATCCTCTAATGCCAGCCTTCATTGCCCCTTCAACATCATCTTTTACATCCTAAAAGATCAGTATGAAGATGTGTCAATATTTATTCAAATCACCTACATCGCCAATCATGATAGCTTCTCCTGGTTGAATGTCACCCAAAGCAGAATGAAAAAACATTTTTTGGGGTTTCCCTACAACTGTGGCTGTGCACTGCGCCGAATATTCTAAACCTTTAACAAAACATCCAGGACCTAATGCTAATCCATCTTTACGTTTATAGTACTTTCCAGCATGAATAGCTATTAACTCTGCCCCATTTAATAAATGCCTAAATGCTTCATTTAGTCTGTCATAGTGGAATTCATTTGGGGCTAAACCAATAACAACGGCATTCGGTTTTTCATTTGTTGGACATGATAATCCTTCGAAATCTTCTAGTGCTTCAGGTGATAAAAGTAATAAGGGCTTCAGCTGACGATTAACAATAAGTGTTCTGGCGGCAGCTAACGAACTATATATTTGTTCTTTTTTAACAGGAAATCCCAATGTTGTGAGTCTATTGTATAGAAAATTTTGACTTTCTTTAGTTGTATTGGTTACAAATTTAATAGTTAAGTTTGTTTGAATTAACCTAAAATTATTTAAAGTTTACATTCTAATAAGTTATCTCATGTTATGGAAACTGCCAGTAGATACTCACCTTTTCAACGCTTCTACTGCACCAGGAATCGCCTGGCTTTCGATGTGCAAAGTACCACTTAGGTCAATGAGCACTGCTCTTATCATGTTTATTATGTTTTGCGGCTTCTAACCAGTTTCTCGTTGTTATAATTATTAAGCGAATTTTCGCGACTAACTAAGTAAGTTACGGTATCTTATTACGTGTAACATTAACATTTTCGCTTTGGAAAGGTATCAGAGGAGAAGGTGTTGTGACGTCATATCGACCTTACCATGAACATACTGGCACTAACGGCCTAACGTTGCATGTATCTCGCGGTAACCAAATGTAGATCTGTCAAATGGGTCTAATGTGTTTCAAGTTTTGTTAGGTTATTTTCTTTGCCGCCTAATAAATTAATTTGCGTTCTGAGACTGATTGAGTGTTGATGGTGCAATTTTATATTAATTTGTGAAAAAAAAATGTGTTATATATACAAATTTGTGGCATTTGTTTTATTGAGAATCCAGTTACACAACAGAAGTTCATCAGCATCAAAAAAGTACTGTTCACATAAATTAATTACGCTGAGTGGCTCCATTTTCCACCAAAACTTTAATGCTGCACAGTTTTTGCAAATTGCAAGGTTATATTTTCTTACGTTCTTGTCACACTTCTTGACAGTCAATCATATTACATTATTTTCGTGATAATCGTCGCAGTATGTTGATTACGTCATTGTCAGTAGGTGGGGATGTTACCAGTATCATACTTTTCAGTTACAAAAAGTTAGTCGCGAAAATTCGCTTATTATTTTCGTGACAATCGTCGCAGTATGTTGATTACGTCATTGTCATTAGGTGGGGATGTTACCAGTATCCAAGATACATAGAAAGAATGGTACACCGACTTTTGACATTTGTAATGAAAACAGTTTACTCAATTTTAGGGTCCAGATGAAATCTCACCTAGATGGCGCCAGCGTAACGGGGGACTGTCAGTGTTGACATTTGTCAAGTATGGGTGCTGTCATCGCTGTCATGCTGTGTTGGTCGTTAAAAAATAACGTGTTGATTATGTTATTTTTGTGATTTTTTAAAGTTATATCTGGTTTCGTCGTGATTGTTGCGTAAGATTTTGAATGAAAATTACCCGAACAGTGAATGTTTGACGAAGAATAACGCAAAAGTTGTGCGATTAGTGGGGTTGTTTTTATCTTACGCCAGTCTGTTTCCAAGAAACGATCATGCGGCAAATATTATTCAAATATATTTTTGAAATTTCTCCTTCAATAACGATGGCTTTGTCTATTCTTGGGACGTCAGTTGTTACGTGGCTTATAATAATTTTATCTGGCAGTTGATGAATACCCCATGTGAGAGGCAACAATTCACAAATTTCTGAATAATTGTTTCTCAACATACTGAGAGTATCCGAGGATAAAGTTTTGATTGGGGAGGAACGTGATATAGGGTTTCTCTGTGTGGATGTATCGTTTTCAGGATCTGCATTACTGAAAAAAAGATGCGCGTTTTTATTTATTCACATACGTATATGTATTTCAACGAACTCATTGTAAATTTTAAATATTGACGAATATTATATAAAAATCATCAAGAATAGCAAAGATGTCTCCTTTAGTGTAGCGTAACTAAAGTAATTTTCCACTTTTTGGACATGACTCAACCAAATGGTAAGTCATGAAAAGTGAGGCTGTTTAGAAATACATACCTATATATCGATAGCATTTCAACTGGATGGGTTTTATTGCTCCTAGGATATTGTTTAATAGGATGGGTACTCTGGTAGGAAATGTCATTTTTGGTATTGGTATAACCGAAGTTTACAACTGGATCATCTGGTGTGGAATTTCTTCAAATAATATGAACGGCAGGCTATTAGGATAAATCAGGATATTTTATACATACATATTTCCTTGTAGTGGTGGAAATGGATAGGTTTGTTCCTTTTTGGGGCATGTAGGAAAAGGATGTGTGGAAACACAGGAATTTCCAATGCTTGCACAACCTAAATTTATAGTCGGTATAGCATCAGGAGTTAATGTTCTTCGAACAACATGTTCATGATCATAGTGTATTCTTATATATTTGTTTTCAAAATGCTGCATACAAATATATGTCTTGGGAATAAATAAAAACCCGGCAGCTTCAGTCCAGACTTTTATTCTTTTTCCATCCTATAAATAATCATATTTTTGAAAAAAAATGGTCTAAATAGTGTTAGCTGTTATTGAATTGTTATTTACCGCAGGAACCCGAAATAACGAAATATCGCGACTGAGAAGTTTAATATGCCCACAAAGAACACACTTTTTCATTTTGAACGGCTAGAGAACGGCTCCCTTTTACAATTTGTGGTGTTTCTGCTGCAAACACGCTGTAAATTTCAAAAGCGTCTATTAATGTCAACTTTGACAGCGCATTTGACGGTCCCTCGTGTACTACTGCGCCATCTAGTGGAAAAATTTTAAACTAACATCTGGTTCCTACATTTGGGTATCAATTAATGGCGGAGTCGGTATACCATTCTTTCTATGTATCTTGCCAGTATCATACTTTTCAGTTACAGAAAGTTAGTCGCGAAAATTCGCTTATTATAACCAACTGTCAAGAGTGTCAAGTGTCATCTGGTGCTGTGTCAAATTATATACAAAATTTGAATCGCTGTAAGCATAACTGTAAGGCATTCTTTCAAGTACATTCATATTTTATTCCAGTTCTGATTACAAAATTCAGAATCATGTAAATACTTTCTCTGAGTCATAAATGTTTGGGTATTTTAGTTTCAGACATTAAAGGACCATTTACATCCACGTTGCATATGCGACGGAACAACATAACGTAAGCCGTAGAGTAGTAAGCAGAACGAAAGATGACATGGGCGGAGCTTCAGGTGCGCGCTTATCCCTTACTAGTGGCGTAACTGACTTATCATAAAAGGTTCTTAAAATAATAAATGCTCTGAGGACCTTATTCAACAAAATTTTTAATGCTAATAAATATATACGCGATCTAAATAATGTGACTCGATCTTGAAATGTGTGGCAATTAGTAACTTTTATGAAATAGAAATATATCTGTGTCCTTGTTATGCTCCGTCTTTTCGACAGCAGGTATTTTTTGCTTCCAGTATGGCGATCCTGTTACTGTCATTTGGCCGTCAATTGCCTTGGTGGTAACACGTCTTCCACGACTGTTTGCTGGTTACCGGTGACACTTTCTCGTTGAATAGGGCTAGAGTTACTTTGGGACTGGAATAGTGTTCTTTCCGGTCCGTTAACTCAATAATTCTAGTACAGTCTGTCGTAACCTCAAATCGTAAACACATCAACCTTTCGTTGACAGATAGCGAAAATTACTAGCCTCGCGCTATCTTTGTTTAACACATAGGTTAGGTTCCTCTCTGTCGAATTCCGACCACAGGCAGTTTGCCGTACTTTCTAAAAGTAATAGTAGATCTAGTGACTTTAGATCTAAATGATCTGATACGACACCTGGTGTCAAAAATGTGCACTACTCAGGAGCATAGTGAAAGATGTAAATACTGTTGGTTGTACAGTGAAATTTCGTTGTTTTATGTTAAACCAACAAAATTAAATAAGTTGGTCCCAGTATTCCTGAAAAAATGACTGTTAACAATACAAATTGTTGTGTTTTTCGCTGCCATAGCAAAAACAATAGAAACAGTGGGCTCTCTTTTCATAAATTCCCCATAAAAAACAAGTCATTTGTTTAAATGTTATGAACAGGTAAGTATTCATATCAACAGTAAATTTAGTTTAATCAGTATTTAACTAAATTGTTTTTGATTATCAGTATAATATGTATATATATATTATATTTTTAGGTTAGGAATCAGGGAAAAAAATGGACAGATATAAGACTTGGATGGTAAAGCTAAATATGGGAAAACCAGCAACAAAGCACATGAAAGTGTGTTCACTACATTGTAATCAGGATGATTTCATCTTGAGGATTTGATTTGAGGACCCAGGTGGGTTAGTTAGCTTCGTGCTTGCCCACTACACCTTGGGTCGTGGGTTCGATTCCCGCCTTGCCTTTTGGGTGTTGTGTATGTCATGTTTCCTGTAATTGGGCCTCCAGCTTGTTAGAGACATCATAGGATAAAATAAATAAAAATAAAAATATTACCTGGTAAGTACAGATTTGGGTAAATGTTGTTAATGTATAATAGACAATAAATGAAATATTGTAGATGTAAGTATCATTACTAAAGAATTACTACCTAGAAGGCCCAAAAATCGAGACTTTAAAGCAGTCAGAAGTACAACAATGAGAAAATCTGAAGGTTACATAATTTCAAGTACAGATAGAACTGATGTAAATTGCTTCGACAGCAGTCAGTTACATCAAAAAACTGTTTCAAGTATGTATACATTTGATGATATTTAAAAAATACAGATTATTTTCTAGCATTAGAAATGGAAACCGTGCAGGCTTTGTTACATTTACAAAATTCACAAAAAAAGGATAAAAATATTCAAGTGACAAGTGGAGATTTAGTGGCACCTTTTATAAGTACACTTAAATCTGATAATGATTTAAATACAATGGCTGGAATACCATCCTTTCTGTTATTTAATGCTATTGTTGCAAATTGTGAGATGTTTGGAAAATTCTGTAATAAACATAAATTAAACTTGAAAGAACGTGTTCTGTTAACTTTTATGAAACTGAAAAATACATTTTCTTATGCTGTTTTAGCAGTTTTGTTTAAAACGGTGACAGCAATAACCTGTAATATTATTCATGCTTTATTATTTTATTATTATGCATTATTCCACTCATACATAGTATGAAATGAACACTTAATTTAAAAAACAATAATCGCTATAATTAATAAAGTTTTCACAGAAGTTTTTTAACACCACATGATTTAACATGTGTTCACTTAAAAAGTTAAACAAAGGGTTAATAAAATGAGAACTACAAAAAAAACTGACACAAACAACGAAACAGGCTGTAAACTGAACAAATCCACTACAAAAACGCTCGATTTATTAACACAACACACTTTTTTCACACGATGGACACTTAAGGACACTTACTCAACGAATCAGCATGGGTTTGTTCCTGGAAGATCTGCACAGACTAATCTAAGTGTCTTCACTCAATTTGTTTGTAAAGTTTTGGATCAGCGTGGCCAGGTGGACGTGGTGTATACCGATCTCTCAAGTGCTTTTGATTCAGTGGATCACTCAATTTTGCTAAACAAGCTTGATATGTTCGGTGTTGGTTCATCATTCCTTGCATTGTTACGTTCGTATTTAATCAACAGGCTCAACTATGTCTATTACAATGGTTATAAATCATTTGATTACATGTCCACTTCTGGCGTACCACAAGGTTCCAATCTTGGACCCCTGCTGTTCCTGTTATTCATTAATGATCTCTTAATGTCCACGTCTTGCTCTATCCTTGGCTTTGCAGATGATGTAAAACTTTTTTCTCCTGTCTCGTCAGCTAATGATGTTGACCATCTCCAGAATAATATTAATCTTATTGTACAATGGTGCTCTGATAATCACTTAAAATTAAACACTAACAAGTGCTTCTATGTTTCTTTTTGTCGTAATAACAGCGTTATACCTTCTATTTACTACATAAATGGTCAATTTTTAGTCAAAACTGATACCATCAGAGATTTGGGGGTTATATTTGATCATCGGCTCAGTTTCTCTCAACATATTATAGCTATAACCTCATCTGCATCCAAAAGTTTGGGATTTGTAATGCGTTCCGCCACGTATTTCAAAAATACAGACCTGCTTAAGTCACTATATTCTTCCTTTGTCCGTAGTAAGCTAGAATATGTCTCGATTGTGTGGTCTCCGTGTTATCTTACTTATCAACTACTTATTGAACGTGTCCAGCGTCGTTTTCTCAAATTTCTATCATTTAAAACTACAGGTGTATACCCAGCAAGGAATGTTCATTATGAAACTTTACTTCAGCAACACAACATGCAGTCCTTGACATCAAGAAGAAATTTGCAGAGTGCTCACTTTATGTGGAAAATAATCCATGATCAGGTAGATTGTCCCAATATTTTGTCTGAAGTTAACTTCCAGGTACCGAGAAGAAATGCTCGTCATTCAGTGACATTTAGTTTTCCAACCTCGCGAACTAATATTCTGAAAAATTCACCACTCTGTCGATTGTGTAAAAATGCCAATGATCATTATGCGGACATATTTTTTCAGAAGAAGTGATGGAGTGTTCTCATTATCTTTATATTTTATTTTATTTTAATTTTAATTGTAAAGTCTGAATTGTATTTATTTTTGTCCTGTTAATGGATTTGTATCTGTTGGGCAAATACATATTATTATTATTATTATTATTATTATTAAGACTTGCCATAAAGGATACGTCAAATATGCCTTAGAGCGGCCATGTTGCAGTTAACAGTGGCGCCCCCAACGGTCATTTAGTTCGCGTATTGTACAAAGTGGCAAAATAAATAATAATAACTTCAAAAAACAAGAGACACAAGACTATGGCACCACACATTCGAAGACAGTACAAAAGTAAGACAAATTAACTGCGCTACTGCCTTATATTTCCATCCCCCGAGAGCTATGAATAGACTCGACCAACGTAACTTGTTTTACTGCGCAAGTCACGTAATGGGTCTTTTCGTTTTGATTGTCACTCTAACTTTTTAGTTTGCATTCATTTCACTGAATTTTCCTACATAATTTATGCAGTTCGCGCCTTTTTAACTGTCACATCACGTCAAAATAACCTAACTTTTGCTGAAGACTTGAACCTCATGTGAAGTAGGAAGATACTTGGAACATGCTAGGAACTAAGTTACTTCAAAATTATAATTTACAATGGCTAACGGTGCGGAAGACAGTGATTTGTTTGATGCTCACTAACGCCATTTATAATAACTAAAGTTCGGAATTAGATGCAGAAAAAACATGTAAATATGCGCATATACAGCGTGTTATTGAAAGGTACGTACAAAATAAAGTCGGCAATTGGTCTCGAAGTATGGGTGCTAAAAGTTAAAAAAAGTTCAGGTAAAACTGGTCTCCTTTTAGAGATAAAAATTATTAAAATTTATGTCCAAATTCGTTGTACGCCTCTGATAAAAAGATCATCTTTCGTTTCTATAGCAACATTTAGTCTTGACAAAAGTTTTATTGTTACAGTTGCTAGAATTTACTAAAATAAATTAATTTTACCTATTTATCCTTCAGTAGCGTCTAAAAAGGTTGGATAAAGGTTAATTTTCCCCTTATAATTTTGATAACACAAAATAAGTTTTTCAGCTTTCTTAAACTTCGCGAATAACTGTCAATTTTGTTGTACGTACCTTTCAATAACAGCCTGTATATGATGCAGCATCAGAAAGCATTAAAACGATTTTATTAAATGGTATAGCATCGGATAAAAATAGGTTGGTTAAACTTTCTTGGGCAAATCTACTTATAGGTACATTATTCGCCTTTTCTAACTCTTTAACAGCAATTAAATAAGAATCTGGCACAAAGTTTGCAGATAAAGTACTAACTAATAAATTTTGCTATATGTCTGTTGGATACATCTGTTGCTTCGTCAACAACAAAGTAAATAAAGTTATTTTGCAAACGTGTTTTAATTTTAGCAGCAGGTTCGGTATAACATTTATGTACAGTTGTTTTCCTGAGAGTGCTTTCGCCTGGAATAGTCCTTTTACAGTATTTTTCGAATAAAAGTGGCCATTCGTCCGATGGACTCGATTATAATACTTCCTTCGCTTACGCTCGGGAAGCAAAAATGAATTAAATGTAGAATTACTTAACTTATTAATGGAATATTCGAGACAACCATGGCCTGGCATAAATCGAACTTGAATGTTTCCTTTTCATTTTTGGCTGTATTAGCAGATAAAGTTTCTCGTATTGATGTTTGAGTTACATTGGTTGAGTTTCTTTTGTGAAGAGGCGTTTTGTGAGATCGAGAAAAATCGCATGAGGTGAAAAATTGCAAAGCTAACAAATTACATGAGTTTAATATTTGCCACACTTTATCAACGATTCAAACAAAGAATTTACGTGATGTTAAATTATCCCACACTTTATCAAGGATTCAAATGATGTTAAATTATGCCATGATCCAAGTGACTCGTTACTTAAACAATTTTTGAAGCTTTGAGAGTTTATATTGTGGACTGTCCCCAGCTCATCCCAAACAAACACATGATAAATAAACACAAAATGCATCCTACGTCGCGAGAAATGTTCCTCGGTGGTGAAATTTTCAACGTTGCGAGAAAATATGTCTCGGTGATTGATGATGATAACGATGATAACTGACTTGTGTGAGGAATTACGAAGTGTTATAATGTAACACTTAAGTATAAACATCCAGAAACCTTATTCATAATTTTATAAACAAGGGATGAGTCTTGACTAAGTGAATTTCATGAAATCTCCTGCAAGTGCCTTATCTAAACAATCTTATGACTGTTAAATTGTGTTAGAACCAGTTAATTATTAAAATCCTAACATGAACAGTGAATTTACAAACAATAAAACAAATTTACACCATGTGTTGGCGTCGGTCGAAAATTCGCATATTTTGACTTGGAACCGCAAGAATTACTTACGCGTGTTAGGGAAACTGTGGCATCGTCGTCGTTACGATTAATTTTCGTTAAACAAAGGCTTCCTCCTTTTTTTTAACTACTAAACCAACTAAACTTAACTAACTCATGACGTGGTTTCACTCACAACAAACAAATCAAAAAATTGGAATGAAGAGTTTAGATAGTACTTCCCTCGCTGTCGGAATTGTGCCTATTATGTCTTTTTTCGTATTACATTTTTGTAGCGGGGCATTTTAAAATAAATTGAGTATTAATTTTTTCAATTTTGTCATTATTTGGCATTGACATCTTTGTCATTTTTTTTGTGAGAGCTATGACTGCTTATTAAAAAAAAAATTAAATTGGTGGAAGTCGTCTCTGGGGTGTATAATATGTTGCCTATGCAGAAATTGTCAGGCGTGAACAGATAAAAGGAACAACCTGTATAGTACTTGTAATTTAATCAATAGTAATAGTATAATAGTATCAATCTTAGACGTGACGGTGAAACATAAATTAAACTAAAATATGTTTTGTACGAATTGGAATAACTGGATGACAATGCCGACATTTACTATGTACAATTTTGAAGTGACGTCATCGTATTAGTAGTGGGGATGATTAGACAAATTTTGGTTAGCGTTTTACCATATCTACATGATATTCCTAATACAAGTACAAAATTTCACAACAATCGGTCCAGTACTTTCGGAGATTATCTGTCTAATAAAAATCCGGGACGGCAGACAGACGGACAGACGAACAGACGGACAAACAAACGGAAATGGGAGACCTATTTCTTCGTCTTCTAGGGGCCATGAAAGATCGAGAAAACGTAAAAGTAGAGAGTCGGCCGATGGACGCGATTACAATACTTCCTTTGCTTACGCTCGGGAAGTAAAAAGTGACGCGTTATGACCCTCTAGCCACCAAATCAACTTCTACCAACCCTCTCAACAAAAATTCCCTAGGAGAGCTACCAACTACCAGAAAAGAACTAAACGTGCACATGGTTGCGTATGTTTAACGATTTTCTTGATTGAATTTTTTCAAATTCAAATTATTCAAATGTTTTGTTTTTCAGCGCGAAATTTTAATTCAAATTCGGTAACCATAAATGTCTACTCACTTTGCTTACAGTATAAGTGTCAATTGCCACTTTCATATTTTCGTGACGTGTCATGACCTCTAGAGTACGAAAAAAGTGGTCTCCCGTCTGTCTGTCTAGTGTTGTATCCATTTTTATTAGACTACTAGCTGACCCCGTGAACTTCGTTTCACCTACAATTTAATTTTGAATCTGCAAAACCGAATGCTTTGAAATCTTGCAGATATTTTAAACATATGATAAGCAGAATAAATTTTTATTCAAAATATATTTACTCCCTCCAAAAAATTGATGACGTCAGCCCAAAATTTTGCCAAATGAATCCTATCTAAAATGTCCAAAATAGGATGAGACTATACTATACTTGTGATTTATCATTCCATTCATATTTTTTAGTTTTGCTTATAGGGGGTGTCTCAAAAAAATTAATCACTGAGTCAATTTATTTTATTGATTGAATCAAGAATTGCAAAACTGAATTTTGAAATATTGCAGACGTTTTGAAGTTACTGTTTGACATGGTAGGTTTTTAATCAAAATATATCTGTTTATCAAGCCCAAAAACTTGATGACGTCATCTCAAGATTTTGCCGAACAAATCCTATCTAATATGTGCAAAACATCATCAGTATATTTTCGTAATTTATCATTGCATTCATATTTTTTAGATTTGTTTTTACAGTGACTCCAAAAAATGTATGGATCAGTCAATTTATTTTAGAGAATAACTCAAGAGTTGAAGAAATGACTACTTTGAGATCTTGCAGACGTTTTAAAGTTATTGTAAGCATGGTAAATTGTTAAGAATATTTACTTATTCCCCCCAAAAAATTGATGGAACGGTCCACTCGATTTTCGCAGATAATTTTGGGAATACAATACAGTTATTTTTAGTATTACACTGCACCAATCCAAGGTGGTATACGTGTTGATCGTAAATGTTGATTAGGTCATCACAAAATTGTGTGAAGAAAAGACTCAACTCGAAAATGCTGAATATGTTTCATTATACTTTTGGTGCGAAGGAAGTTCTGTCGAAACAACGTTCGATCAAATTTTTGACAATGGTTGATATAAATAAAACCCAGTAGATGCTCATACTCGAAATACGAAGTATCTACTCGAATATCAAATCAAAATATTTCTAGTTTTTCTAGATGATGCTAATACTTCAGTAGGTAACAGTTGATGCTCAAGTAGTATCTCGATACAACAAAAACGGAAAACAGTGACAGTGTTCAACCATCAAGGCAAAAATCGAGTCACCAAAATATCAGTTAGTATGGGGTAGACATCTTGAGTTGGGAATCTCTATGGTCAGTGTTAGAAAGAACGCACTGCACAATTTATGCATAAATAAAAGCTAATTATCTTACGACTTCAGTTTTAATTCATCGGATTCCGTGATTCCTTCACTCGACAATGTTTAAATTTTGGGAAAATTTTCGAAACGATTGAAGTCGGTTGATCAAAGCTATACATTTGCATGATATAAATTAATAAATTTTAAACATAATTAATGTCACTTATAATGTTTAAATATGATAAGCATAAATATATATGATAATTAAACCGAAACTCGTTGTCCTAAAAGCCCGAAATTATTAAAAACAAATCAATTTGTTTAAATAGTGTTAAATTATCCCCGAAAATGTGCATTTTCTCGGCCAAAATATGAAAAATAAATTTTGCAGTGTCATGGTGACGTACGATGACGTCAATGTCACGTGAGCTACCTGTATAAAGGTCACGTTTTGCGGTCCTTTGTGTTCAGTATTAATTTCTGTTTGATGGCGGCAAGATCGTCGCTTCATTTTGGCGTAAAAGTGGAGCGTTTTAGCGAATTTCTACTTTATTATTAATAAATATTACGGAAAATATGTTGTGTTAGTGCTGTGAACGCGAACGAAAATGGATATTTTTCCGAAAAGGACCGAAAACGAGGTAAGTACGATTTCAGTTTTAATTTATGGGATTC